CACCTGCCTTTCCCTCCCTCCCAGAGCCCCAGGAAACCACAAGCAGCAGCAAGCTTCCCAAGGCAGCCTCCGAAAGGCCCTGGGCCCACATCCTAGGGGGTGGCCCAGGCAGCGGGCAACATGTACCTGGCACAGCCCAGTAGCCCAGCCACTGCCGGTGGGCAGATCTGCTGAAGAACTCAACCTCCTACAGCGAGAGAGGGTAGGGGAGCAGCAGAGGGGCCCTGAAATGAGATCGGGGGCCCCCTCAGGGAAGACACAGCATTGGATTCTGCTGCTTCTGTTCCCACACCATCTTACAGGCACAAAATGAGGATTTGGAGCAAGGCCAAGGCCAAGGCTTCCTGGAGTTGGAATCAACTTTCCCCCATTCCCTCCCAGTCAGCAACTATGCAAGAGCACAGTGGCTCAAACCTTCCCCCACAGCACTGGGGCAGCTCAGAGGTGCCCTGGGAAGGCTTCTGGGGTCTCACTCTGCATCCCCTGCCTCTCTGCGGTCTCTCAAATCCCCTCCCAGGCACCTGTTCTTTGCCTCTTCCGTTTCCCTTCCCCTCCCAAAAAAAGAGGCCCAGCCCACCCTCCCTCCCATCTACCCTGACATGTGACCTCTAACCCCTACCTCCATCCATGCCCCCTCCTCTGTAGCTTTCTGGGTCATGACCCCTCGGGGCTGATCCTCTCAGAAGAGGGCACGAATACCTCCAATGTAACTGATAACCACCCAGCAAGGCAAGTGGGGCAGCGGACCACTCTCCGTCTTCAAGGACATAAAAATACAGACTGCCAGCCCCCAAGATCCCAGGATACTGGATCAGCAGCTGGGGCTGGCATTCGGCCCAGCAGTCAAGACATAGCCTGGGATGCCTGCAGCTCTTGTCAAGAGTGCCTGGGCTCAAGTCCCGTCTCTGCTTCCCAGTCCAGATTCCTGTTCAAGTGCACCCTGAAGGCAGCAGTAGCTGGGGCCGTGCCACCCATATGGGAGACCTAGATTGAGTTCTGGGTCCCCAGCTTCAGTCTGGCCCAACCTGGGCTGCTGGGAGCACTTAGGGAATGAACCGGCAGATGGAGGATCTCTCTCTCTCTCTGCTCTCTCTTCCTTTCAAATAAAATGAAAAGGACAATTTAAATCTTTTAAAAGCATCCCAGGGGTCTGAAGGAGCACTGGATTGGACACGTGACCTTTAAGGTTTTGGAGTATCGTCTGCGGAGATCTGAGCTTCAGGGGGTCCCGTTCAAGGGGATCCGGGACTACGGTTTCAAGAAGTGGGGTCTGCGTCTCAGGCGACTTGGGATCTGAATTTTGAGGGCGTGGGGTACGGGCTCCGCGGATCTTGGGTATGGATGGTGGGGCTTGGGTTCTGAAAATCTGTCAGAGCGCACTCTGAAGAATGTGGGGCATGGCACCCCCTTACTCCGTAGCCGGACCCCACGACTAAAACCTCCCCTTCCAACGCGTCTGGAAAAGCAGACGCTGCCAGAAGGCAAGGACTCCGACCACTGGGGGCCGGCGTCGCAGGCGAGCCCGGTGCGGCCCACGGTCCCCACGCGAGGGCGGGCGCTCACCTCGATAAGCGAGTAGTTGATCTCTACGTCCGACTTCACGAAGCCCCCGCAGCCCACCACGATGTCCTCCGAGCCGTGCGCCGGACCCACGCCGCTCAGCAGCAACACCGCAACGGCGGCCACCACCGCGGGCCCCGGCGGCCCAGCGCCCCAGCCCGCCCGCATGGCCCAGCCGCCCCCCGCCAGACCCTCCGCAGGCCGCCCGGTCCCGCCCCTCACACCGCACGCTGCCCGTTCCTTCCTCCTCTCAGCCTGGCTGACAGCCAGGCCCCGCCCCGCCGCGCAGGCGCACTACGGCCCCACGCCCACGCCCCCAGAAGGGAGAACTACGGCGCATGCTCAGCAAGGAAACGCGGCTGCTTGCGCCCTCTGCAGGCCCGGAGGACTCTGCGCACCGTCTGGCAGGTGCTGCGCAAGGTGCGCTCACGTGTTCAGGCACCAACTCCAAAGCTGAATACGGCTTTAGAACTCAGTGTCACAGCTGGAAGAGACTCTGTTGGTTCTTTTTTCCATGATAAATGATCCGCAAGTTTCTGAAGAAAAACACGCTAAGTTCAGCATAATATTAAAGAAGGTATTTAAAATGCATTTAACCCCTGCTGTAACATTGGTGCAGAACACATTCTGAGGATTTTCCCCTCAAGCATGAGGTGCACGTAGTGTAATTTACTATGAGCCAGTTCTCGGAGATGAAGTACGATGTGTCTGAAAGTGAGTTCAAACATCAGTATGCTGAATTTTGGAGGAATAATATAATGTAGATAGAATTTCATGCATCAGAATAGACAAAAATTACTTTTCTCACCTGATACTGGAATTCTTCCATTTTGCTCCTTTGGAAAAAAGCTCTTTGCAGCAGCCATTTGGCATAGCAGTTAAGACGCTCACATTCCATTTGGGAGCGCCCAGGTTCTAGTCCCAGCTCCACTCCTAATTCCAGCTCCCTGCTTCCTGTCAACACCATACCCTGGGAAGCAGCAGGTGGTGGCTCAGGTAGTTGGGCTCTTGTCACCCACATGGGAGACCTGAGTTGAGTTCACAGGAACTGCTGTTGCAGGCATCTGGGGACTAAAGTAGCAGATCAGAAGTTTGTTTCTCTCTCTCTGCTTTTTGAGTAAATAGGATATATTTTTAATGTTTGCTTTATTTTGATAATTTTTATATTTTGTTTAAATGACAAAAGATTTCCCACTGCAATTTGCCATTCTGGGTAAAACTTAAGCAATGTACAACTAAGAATCACATTGCATTTCCACAACACAGTGGTCAAACTGCCACTATGACTTTGAGGAGATGATACGTGGACATCAAGGATCACAATCACCAGTGCTTCTGATTTCTCACCTAAAATACAAATAAACTCTCCACGACAGGGTTATGGAGAGAAGCAATTTAAGTAAGTATTTATTGGAGGTGGCTATTTATAACCTTCATGGAAAGCAATATCTTTCACTTTCCATGACTCCAGAGTTTGCCTCAGCAGACCCCTGGGGAGCTGAAAGCCACCGGCTAGGAAGTGCTGGCCTGGGGAACCCTCTCCACCTACAGAATGAGAAACCAAAGCCCAGGAAGGGAAAGGAGCTCCTCTGAGACTCCCCGCTCAGCCCAGGCAGAGACCCACTGCGGAGGGGCAGACTGGGGGAGCTCGGGTCCTGCTCTTGGCTCAGCTGCTGCTTTGCTCCGTGTGCTGCTGCTTCCTGACCACTCCTTCCAATTCAACTTCAAACACACAGAGAAAGAAATCGCACCAGCAGGGGGTGACGAGGGCTTGCAGGAATTGCTCCAGCCTCCACCAAAGCCACCTCAAATAAGCAGACATGGTTTCGATGTAAACGCAGAATCCCATGCAGCTTCACCTCACATCTGTGGATTCCTGTGTCCCAGCCCATCTGGCTGAAAGGGTCCCAACCTCGGTTGGGAAAACTCAAAAAAAAAAAAAAAAAAAAAGACACAGGTAAACAGAGCTTAAAGAACCCACTCTGTTGTAGGCAAGCAGGACCAGGTGCACAGTGCAGCTGGTTCTTATTCTGCTCCCAAACGGAACACCTGTGCGTCTTGGAAGGCGGATGTACTCATCCCAGAAAGAAAATAGAAAAGAGAATTAGGATTCCCCATGATCGTGGCTTCTGTGCACTTCCAACTCTTTGTGCATAAATTATGTTACAGAGCATCATGACTAAAGCAGCCTGTGCTAGGGGAACAGGCCGTGTGGTGTGGTGGGTTAAGCCCCCACTTCCCCTATGGGAGCACCCGATGTCAGAGCACTGGTCCCCAGCTGCTCTGTTTCCAATCAAGCTTCTTGCTAATGCACCCGGGAAGCCAGGCAACGATAGCTCAAGTTCTTGGGTCCCTGCTATCCATGTGGGAGACCCAAATGGAGTTCTTGGCTCCTGGCTTCAGCCTGGCCCAGCCTCAGCTGTTGCAGGCATTTGGGGAGTAAACCAGCAGATGGAAGATCTCTTTATCACTCTGCCTTTCCAATACAATACATACATACATACCCCAGGAGAGGCAAGCAAGTAACAGCATTTTTTTCTCCATTTTCCCAAACTTAGGAAGAACCCTTTCTTCTTTTTGAAAAATATATTATAGGGGTCTGCACTGTGGCATAGCGTGTAAAGCCACCACTTGCAGTGCCAGCATTCCATATGGGCACCGGTTCGGGACCCGGCTGCTCCACTTCCGATCCGACTCTCTGCTATGGCCTGGGAAAGCAGTAGAAGATGGCCCAAGTCCTTGGGCCCCTGCACCCATGTGGGAGACCTGGAAGAAGCTCCTGGCTCCCGGCTTTGGATCTGCGCAGCTCCGGCCATTGCAGCCAACTGGGGAGTGAACCACTGGATAGAAGACCTCTCTCTGCTTCTCTAACTTTCAAATAAATAAATCTTTAAAAAAAAATAGACTTTTTGCGTTATAATGTCATTTTCACAGCCTGTAGCAACCATATTTCCATAGCCATATGTTTCTGAATGGCGTTTTAAACCTCTGATTGATAAGTCACCGACCGAGACTAAGTGACCCTACCAACGCTAATGATAGCAGCTAATGTGTAATGAGCGCCTGCAGTGTCCCGGGAACCGAGCGAAGCTCTTTATTAATCAGCTCGTTCAGTTCTTCCCACCCTCCTACAGGTGGACACCGTCCATCCCTGGCTGCTCAGGCCAAGCCGGCTGCTCCTGTTACAAACACCCGCACGCCTCTTGGCTTCTTCCCCCAGGATAAATTCCTGGGATTGCTGGCTCCATGGAGCTCGGGAAGCTGAGGAACATACTTGGGGCAGAAAGAGGAGGAACACGGGGGAATCACCACACTAAATAGGGGGTCCTGGAACCCCCTCTGCGAGCGTCCCCCTCGCCTCGCCTGCCCTCCTTTCAGCCCCAGCCGCCCCACCCCTGCCGCGCGGCCGGCCGGACCTTGCCCGGCGCCTCCGACCCCGGAGCTCCAATCCCAGCCAGACCCGCTCGGCCCGCCCCTTCCCCGCCCGGAGCGCCGCGACGGAGGCAGCCCGGGACTGGCCGCCAGACGGACGCTCGGACCCACGGACCGCGGGGTGCCCGATGGCCGCGCCACCGGGCGAGCCCTGCGCGGGGCTGGGGGTGAGTGCCGACCCTGCTGGGCTCTCGATTGCCGGCTGATCTCTCGGGCTGCGATCCTGGGGAGGGGAGAGACCCCCTCCCCCGCAACGTCCAGGCTCTCAGAGAGCAGCGACTGAGACCCCAGCCCGAGTGCCCAGCACTACCTACGCAGGGCGTTGGCGCTGATTAGCTTGGAGCTGGTGCACCCCCAGGCCCCTCCCACCCGCAGAGAGCCTCTCTCCCTCTCTGGACCCCCTGCCTGGCTCTCAGCTGAGCAAGGGACCCTTGGCAGTAGGGTCTATTGTCCCCCTTATGCAGAGACGGAAGCTGAGGCACAGACAGGCTGGTGAGTGGGGGAGGAAGGTGAAGATGACCTGTGTGGGTGGTGGGCCGCCTGGTAACTCAGTCGGGAGAGTGGAAATGTCTGTGTCCTCTAAAGGCCCCATTTAAATCTCTTCTGTGGTTCAAGAGGGCCAGCAAGGGGCCTGAGATTGAAACCACAGGCCAAGACCCCCCAGTAGCACCATCTGTAGGGTCAGAATCTTAGAAGACAGCATAGCCACTTCCCGCGGAAGGAGGCTGTTCCCTCGGCACCTCAGTCTACTGGGCTGTGAAATGGGGAAGTAGCACCCACCTCCCAGAGTTGTTATGAAGTTGGAGTGATAAACTGCACCTAGCACTTCCCATTAAGCCCAAATCTCCCGGATTCCAGGACCCAGCTCCCTGAGTTCAAATCCCAGCTGGATGTCATCAGCCACAGTATTCAGTCTCTCCGGGGCTGTGTGTCCTCATCTCCCCCAGTCAGTGGGACAAGGGCATACACCTTTGTGGGCCAGCATTCCAGAGAGTGCTTTTATGTAAATGTAAGGGGTCCAATTAGTTACCTGGTCCCTTAGGTAGGGAGCTGGGGACCCCAGTGTGGACCTATCCTGTTGAACATCCCTTTGGTGTTTCCCCAGGTCTGGAACCAGTCGGAGCCCCAGCCTGTGGCCGCCTACCTACTAAACTTGTGCTTCCTGCGAACAGCAGGGGTCTGGGCACCCCCCATATACCTGTGGGTCCTCGGCCCCATCTACCTCTTCTACATCCACCGCCATGGCAGGGGCTACCTCCGGATGTCTCCTCTCTTCAAAACCAAAATGGTAGCCACTGGGACTGTGGGGAGCCTGGGACCAGGTTGAGGGGGAAGGGGAGACCTGGGGCTGGAACCTGGAAGACAGCCCCAAGTGGATGCCCCTTCCACCGGGCAGCCTGCCAAGAAGGGAACCTGTTAATCAAATCGATCAATATTAAAGGGGCAACAGAGGTGAACTGGATGGGACACGGTTCTTCCAAGCAGACTTTGTAATTCTGAAAGTGCACACACACACACACACACACACAGAGACAGGCACCCAGCCCGGGACACCTACAGCTACCATACTTGGGCATTTTCCAAGGTGTGCACACGAGGTGATGTGAAGCCACACTAGGGTGAACCTTTCTAGCATTCTAGCAGAAATTTCCCCACTGGCAGTGCTACGGGACAGGTTTGAAAGCTATTCTGCATTTATTTTAGTGCTTTAAACACTGACCTTCTAAGCGTGAGCCTCTCCAGTCATCCATCCCCTGCTGTGCTGCCCCTTTCTCCTCCAAACTCCTACAGGAATGCTCTTCAAAGTTTCCATTCCCACTCCACTTTGTTCAGTTTTACTCCAGGGCCTACCACCTATCCAGAACCTGGTGAATTTCAACAATTAGAGAGTACTAGAGCACTTCAAAAGTTCGTTGGAAAATGTATTTAAAAGATAATTTTTTTTGGTGGAAAAACATTTTAAAAGCCATGCACAGGTTTTTTTTTAATCATATGCATTTTCCATGAACTTTTTCAAAGACACCATGTATGTTTGAGGCTCTGTAGGCTGTGCCATCTCTTTTGCTGTGCCTTGGATGCGGCTTGAATATATATCGTGTCTTGGAAGCTTTGTCATTAGGGCGATAGTATTAAAAGGCTGTGGGACCTTTAAGAGGTAGGGCCTAGGGTGGGTAGTTAGGTCACTGGGGGTGTGCCCTTTTAAGGTAGCTGTCTCTCCAGGGATGTTATGAAAGAGGGAGCCAGAGCCCTGAACCTAGAGCTCTGGCCTCCACACTACCTTGTGGACTCTCACTCTCCCTCTTGCTCCTACCACGATGCCAAACGCTAGCAGGTGCCGCAGGCAGGAGCCTGTGCTGTGCTGTTTGACCATTCAGCTTCCAGAACTGGGAGCTACATAAACCACTTGTGTTTAACAATTACCCAGCTTTGGGCATTTCATTCTAGCAGAAAAGGGGCAGAGACCCTTCCAAATGTCCAATTCTGCCGTGGTAGCAAAAAAAAGTAGGTGCTACAGAAGGTAGACAAAGAGCTGTGACTGTGTTTCAGTAAACTTCGTTGATATGCAGTCACTGAAATTTGGATTTCCTGTCATTTTCATGGGTCATGAGAGATTCCGCCCCTTCTGACCTTTTTTTAAAATGGTTGAAAAATGCTCTTAGCTCACAGGCCTTGCAAAAACGGGAAGCAGGCCAGGCTCTCTGCAGGTGGCTGTTTGTCAGCCTCTGCTTTAAGCTGACTGAGGTAGAGTGAAGCCTTGAACAACATGGGTTTGAACTGCATGGGTCCGCTTATTGGCAGATTTTTTTTTTTTTGGAGATTTATGCCAATTTTCAAAAGCTTGAGATGAGTCATGTACCCTAGACATATCAAAATAATGAAGAAAATGGCATGTCATGAAAGCATAAAGCAGACATACAGGACTGTCTAATTTTGTCATTGGCTACCACGGAATCTACACACATCTGACCATACGTGGCCCCATTTGCCGTTAACAGGAATGTTAGCAAGCACCAAGATGCAGGATCGAATCCTCACTGCATCTCATGAACTGCTGGGCGTGGGTTCCCCATTGCCACAGTCTCAGCCACTTGCTATTGATAGTGCAGGAAGTCAGAAGTCAGAGGCAGGTGTTCAGCTGCACAGGGGGCTGGCATACCTAACCCCTGCATTGTTTAGAATCAACTGTAGGGCCGGTGCTGTGGCTTAGTCGGTTAAGCCTCCGCCTGCTGCGCCAGCATCCCATATGGGCACCAGTTCAAGTCCTGGCTGCACCACTTCCCATCCAGCTCTCTGCTATGGCCTAAGGATGGCCCAAGTCCTTGGGTCCTTGTACCCACCTGGGAGACCTAGAAGAAGCTCCTGGCTTCAGATCGGCCCCGCTCCAGTCATTGTGGTCTTTTGGAAAGTAAACCAGCAGATGGAAGACCTTTCTCTCTGTCTCTCCCTCTCTCTGTCTGTAACTCTGCCTCTCAAATAAATAAATATTTAAAAAGAGAAAAGAAATACAAAGCTGGGTGCTCCAGTGTGAGATGTGGCTTCTTACTGCCAGGTTCCACGCCCTCTGCCCTCACCTGTACTCTCACCAGCTCCTCTGAGGCACCTGGCTCTGGCCTTGTCTCCCAAGTATGCGTGTCCACTGCCCGCCCACTTCCCGGCCTCCTCTTATTCAAAAGAGGCCAGCGCATTTTAGAGAGACCATCAAAACCTCCCAGCCCAAGAGAGAGTTTCCTTCCTTGAGTAGCAGGGACTGACCATGACTTGAAGAAGGTGTGACTTTTTCACCCAGTGAGTACATTTCATTTCATGCTTCCTACCTGTAGTCACCTCACCTGTGTGTACCTAGAGCACCTCCTGCATTTGGGAGAACATTGGGTGGGCTCGAGTCCTTGGGTACTGTTTACACGACAATTATAGGATCAATTAGCAATGCTCCTTACGCACTGACACATGGGTGACCTGCGACCTTGACTCATTCCAGGGCCCATGGAGGACGTTCACACTGGACATGGCGTCGCCCTCCAGTTTGCCACCAAATTTCTCCAACCTTACCTAAGCCTGTTTCCCCAGGTGTTTGCCTTTGCCCTCGTGGTGCTGTGCACCCTCAGCGTGGCTGTCGCTCTTTGGAAAATCCAGCACGGCGTGCCTGAGGCCCCAGAGTTGCTCATGCACCCGACGGTGTGGCTCACCACCATGGTAATGCCCCCTCTCTCTGGGCCCTGGCTTGCTCCTGGTTGCTGCTTTGGCTGCCCACCCCGGGAGGGGATGTGGGCCTCCCCTCCCATGCCCCGCCCCACCTAAGGGGCCTGTCTGGACTTTGTTGTTTAGAGCTTTGCCGTGTTCCTGATGCACACGGAGAGGAAGAAGGGGGTGCAGGCATCTGGGGTGCTCTTTGGCTACTGGCTGCTCTGCCTTTTCCTGCCGGCTCTCAGCACTGCCCAGCAGGCCTCAAGAGGGGTAAGTGGGGCTCTGAGCTCCCTGGGAAAACCAACACCACAGTTTTGGACCTTGAGTTTCCTCCTTTCTCACCCACAACTCCCCATCGCCTCACACAGTTCTAATGAACACCAATTCCCATCGTCTCCCCCACATTGCACACTCCATTGTCACCATGGAGATGCACTTGGTGCCCCCTTTTGCATAACTCACAAGCTCACACACACACACACACACACACACACAGGCGTGCACTCTGACCCTCCAGCCAGGTTCATTTCCACTCCTTCTCACACGCACCCTGGCCCCATGCACCTGCGCCTCTGACCTCACACCCACCCGCATTCCAGATTCCCAGACTGCTTCCCTATTAGGAAACCCATTGGTTCTTTTTCTTGGCAAACAAAAGGACCTGTGGTCTAGACCAGGTTTCCTGAACTGCACCTCTTTTGAGAGTGTGTGGGGGGGGTGATTCTCTTTTGGGGGCGGGGCTACCCTGTTCATTGTAGTGTGTGGCACAGCATCACCGGCCTCTACCCACCTAGTGCCAGCAGGTCAGCCCCCCCAACTATGGAACCCCAGTGTCCCAGGGGGTAAAGTCACCCCCTCACGGAGAACCATTTACCTCGGCTCAGTGCTCAGCCAAGGCTCTGGGAGCGGGGGGAATGTTCAGGCTGCAGCAGGCTGCAGGTCCTCATTACATCACTTGATCCTGAACCAAGTGGTTGCTCCACCTGCTCCCAGAGGGGAAGGGAGAGGACAGATTTCTTTTTTAAGACCAGCAACTTCTATAGGTAATGGGAAAATCGCACAGGCCATCCACTACCCTATGAAGAGTGGCTTCCCACAGCTGACTTTTGGGTCTTCTGTTTGGGGGCACAGCATGGACACAGGAACACTGGAACCATCGACATGCTGGAGCCCCAGCCACGGGTCAGGCCCAGTGGCAAAATTTGCCAGTCCTTGTTGGATTCTCGTTACAGTGCTCTGTGGTAGAGGCTAACGGTCCCATTTTAAAGATGAGGAAACTGAGGCTAAGAGAAGGAAATGACTTCCTCAGGGCCACACAGCTTGGGAGTTCAGAGTCCAGGTCCATCTCACCCAAATTCAGAAAAAACTATCAGATAGGAATGGTGGTAACCATGGCAACTTGGAGTAGGTGGGCTGTGATGTAGTTGGAATATCAAACTGTCTACAATCCATGTAAAAAAAAAATAGAAAACCCAGTAGAGGAATTAGATTTAAAACTAGGACTCTTGTTTCAAGTACCCCCAAAACTCACCTCACTAACTTAAGGGAAAAGCAAACTCTGGGGGAATTTATTAACTCATTCATTTCTGGGCTCATATCCATGGGACCTCCCAGACTCAACTCAGCCAGGCATTCAGATAATACTGCCAGATCTCCACCTCTGTCTCGTGGCTCTGCTATGGTAGCCTCATTCGCCAATAAGATGGCAAGGAGAGCCAACAGTAGCTCCAGACTTCCTGGTTTAACCCAGTGGAGTCTCTCAATGGTTCCAGCTCTCACTGGGTCCTCTGTCCATTCCTATTCCAATCACCATAGCCAAGGCACTAGAATGTACTCCTTGGCCAAGCCTCCACCACTTGTTACCCTTGGAGGAGAGTCGGTTCTTTACCAAGCACATGCCTGAGCATGGAGGGAGAAAAGTGAGGCTGCTAAGACCAGAAGACAGGGCAGCAGATGCAAAAGCAGTGTGGCAGCAAAAGCTCACCACTTGACTCAGCTCAGCTGTGTACCCTGGAGGAAAACCAGTGCTGTGGTTTCTCTGAGCCTCAGTCACCCCACCACTAACACAGAGCATGTGAACACCAGCTGGAGTCAGGGCTGTGTGGTGGGGGGCACCCCCAACACAGCCCAGGACACCACTTCTATAGACCAGCGCATGTGCACATCGGGGATTCAGAAATCCCCAAAACCAGCAAGACACGGTGGTGCTGCACCCAGCCCGGGAAACGCGGTTCAGCCTCGACCTGTGTCCCCTCCGGGCGGCCACCCCCACCCCTGCTCCTTACTGGCTCAGCACTGACTGTTTCTGGACTTGTGCTCTCTCTCCCACAGGGCTTCCAGAATGATCCCATCCGCCACCTGGCCACCTACCTGTGCTTGTCTCTGGTTGTGGCACAGTTTGTGCTGTCCTGCCTGGTGGATCGGCCTCCTTTCTTCCCCAAAGAGCCCCAGCAGCCTGTGAGTCGCTCAGGCCCCACCCCAGTACCTCTCTGGTCCCTGCACCACTCCAGGTCTCAGCCTTCCTGGTAACCACAGGGAGTTGGACTAGGGCATGGGTCTTTAGTTTTTAAGATTTATTTTTATTCATTTGAAAGGCAGCAAGACAGGGAGAGACAGAGAGAAAGAAATATCTTTCATCTGCTGGTTCACTCCCTAAATGGTCAGAATGGCCAGGGCTTGGCCAGGTAGATGTGGGAACCAGGAGCTTTTTCTGGGTCTCCCTCGAGGGTGCAGGGGCCCAAACACTTGGGCCATCTTCCACTGCTTTCCCGGGCACACTAGCAGGGAGCTGGATCAGAAGTGGAGCAGCTGGACTCCAACCAGTACTCTGATATGGGCTGCCACTGTCATGAGCAGTGGCTTAACTCACTGCACCACGACACTGACCCCTCTGTAGATTTTTATTCATTCAGCCAAATGTGTATTGCATTTGTGCACAGTTGGCCATCTTTCTCTGTACAGGGCAAGTTAGAAAATATGTTTTAAATTTTCATTTATTTTTATTTATTTGAAAAGCAAAGAGACAGAAACAGTTCCTCCACCTACCCAAATGCCCTTAGGAGCTGGAGCTGGGCAGGATGAAGTCAGGAGCCAGGAACTCCATCCAGGTCTCTTACATGGGAGGCAGGGATCCAAGTACCTGCTGCCCCCCAAGTGCGCATTAGCAAGGAGCTGGGATCGGGACTGGAGCTGAGACATGAACTCAGGTCCTTTGCAAAGGGGTGCAGGTATCCCAAGCAGCAGCATCATAACCACTGCACCAAACACTCACCCCTAAAAGAAGACTTTTGTGAGCTATACCATACTCTTTGTTTGGTATGTAGACCACTCAACTCTGCTATTTTAGTACAAAAGCAGCCACAGACATACGTCAGCAAATGAATATGGCTGTGTTCCAATAAAACTTTATGTGCAGAAGGAGGAAGTGGGCCAGATTGGTCCAGAGGCCACTGTTTGCTAGCCTCTGCTGTATGTGCCCCACTGGGCACGCAGGAGCTGCTGGGAACACACAGAACCCCTGTGCTCATGCAGCTAAAAGTCAAGTAGGAGAGCTAGACCTGAGCCATGGAACCACACAGGTGTGTAGGAGATCACGCCTGAGCCAGCGGCTTAGCAGGAGAAGGTGGTGCACCCTGGGAGTTTATGACAGGGAACACCACAGTGGTCTGTGAGATCAGGAGTGAATTCTCCAAGGAAGAGACCGATCAGAGATCATCTTTTAAAATGCTCGCATTGGGGCCAGCGCTGTGGCGCAGCAGGTGAATGCCCTAGCCTGCAGTGCCGGCATCCCATATGGGCACCAGTTCTAGTCCTGGCTGCTCCTCTTCCCATCCAGCTCTCTGTTATGGCCTGGGAAAGCAGTAGAAGATGGTCCAAGTCCTTAGGCCCCTGCACCCATGTGGGAGACCCAGAAGAAGCTCCTGGCTTCAGATTGGCACAGCTCCGGCCATTGCGGCCATCTGGGGAGTGAACCATCGGATGGAAGACCTCTCTCTCTGTCTCTACCTCTCTCTGTAACTCTGCCTTTCAAATAATAATAATAAAATAATGCTCGTGTACTTGAGTAAGCTAGCTAAAACCCTAACAGGACTTTTTGTTTGTTTGTTTGCCTGTGAGAAAGGCAAACACATTCCCAAGTTGGTAACAAGCTGTGGTGGCAAAGATGTGGTGAAATGGGTACCTTCACAGCTTGTTGGTAGAGAAGAGAAATTGAGGAGGGCTTTCTGGAGCAGCTGACAAAAATCTCAGGCCAGGGCCTTCTCCACAGCACGCTCTGGGATGTGGCTGTTTGTCGTGCGCAGAGAACTTGTAGCTCTCAGTATAAGTAGAATTGTTCCTCCAGGCAACCTTAGTTCTTGTGTGCACTGTCAGCCCTCTGGCCCTTGGCTGTGGGGATGTGCCAAGCTCCCTGGGGTCCCCCGCACCTCCCCCCAAAGGCCAGGGCCCCTGGGGACTGAGCCCAGTGTCAGGCCACCCTGTGTCTCTGTCCTTGGTGTCCCTGTGCCCCACACACTCTTGCCACGGCTGTGAGACTGAAGCTCTCTCTCCCCCACCTCCTGCAGAATCCGTGTCCAGAGTCCAGGGCCTCCTTCCCCTCCAAGGTCATGTTCTGGTGGGTTTCTGGGTAAGTCAGGTGGAAGGCAAGGGGCTGCGTGGCACTGGCGGGAGGGGGAACCAGGGCTGCTGCTCTTGGGCCCCCACACAGCTCTTCCGAGGGGTTTCCTATCAGGTGGATGAGGGCCTGCCAGGTTGTCTCTGTCCCAGCCTCAGAGCCTCCCTCTCAGTTTTCTGAGGCTGTTGTCCACATCCTGTCCCCAGGCACTCGCGGGTGTGAGATCTGGATTTGAATCCTGGTTCTGCCTCTTAGCATCCAGGCCACAGCCATCCCACATCTCAGTTTTTTCCTCTGTGAAATGGGGACAACTCTGTCTTCATTCAATGGAAGATGCCTGGTGCTTGCACACAGCAGGTACTCAATAACAGTGTGCCTTGTTCAGCTTTAGTCACTCCGCCAACACTTAATAAGCACCGGCTGTGTGCTGAGCACCAGGGACGTGGGGGGGGGGGGGGGGTGAGAGCGTAAGTCCCTACTCACTCTTTATCTAGCACCAGCCCGGCCAGGCCGAAGGCTGGGCCCACCAAGGGGGTCCCTTTGGGCTCCCGTGCAGCCCTAGCTCCAGGGGATGCGGACCCCAGTCCAAGGCCCAAGAATACCCGGATGTGCAATCTTGGGCAAGCTGCTTAACCTCTCTGTGGCTCTGTTCCCACCCCCAAAAAAGGGGACAAAGGGGGCAGCCGCTCTTGGCCCTGAAGGATTAAATATGAATAGGCTGTCAAAGACTCAGAGACGAATCAGTTGCCACATGGAGTTAAGACTGGAGGCTGGGAAATGAGTTGGTAGGAAGAGCATGGAATTGCCCATTTTTAAAAAGTTTTTTTTTTTTTAAGATTTTTTTTTTTTTTTTTTTTTTGACAGGCAGAGTGGACAGTGAGAGAGAGAGACAGAGAGAGAAAGGTCTTCCTTTGCCGTTGGTTCACCCTCCAATGGCCGCCGCTGCAGCCGGCGCACCGCGCTGATCCGATGGCAGGAGCCAGGATCCAGGTGCTTTTCCTGGTCTCCCATGGGGTGCAGGGCCCAAGCACCTGGGCCATCCTCCACTGCACTCCCTGGCCATAGCAGAGAGCTGGCCTGGAAGAGGGGCAACCGGGACAGAATCCGGCGCCCCAACCGGGACTAGAACCCGGTGTGCCGGCGCCGCAAGGTGGAGGATTAGCCTATTGAGCCACGGCGCCGGCTTTTTTTTTTTTTAAGATTTATGTGTGTATTTGAAACGCAGAATTAGAGAGAGAGAGAGAGAGAGAGAGAGAGAGAGAGAGAAAGTAAGTCTTCTATCTGCTGTTTCACTCCCCAAAAGGCCACAATGGCCAGGGCTGGGCAAAGCCAAAGCCAGGAGCCAGGAGCCAGGAGCTTCATCCTGTCTGAGACGTGGGTGGCAGGAGCCCAAGCTTCTAGGCCATCCTCTGCTGCTTTCCCAGGCACATTAGCAGGGAGCTGGATTGGAAATGGAGCAGCCAGGACTCGAACCGGTGCTCGTACTAGATGCCAGTGTTGCAGGTGGTGATTTAACCCCACAATGCTGGCTGCAGCATGGACTTTTCAGATAGCCCTCCTGGGGTCCAGGCCCTGCTCCCCAGCATTTATGCATCCCTCTTTATGCTTTGTTGTCATATTGGGCTGTCACTCTATTTACACACGTTTTTCGTTAGATCAATCTTTTTTTTTTTTTTTAACTTTCATCAGCTTTTTTTTTTTTAAAGGAAGCTTTCCGTTTGCTGCCAGAATTGGAAACTTCTATGGACTCAGTTGCCACCGTAATCTCAGGGAAAAGCAAACATGTTAATAATTTCTAGGTCAGACCTGTTGCTGGCTGTTGGAAAGGGAGCTGGGGTCAAAGGCCAGCATGGAGTGAGCCCTGACCCCTGACTATGGAAGTCTCTGGAATTCAATTTCTCACATTCGTGCCAGCTATAGTCATCCACACCAGGCCCTGTGCTAGGAAGCATACTCATTTTTAATAAATTTGTTCACTTATTTATTTGAATGGCATAGTGACAGACAGAGAGAGAGAGAGTGTGTGTGTGTGACAGAGAGAGAGATCAATCTTCCATCTACCGATTCACTCCCCAAATGGCCACAACAACCAGGGCTGGGCCAGGCTGAAGCCAGGAGCCTGGAACCCCCTCTGTATCTCCCATGTGGGTGTCAGGGGCCCAGATACTGCTGCTGCTTTCCCAGGTGCATTAGTAGGGAGCTGGATCAGAAGTGGAGCAGCCGGCATTCACACTGGCTCCCCAATACGCTACACCACAACACTGGCCCATTCTAAGATGAGAAAACTGAGGCCTGTTCATGGGAAAGGACTTGGCCAAGGACACAGGCTTGGGCAGGATGGCTCTATCTGACACATCTGCTTCCTGTGCCAGCAGGTGAGGACACAAGAGAGGGAAAACGAGGGGCGGTGTTTGGTGCAGCAGTTAAGTCACCTGCACCAGCTATCAGAGGGCCTGGGTTTGGGTCCTGGCTCCATTTGGCATCCAGCTTCCTGCTAATGCACAACCTGGGGAGAAGCAGGTGGTGGATGCAGTGGTCGATCCCTGCCGTGAACCTGGGAGACCCTGATGGAGTTCTAGGCAGTAGATGGAAGGTAGTTTGTTCTCTCTCTCTCCCCCCCCCCACCTTTCTCTTGCCCCCTTTCTCTTTCTCTCTGCCTTCCAAATTAAAAAAAAGAAACTGTGTAAGAGGGGAAGTGAGGCAGGCCCTGCCCTGGCACCCACAGAGCCTGCCATGCAGTAGAAGAGAATGGACGGAGACCCAAACAGTAAATACGCATCACTGTGACAAGCATCCTAAGGGAAGCCGCGCGCACTCAGCGTGGAATCCGCCTGGGCTGGGCAGAGGGCAGCGTGTCTCGTCTGAGCTCAGCTCTGGAGGATGCATGAGATAGGGCCAGCCGAGGGGCCCCAGGGAAAGCGCTTCCAGCAGTGTGGAGGGCACAAGCAGCGGTCCTGAGGCCAGGCAGCTGGAGCCGTGGAGCAGCAGCCGGCTGGGGACGCGGAAGGCCGAAGGAGGCGTTCAGGTTCCTCCACACTGAGAATACTGGGCCCTGGACTTCTGATTTCCAGGAAAATCTACAGAAATGCTGCCAACAACTTGGGGGGGGGTGGGGAATGGAAGTAAAAGATCAATTTATTTTAGCACAAAAAGTTAGCAATCCATGCAGTTTGTTCCCAATACTCATTCTCCATGAAGTTTTTGAAAACCCTGCCTATTTCCCCTGCCACACGCTTTATCCCTTGCTTAACCTGTCTGAGCCTCTGTTTTCTACCTGTAAAATGGGTCTGTCATAATCTACATGGGCTTCCATGGGATTTAGACAGACATCCTTTGTAAACTGAGGGATGTCCCTCGAATGTTAGGTGGGTTTAAGTTAATTGTTCTCATTTCCCCTGGGCAGGAGGTGGGGAGGGGACAGCAGAGGTTCAGAGAGGTAAATGGGCTTCCCCAGGGTCCCACGGCCACCAGGCAGAGCCCCAGCAGGGCCCACGGTGGGAGGAGCTGGGCCCCATGACCCTCTCTTGCAGGCTGGTCTGGAGGGGCTACCGGAAGCTGCTGAGCCCAGAAGACCTGTGGTCGCTTGGAAAAGAAAACTCCTCGGAAGAACTGGTCTCCCGGCTGGAGAGGGAATGGACGAGGCACCGCAGCGTGGCCCAGCGGTGAGTGTGGGGCGGCCAAGAGCTCCATCCACACCCGTCGCTGGGGCCCCATCCAGCCCCTGGCCCTGTCTGGGCTCTGCTTGCTGCTGACTTCACTGCTGGAGAACTACTGGTCAGATCCGGTTCCTCCCAGAGTGCTTTGCAGACCCCAGAGGGCAACTGAGGGGCAGGAGCTCCTAGAGGCCCCCCAGGGGAGGAGACGGGGGTATTGAAGACAGGGTGCAGGGTTGGGTGGGAACTCATTTCTCATCTGTTCAGTGGGGATGTCATTTGTCGCCAGCACAGGGCTAGTAGGAGAATGAGAAAAGTAGGGATGAGAAAAGATGGATCAGGAAAAAGAACTTAGCAAATTCATCACAAACGCAAGAGCTCACGGCGGGACGTGCAGATCTCTGGAGCTGTCTGCGCTGCATCGCTCTTGTCCTTGGCGGGGCCCTTGAGGCCTGGGAAGTTCCATCTGACAGCATGACCCTGAGGGCGTGCGTTCTGCAGAGGCTGTGGGCTCCGATGGCCTCACGCCAGTCGCCTCAACTCACTGCACCTCAGCGTTCTGGGATCCAAACAGACACAAGGGAGTGTGGTGGGCAGGGTAACAAGGCTCTCCATACTCCAGGTTTCTGTGGTGGGGGTCGTAGATGGCCAAATCCCACACTTCAGGACAGACAGAGACAGACAGAGCTGGCCTAGCCTCAGTGTGGCCGGACCTAGGGACAGACATGACATCAGATTCCCTCCTGCCCCTGCCAAGCTCAGCTACGGTCTGTGGGTTCATCTCTCTATAAGGCCTGTCCCTGGTTCCAACGTCCAGATAGAAAATCCCAGGGAAGGCTTCTGATTGGCACGGCTCAAGTCACGTCCCCATCAGGGGCCAATCCCACGCCCAGGGTGCTGGTCCCATGATTGATCATTCCTTCAGAACCTCACAGGGGAGGGGAGAGGGGGGCTGCTCCCCCAAGGAAGAAGGTGAGGTTTTCTAAAACGGGAAGGTGATGGGGGCAAACCCAAATGGCAGCTCACAGCAGGGCCAACAGCTCTGCATTCCGGGCAGGCCTCAACCCAGAGGGCTCAGCGGGCTGTTCTGTCCTCTCCCAGCTCCTGGCCTCCCGGCCTGGCCGGTGTCATCAATACACGTCCCCCAACTCTGGGGCCCGAAGGCAGAGCCTTTATGCAGAGCAATTTGAGAACCTACTAAAGGCAAGGGACAGAAGGGAATGGGAAGGGCAGGCTCATACCCACACCAGGCTCAGTTGTTTTCAGAGAGAGCGAGAGAGAGAGAACTTTGGTCTGATATATTGTGCAACCCCTTGCAGGGCAGAGAGGAGGTCATCTGAGGTCACAGCCAAGCTGCCCACTGGCCAAGTGAGGGTCACATAGTAGGCTTGGCCCCATCCTGCTTTCTGTTTGTTTTAGTGAGTTGTCCATAACTAACTTTGGACCTACCCCATAAAGCCCTGGAATTCTGTTCTCTCGCTCTCTCTCTAGCTCTGATTTAGTTATTTATTTGAAAAGCAGAGTGACAGAGAAAGGGGGAGAGAGAGAGAGAGAGAGAGAGAGAGAGAGACAGAGAGATTGATCTTCCATCTGCTGGTTCACTCCCCAAATGTCTGCAACAGCCAGGACTGGGCCAAGCTCAAGCCAAGATTCAGGAACTCCATCTGGGTCTCCCACATAGGCTGCAGGGGCCCAAGGACTTGGGCCATCTTCCACTGCCTTCCCAGGTGCATTAGCAGGGAACTGGAATGGAAATAGAGCTGCCAGGACTGAAACCAGTGCCCCAACATGGGATGCTGTTGCCGCAGGTGGTGGCTTAACCTGCTACGCCACCACGCCTGCCTCTCTGGTCCCTCCGAAAGTGGGTCGGGTAGCCCCGCACAGCCCTGCATGGCAACAGGAGCTGGGTGCAGGCTGGGCCACTGGACAGGACATGTGCTGTCGGGTGGGCCATGCTCTCCACTGCTAAGCATTTGTGGGCCCTGCACTAAATGGCTTTCCATCACAAAAGCAGATGCCAAACTGGAGGTTTTCCTGGATGGGAGTCAGACTCACTGGAGAGGGAAAACTTACGGAGGTGACACTCACTGGCTCAGACTGGGACAAACAATGGAAGCCGACGTGAGCACCGCATCTAGCCTGAGAGAGGCCATCACTGGCATCTCCTCCCTCGCCCCGTGTTGCAGATGCAAACACTGAGGCTCAGAAGAGAGGAGACAGAGAGATCTTCCATTTGCTGGTTCACTCCTCAAATGGCCACCGTAGCCAGGGCTGGGTCAGGTCAAAGCCAGGAGCTTTATCCGGGTCTCCCCAATGGGTGGCAGAGACCCAAGCACTTGGGCCATCTTCCACTGCCTTCCCAGGTGCATTAGCAGGGAGCTGGAGCAGAAGCAGGACAGCCGGGAGTCAAACGGTGCTCCGATATGGGATGCCCGTGTTGCAGGTGGAGGCTTAACCCATTGACGCCAGCCCCAGTGCCAGCGTCCCTCTTAGGCCCTGCGCACGCCCTACTCCATCTGTTTCTCCCGTTCACTGCACAGGTATTTACTGAGCTCCTACTGTGTTCAGGAGGCAGAGGCGAGGTGTCCACCCACCTGGAGTGCTAAAGAGACAAACAAGGAAGGTGTGGGGAGAGATGGCATGGCTGAGAAGGCCACAAACCAAAAGGCCAGACCACATAGGGACAGTGGCCAGAGATAGCCTCTGCCTGGAGTGACGTCCTTTGGGCATTTGAGATCCAAATCCTGAAACATTTGTGAGTGGCGAGCCACACGGGTGCAGCGACACAAGTCTGAGTACAGCCCTGCCCAGATGCTGAACCAAACAGCAAGCCAGCCAGGGAGGAGGGGCAGGGCCCTTGGCCTTGGCCTTGCTGACTACATGCAGCCCCTCACCTCTCTAAAGCTTTTCCTTTTTTTTTTTTCTTTTTTTTTATGATGGGGGTCCCTGGTACACGAGGAGACACTGTGTGAGCTGTGGGTTCAGATCTGGGCTCAGCAGTCCTGCCCTCACTGTGTGAGCCCTGACAGCTGTCCCCACTTGTAATGGCTTCAGTGCCCCACTGGGTCACACTGGGTCACACGGTGCCTGCCTGGCCAGGAGGTTCAGGAACCCAGGCCACAGATGTGTAAACAGGGGTCGAGATGATCGGGGACCTCGAGGGCTGTCAGAGCCAGAGGGGACTTGGAGAGGGCCTAGCTCTACCCCTCCTCACACACACAGAGGGGGCACCGCTTGCCTGGGGCCACACAGCACCAGGGGCGACAGCTACTGCATTCCCCCAGCCTCCCCCAATCTCTTCTCCCTCCCTTAGCTCTGCCCTCGGCCCCAATTATGGCCAACATCTGGGCATGAGCTGCCACCTGTGGTTTCACCCAGGGCTGGTGTGCTGGGCCCAGGGACATCAGCTGTGATTCTAAACCAGCTCTCAACCGGTTCAAACTACCGATGGGTTGGCCAGCTGGGGTCCGACCCTCTCCAGGGAGGCAACACGATGGACCAAAAACTGCATGGGGTGGGGGCGGGGGTGGGGGGGCAGGCATGCGGCTCGGTGGCTGAGCAGCTACTTGGGATGCCCACATCCCATATGTGTGTGTCTAGGCTCCAGTCCCAGCCGTGCCCCGGATTCCAGCTTCCTGCTAGTGTGCACCCTGAGAGGCAGCAGGTCACGGCTCAAGTAGTTGGGTCCCTGCCACTCAATGAGAGATTCAAGTTGAATTCTAGGCTCCAGGATCAGCCCAACCCAACCCTGGCTACTGCAGGCACTAGGGATTGAACAAGCAGATGAAAGATCCCTCCCTCCGATCATGGGCTCTGGAGGCAGAGAGTTGAGATCAAATCCCATTTCTTGGACTTCTCAGCTCTGTGCCCTTAGACAATGTCATTCCTCTGAGCCTCAGGTTTCTCATCTGTGAAATGGGAGCAACACTTGGCTTGCAGAGTTCTTAGAAGGACTGAGGAGTTCCTGGCATGTGGCACACAGTGGTGCCTAATGCGTGTGCATCCCTACCATTGCCTATGAAGCCTAGGGCTGCCCTCTGGCCTCCCCTCCCCCCACCCTGACCCTCTGGTCTATAAAAAGCAACAGGTGAGGGAGGTGACTGGGTCCCCACCCACTCCATGTGGCTGAGAGCCTAAGGCAGGACTTGGAGCCGTGTCTCTCTTTCCTAAGGCACACCAAGGCTCTCGGCGGGAAAGGGGGCGGCAGCGCGGAGGTCCCGGAGACAGAGGCCTTGCTGCAGCCGGCAGGGCTCCCGCGGGGCCCGCTGCTCAGAGCCGTCTGGCAGGTGTTCCACTCCACCTTCCTCCTGGGCACCCTCAGCCTTGTCATCAGTGACGTCTTCAGGTTTGCTGTCCCCAAGCTCCTCAGGTGAGTGCAGGCCTTGCTGAGGCTGGGGGTCTCTGCCTCAGCCTGTGTACCCCGCGCTCAGGACACCAGGGGTGGGTGAGCGAAGGCCCGGCCCTGGGGAGGGCAGGTGAGCGAGCCCTCACCTGACTGTAAGTTAGCTTTTGCTGCCCAACACAACACCCTCAGAGTGAGAGGCTTATGTCCACAGGGGTTTATTTAGCTCATGATAAGGGAGGTCATCAGTTCAGGCTGGGCTCAGCTGGGCGGCTCTTAGCCTCTCGGCTGGGGTTGCTGCCGGGTCTGTGGCCTGCTGCCAGGTTGGCTGGAGGCAGGCTCGCCCAACGTGGTCTCCACCTGGACTGCCCGGCCCTGTGGTGCGTGGCTCCCGTAGTCCAGAAGGCGGCTCAGCTGGCTCTCAAGGCCGCCCGGCAGGGTTTCTGAGAGATGGGGCAGAAGCGGCAGTTTGTTTCGCAGTCCGGGCTCAGAGCTGCCCGGGGTTACCTCCACCCTGCCCAGCTGGCCAAAGCTGTTGCATGGCCTAGTCTAGATTCAGGGGGTGGAGAATCCACCCGCAATGCAGCACCATGAAGTGCGTACAACAGAAACTCGCTTCCTCGCAGTCCTGGAGACTGAGGTCCAAGATCCCGGTGTCAGCGGGGCCAGGTTCTTCTGAGGCCTCTGGCTCTAGCCTGCAGACAGCCACCTGCTCGCTGTGTCCTCTCCTGGTCTTGTCTGCGTGCACACGGCGCACCCCTGGGGTCTCCTCCTGTGTCTGAATTTCCTCCTGTCCTAAGAGCACCAGCTAGAAGTAGTGGCCACTGTAACAGCTTCAGCTTAAATTACCTCGTGCAAATGGTCACGCCCAGGTGCCTGGGCTTCAGTAGGGGAATTTTGTGGGCATGAAAACTCCACCCCTCCATCAGAGGGGCTGGGAAGTGCCATTGAATTGGAGAGGGGATAGCAGGGTGGGGGTGGGGGACGCAACTGCAGCCACTTGGGCAAAGCTGACACCCACCTGGCAGTACCAGGGGCGGCTCCTCCCACCAGCTCGCGCTCTCTGCCCCCGCCCACTTCTCTCCGCTCAAGCCTGTTTCTGGAGTTTGTCGGTGAGCCCGAGCTCCCGGCTTGGAAGGGCTACGTCCTCGCCGTGCTGATGTTCCTCACCGCCTGCCTGCAGACGCTGTTCGAGCAGCACTCCATGTTCCAGGTCAAGGTGCTGCAGATGAGGCTACGGACGGCTCTCACGGGCCTGGTCTACAGAAAGGTGAGGCCCGGGAGCAGGTGCAGGCCCTTCCTGCCTCGCCTTGGAGGTGATGTCCCTGGGCTGCTAAAGGTGCCCGCAGGCCAGGGAGGACACACACTCACACGGCACTCTGCCCGCCTTTGTTTTCTTCTGTAAGGCCCTGCGTGATCTGACCCTGATTTCTCTCTGACCTCATGACCCACCGTCTTGTTGTCCCAGGCTCAGCACAGCGGGGACCGGCCAGGGGCGCTTATCCTGTGTTGGGAGTCCAATGCCTCCTCTAACAGGAGGAGCCCTGGCCATTCTCGGCCCACCCACCGGGGCTGCCTTTGACCTCCTGTTGGAGTCACAGCGTCTGTCTCCTCGCTGAGCTGCCCCTGCAGGAGGCATTATGAAGTCTTGGTGGATTCTCAGGTGCCCACCGCCTGCTCAGCGCACAGTGGGAGCTTTTTAAGGACTCGCTGAGTGGGGAATTTGTAACTGAGCTCTTCCTAGCTCACTCCTCTCACCAACAGAGAGTAACTACACATGCAGCATAGCATCCAACCCGCTGGAAGGGGTCCCCTGGGACCCCAGGATCCAGCCCCACGTGAGGCTGTCAGGCATATAAACGGCCAGGGGAGGGGGGGCCGACACCCCCTGTAGCCGATGCTAGGACTCAGTGGTCCTGGATTCCAATCCTGGCTGTCACTTCCCGAGCCCTGTGACTTTGGACCGCTTGCTTTATGCCTCTGTGCCTCAGTTTGCTTCCCTGTAAAATGGGGTTAATACTGTGTAGTTCGTGGATTCCACCCTTGGTTTTTCCTACCTTTGGTCACTTCTGAAATCGGGATGTGTGTCTCTGTGTCTGAATTTAGTTGGGGAAGGATAGTCTTGCTGCAGACCAACCCCCAGTCTAGCTGGGGGTGTGGGTGTAGAACCCCCGGGACGCCAATCACAGATGTCTAGGAGGGGCGGAAGGAAGTAGGTGTTACTGCAGAGCGAGGAGCCGGGCAGCTGTGGCTTCCTTCCCAGACTCCCAGAGGGGTTAGAGGTGAAGCTCAGAGTGATTGAAGTAATGGCTGGGAGGGGCGTGGTCAGCTCGCGTCCACCTTTCTGGTTGGTCAGTGGTGCCCGTGACCTTCCTGGGATTGCTTGGGGGGGTGCCGGGCTCATTAAGAGAATTTTTATGATGACTGGAGGTTGGGGGTGGGGATTGGGGGGCGCCAGGTGGTCATTGCCTTCTGCTCCACACATGGGTTTCCCTGAATAACCCCCAGCTGGGTTGTTTCTTTTGGAGACCTCGAGTCTGGTGATTGGAAGTTAGGCCTGCTGGACCCCGCCCTCAGTTCTGTGAGGGTACCTGGGGCTAAGGGGACAGACGCGGGCCTGGGCCTCCTACACTGGAGGAGTCTGGGATGCGGACTCTGTTTCCTTAGCCATATGGAGGCAGAGCTGTCCCCATGGGGCATTAGACCGACAGGTGTGTGGCAGTGCCTGAGTCATGGTTGCCACGGGAGGACGCTGCCCCTGACCCCAGCACATACGTGAGGTTCAGTCATGTGCAGCTGGCTAGTGCCTGACCTCGCACTGGTCCCAGTGCGGTGTGTCATGGGCTACGGGGGCTCCTGCTCGTCCTCTCCCAGGACCCTCATGACAGCCCCAAGAGATTGGCTCACGGAAGAGCCCCTGGCCCACCGCGCAGAGGTGCAGACTGAATGGCCTTTCTCAGCTGGGCTCCTGCTGTCCTCCACCCCCTGCCCAGGTCCTGGCACTGTCCAGTGGCTCCAGAAAGGCCACCGCAGTGGGTGACGTGGTCAATCTGGTGTCCGTGGACGTGCAGCGGCTGACCGACAGCATCCTCTACCTCAACGGGCTGTGGCTGCCGCTAGTCTGGATCGTCATCTGCTTTGTCTACCTCTGGCAGGTACGCGGGGCCCGCCTGGGGGGCACCTCCTCCTGCTCCCCCTCCCGTAGTCCTGTCCCTGCCTGCACACTGGGCAGGTGTCACAGGAAAAGGCCTAGACTAGGATGACTTCTAGACCTTGGGCGACAGGCTCGCCACCTGGGCCTCAGTATCTCTCTCCTGTAGAATGACAATGGTGCTAGCGTTTGGCAGGTGCATGCCCTGGCTGAGGCTGAGGGGTGTGCAGGCATTGCCAGCACCAGCAGCAACAGCAACCATAAAACCAGCCAAGGACAGCCGGGGGGGCGGGGTGGAGACATTGCCACGGACTGTCCAAGAAGCCCAAGGTGGCTGTGAGGCCAGGACCCTGGAACTTGTCCTAAGTCCCATGGACAGTGGGCAGGATTTTCTGTTCTTATGGAGTGGTAGTCGCTGTTTTAGGACTCGCTGCATTCAGATCCTGCGCTGACCACTTACAGGTGGTCAGATGGTGCTTGCTCCCCATGACGGTCCTATGTACCACCTGAGATGAACTGGGCACATGGGGCTGGCCCCAGGCAGGCCTCTTCCTCCCTCCCTTCCTCCCTCCCTCCCCCTCCATCCACCCCCGGCACCCAACATCTGAAGCATTTAAGAGTTATTGTTGTACGTGTGTGTGTGCTTTAAGATGTATTTATTTATTTATTTGAAAGAGAGGAGAAGCAGAGAGAGGTCTATCTTCTGGTTCACTCCCCAGTTGGCCACAATGGCCAGAGATGTGCCAATACGAAGCCAGCAGCTTCTTCCAGGTCTCCCACAAGGGTGCAGGGGCCCAAGGACTTGGGCCATCTTCAACTGCTTTCCCAGGCCATAGCAGAGAGCTGGATCGGAAGTGGAGCAGCTGGGACTCAAACCGGTGCCCATGTGGAATGCTGGCACTTCAGGTGGTGGCTTTACCTGCTATGCCACAGTGCCGGCCAGAGCTGGGCTGATCCAAAGCCAGGAACCAGGAGGTTTTTCCAGGTCTCCCACATGGGTGCAGGGGCCCAAGGACTTGGACCATCTTCCAGTGCTTTCCCAGGCCATAGTGGAGAGCTAGATCAGAAGAGGAGCAGCCAGCATCTGGAGTTTTTCCCCCAGTATCTACATATCTGTAGTGAGAGATCCTAGGGATGGAATTTGCAAGTCTGAATGCAAAAATCCACATGTGCTCCCTGTTCCCTTGATGAGCATAGCCCGATGGGGGTGCTACACAAGATTCTCAGTGGGTCTGTGTATGTTTTTTTTTTTTTTTTTTTTTTTTTTTTGACAGGCAGAGTGGACAGTGAGAGAGAGACAGAGAGAAAGGCCTTCCTTTGCCGTTGGTTCACCCTCCAATGGCCGCCACGGATGGCACGCTGCAGCCGGTGCACCGCGCTGATCCGAAGGCAGGAGCCAGGTGCTTCTCCTGGTCTCCCATGGGGTGCAGGGCCCAAGCACTTGGGCCATCCTCCACTGCACTCCCTGGCCACAGCAGAGAGCTGGCCTGGAAGAGGGGCAACTGGGACAGAATCCGGCGCCCCGACCGGGACTAGAACCCAGTGTGCCGGCGCCGCAAGGTGGAGGATTAGCCTATTGAGCCGCGGTGCCGGCCCTGTGTATGTTTTTAAAAGATGGCTTTACTTGAGAGAGTTCAAAAGAGAGGAGAGACCGAGAGCTTCCATCTTCTGGTCCACTCCCCCGGATGGCTGCAATAGCCAAGCTAAAGCCAGGGGCTTCTGGGTCTCCCACGTGGGTGCAGGGGCCCAAACACTTGGGCCATCTTCTGCTGCTTTCCCAGTGCATTAGCAGAGAGCCGGATCACAAATAGAGCAGCTGGGACATTGAACTGGTGCCCATGTGGGCAGAGGCTCTACTGGCTACGCCACAATGCCAGCCCCCTGAGTCGGTGTTTTGGCTGTGACCTTTCCACTTGGGGTTCAAGGAGTTGTGGGTCTTGGGGCATTCAGGTTTTCAGAGGAGGGAGGTCAGCATGTGCGCGTGGAGCTCTGAGAGCAGCGGGCAGCACACAGCTGGGCTTTGCTCTTTGCTGGGATGAGTGGGAATCGTGCAGGGAGCAAGGTCACTGCAGCCATGCTCCAGGGGCAGGGCCCTGGGTCTTCCATGTAGGCCCAGAGGATGGCTACGCTAGAATCCGGGGCATCGGGATCTCTCTTGCTGTCACTCAGCTCTGCCCTGGGTGCATAGAAGCAGCCTGAGGCCACACCAAGCGGGCTCGACAGCGTTCCAACAAAACTGCAGGTGTGGACACTGCACTTTGAACTTCACAGTTCAAATACAGAAGCCACTGAAAATCGTTGCATAGCAGTGGGCAGTACAGAAAGACGGAGAGTTCTCACCCACAGGCTGTGGCTGTCAGACCCTGGGTGGGTGAGTTGGTGGCACGCGGACGGGAGTGAGCACTGGATACTCCAAGGTGCCGTCTTGTGCAGGTGCTTGTCATGCTGCTGCATCGTGCGTGGGGCTTGGAGCTTCAGTGACTCGCCTGGTGTGCCAGGGCTTTGCACGCAGTTGGTGCTAGCAAGTAGACACAGGGTCCGAGCAGTGCCTCATGTGTAATGCGTAGATGTAATCTGCTATTGGGAAGAGGGAGAAAGGAGGATGAAGTTGAGGGCGGTAGAGCAGGTAGACCCATGGTCCAGGTTGATTAAAATCAGATGAGGCTAATAAGGTACCTGCAGATAACACCGGTGGTTTTCGCTGTGCCCCCTTCCCGCCTCTTGGAGGATGATCCCTAACATCACCGTGAGATCTCTGCTGATGAAGACCCGAGCATTGTTGCTACAGTTAAAGGATCCTGCCCTTACCTGCCCTTACCTTGGGTGGCCCCTGAGTATTTTGGCCGGTGTTTCCCTTCTGAGCACTTTTGGGCCACTAGGTGGCGCCAAAGCTGCATAAATGAAACTGGCTGGGTCGGTTCCCAGGTTCAGGTTTGTGTTCTTGGGGGGCAGGGAGGGGAAACTGAAGCCCCCCAGACAGGAAATGGGGTGGGGCTCATCTACAGAACGGGTCTAGATGACCTCTAGAGAGGATTCTCAAAGTCACTTCACTCAGATAATAAAGCCAACGTGCAGAGGGACAGAAACTATCCCCAAGTCACAGAGCTGGGGGAAGGTGCCGGAAAAGACTCCGCACACCCACTGATAGTGAGTTTCACATGACCTCGCCATTTCTTAGCATAAGTATGTCCCCAGTTGCATGGGATATACTTATACTAAAAATCCATACGTTTCTTACCTAAAGTTCCAAGTGAGCTGGGTGTCTCATATGGTCTCTTGCTGAGTGAGACCCCTTCCTGAGGGGCACAGTGGGGACTGGGACAGACCCTCAGAATGGCTCTGTGGGCATTCCTGTTTCCCAGAGTGGGGAGCTGCAGCTTAGGGAAGGTCAGCGCAGTGCCCAAGTCCATACCACAGTGCGACAGTGGGGATTTGAACCTGGCTGCTGCTCCCAGATGACTTGATGTGGCCATTGAGGCCAGGAACACCCCTCCCTGCCCCGCCTTGGATGTGGACCCCTCCCTGATGTGGAGGGACCCCTGGCGGCTGCCCTCATCAGCTTCCCTGGCACCCCTGCCTTAGTCCCTGGGGCTCGGCAGCCAGGCTCCCGGGCGCCTCGTGATGTCCTGTGCCCTCTGTCCCCAGCTTCTGGGCCCCTCTGCGCTCAGCGCCATTGCTGTCTTCCTGGGCCTCCTGCCTCTAAATTTCCTCATCACCAAGAAGAGGAACCACTATCAGGTTTGGCGTTGGGGGAAGGGGCACTGCAGGCCAGGGGTGCAGAGGAACCCGCGGGGCCTGGGCTGTGCTGGAGGTGGTGGGGCGATGGGTGGCAGGAGGCCTGGGCCAGCCTGAGTCTGCCCACGGCTTGGGCCCTGAGCCCGCTCTGGGGATGCTGCCTCCATCCTGAATCCAGTGTTTAGGCCACAACCCAGGGTCCACCTTCTTTAAAAAAAAAAAAAAGTTTTCTTTAAATGTTGAAAAGTGTATTTAGTTTGTGTGTATTTGAAAGGCAGAGAGACAGATGGAGAGATCTTCCATCTGCTGGTTCACTCCCCAAATGCCTGCAGCAGACAGGGCTGGGCAGGGCCAAAGTTGTGAGCCCAGGACTCCATCCAGGTCTCCCACGTGGATGACAAGGACCTGACTACCTGTGCTGTCACCACTGCCCCCAACGTCTAGAAGTTAGGATGCGGAACAGGGCCAAGCCTCAGATGCAGGATCTCGGGGCTGAGCCAATGCCCGCCCGCCCGCCCGCCCGCCCGGTTCCGCTTCCATCTGTCTGTCCATCAGCAGACGTGGCCAACATCGCCATCCAGATACATCCAGACCTGGGAGACCAACCCGGTCTCACCCCTCCTGAGCTCAGGCCATGCAGCCCCTGCCTCCCAGCATCAATACCAAAGCCCTGCAGTGGCCATGACCACAGGGTCCTGGCCTTGTGCTCACGTGGCCGCCCCATCCCCCTGCACGGGCCCCCGTCACCCTCCAGCCATCTGATGCTCCCACCTCTGGCTTCATCCCCGCTGTCCCCTCGACTGGGACCTCGCTCATCCCTGAACCCCCCACCCCCATGTCCCCTCCTGCCCCTTCCCGCCCCCTCCCTGCCATGGTGATGGTGCAGCAGCAGCAGCACCTGCCCCTCCAGCCCAGGGGCTCCATTTCTTTTGCCTGTGCTGGCTTCTGTTTCGGAGACAGGAACAGAGACGGCTTCCCTCTCCCAGGGCTCTCCCCAGATGCCCACGATGGCTAGGAGCTGGGAACTCCTGTCCAGGTCTCCCACATAGAGGGGCAGGGGCCCAACTGCTTGAGCCATCACCCCTGCCTCTCAGGGTCTGCATCACAGGACGTTGGAGTCAGGACCCAGAGCTGGGATGCAAGCTGCCCACGCCCTCCTGGTCTGATCTTGCCCATGGCAGTGTTCCATCTCGCCAGCCAGGCACCGAGCACTGGGGCACAGCTGTCTTGTTCTCACCAGACCCGAAGCTTCCTGGCAGCGGGAGTCACTCACGGCGGCGGACTCTGGGTTTAGAGCAGCGCTTGGCGCCCAGGGGGAGCCCGCTGTGTATCTGAACCCAGGAGATGACAGGGAGGTGATTGGTGCTGTCTTCGCCACCCCAGCCACCCGTCACCTGCTGTTGCTCCAGCCTCTCCTGCAGGGAGAGGCCGGTGGGGCCTTCTCCACATGGCCGTCCCCCGACAGTGCCCCTCAGTGGTGAAACTCGGGAGACCCCAGTCTCCCCACCTGACCCTGAGTCCCAGTGTGATTCAGCAGCAACACACACACCCTGGGTGCTGCCTTCTCACACTGTACCTTGTGTCTAGGTCTTTCCTGCCCCAGTGTCCCCCACCCCAACTTCCCCACCTGCACCCAACTCATCATTGAAGACGCAGCTCAGGCATCACCCCCACCTCCAGGGAGCCTTCCTGGTGGCACCACACCAAGGCTGGCTCAGGCCTCTGTCTCCTGGGAGCTCTGTGGGGGGTGTTGTCCCATGTGATGAAGACAGAGGTGGGGCCGAAGGAGGAGGCTCCTGCAGCACCTGGGCAGGAGATCGGTGGTGGCCTGGGTTTGGATCAGGACGGTGGGGCAGAGAGGCTGATGGGAGCAGAGAGATGCAGGATGAGCCTGGGGGCGGGGTTCGCTGCAGCGTGGACGGGGTTGGGGGTGCAGGGAAGGAGAAGTCGAGGCTTGACTATGTCCTCTACCCCTTCTCCCCTCCCCCAGGAGCAGCAGATGAGGCACAAGGACTCGCGGGCGCGGCTCACGGGCGCCATGCTCAGGAACGCCAGGACCATCAAGTTCCTGGGCTGGGAGGAGGCCTCCATGCAGCGCGTCCTGCACGTCCGGGGCCAGGAGCTGGGCGCCCTCAGGACCTCCGGCCTCCTCTTCTCCGTGTCCCTGGTGTCCTTCCAAGCGTCCACATTTCTGGTGACCGCTGAGCACGGGCCGGGGGAGGGGGCGCCCTGATCCTACCACCCGTCCATCAGCACGTCCCGTGTCGCGTTTGCTGCTGCTGCCTCTGTTCCCGTGGGAAGAAAGCAGGGAAGCCTCTTCCCTACAGCTCAGGCATCTGAAATCAGAGCTTCCACCCACAGGCGGGGGCTGGGGGTGTGGGGAGCTCCAGGAGGGGTCTGCGTTGCAGCCCGCAGCCTCAACCTCCTCCAACTCGCCCCACGGTCGGTTGCCAGCAGAGCCTCCCTCATCACGGCTTTGGCCTCAGTCAGCACATCTACAGTGTCTCTGCCCTTAGCTCTGGAGGCGCTGGCACGTGGCCTTAAGCCACATCTGTGTGCACAGGGATCTGACACCACAGAGCCACCGGCTGTGACTGCAGATGGCCCCAGTGCCATGGCTTAGAACCAGCAGGGCCCCCCGAAAGGATCCTGGGGGTCACCTCTGCACCAGGCAGCCATCACTCCGAGGGAGGTGCACAGGGAGGAGCACGCACGCCCTCCCGGCCTGGCCTCACCCTCCCCTCCGTGTGTCTCCCAGGTGGCTCTGGTCGTGTTCGCCGTCCACACCCTGGTGGCCGAGGACAGCGCCATGGACGCAGAGAAAGCCTTCGTGACCCTCACCGTTCTCAGCATCCTCAACAAGGCTCAGGCCTTCCTGCCGTTCTCCGCCCACTCGGTCATGCAGGTGAGAAGGGCGGGGTGCGCTGGGCTCCGCTACGCCGTCAGTCCGTCTGCCAAGGGGGCGGCGCCGCGGGGCAGGGGTCTGGGCTAAGACGCTGTCAATCACGAGGCCCTGCGGGCGCGGGCTGGAGCAGTTTTGCTTGTCTAACACGGAGGTGGGAAGCTGCCGTCGAGGCTCCCAAAGTATCAGTCCTTTGTTCCTCTGGTGTCACCAGGCCCGGGTGTCCCTTGACCGTCTGGCTGCCTTCCTGTGTCTGCGCGAAGTGGACCCTGGTGCGGTGGCCCTGAGCCCCTCCCGGTGCTGTGAGTGTCTGGCAAGCGTGGCCTGGGGGGCGGGGACGTGGGGGCGAGGCTGTGAGTGCGGCCGCAAGTCCTGAGCTCCCCAGCTGTCAGGATACTGGCAGCATGTTCTCCCCTCGGGCGGGGGAGCCCAGGCCCTTCACTGAGTGCGGGCACCAGGCGCTGCTTAGCTGGGCTTCTTCCCTGGCCCTGTGGTGCTGACTGCTGCAGTGGGACCCCCACCTCCCACCTCCCACCTCCCACCCCCCACCCCCAGTGACTCAAGACCTGCCCCCTCGTGATGGAGCCATCTGGTCAACCTGGTAGTGCTGAAATGCCCACGCTGAAGCTGTGGAGGACCCAGGTCCATATGCCAGCCCTAGCATTGACTAAGCTGAGTGACTTTGGAGAGCACCTCTCCCTGAGTCTCAGTATTCCTGCCTGTAAGATGGGCATGGTGAGCCCACAGCACCAGCTGCCTGGGGTTGTGAGGATCAGGTGAGTTCATACAGGTGCCACACACAGAGCAGGGGTCTGGCTCAGTGGGTTAGGCTGCCATTGAGCAACCTGCATCCTGTGTGGGAGCGCTCGGATTCCAGTCCTAGCTCTGCTTTCCAATCCAGCTTCCAGCTGTTGCACACCCTGGGAGGTAGCAGGTGATGGCTCAAGTGCTCAGGTCCTTGTTAGCCCCGTGAGAGATCCAGATTGAGTTCCAGGCTCCTCATTTGATGCAGGAATTTAGGGAGCACACCAGTGGACAGGAGGTTCATCTGCCTCTTTCGGCCTTTAAAATAAAATTATTTTCTTGGGGCTGGCATTATGGCACAGTAGGTTAAGCCACTGCTTGTGACACTGGCATCCCATATGGGTGCTCATTCATGACCCTGCTGCTCCACTTCTGATCCAGCTCCCTGCTAATGCACCTGGGGAAACAGTGGGAGATAGCCCCTGCCAACGTGTGAAAGACCCAGATGGAGTTCTGGGCTCCTGGCTTCAGCTTGGACCAGTACCAGCTATTGTAGCCATCCCAGGAGTGAACCAGCAGATGGAAGATCTAAACAGCTGGTTCTCAGTGTGTGCTAGTTAGTATGGTCGTCATCAAGGATAAAACAAACCCAGATGTCAGAAAAGCGGCCTTGAAGTGACCCAGAATTGGTGTTTCTGAGAAAGCTCACAACTGGTACCCTCTTAGCTGTGCACGGCTTTGTTCCGCTGCATTGTTGTGATCGGGGGCTCAGGCAGGTCTTGCATCCAAATGTGGGACAGCCCTGGGCACTGACTTTGCCCCCTGTGTCCCCAGGGTTCCCACCTGCCAGTGGGACTCATGCCCAGCTGTGCCAGAGAACCTGAGGGCCACACAAAGCCAGTGCCTGGCTCCTGGGAGCCGAGGGTCCATGACAGCTGTGCCATTGTCCCCATGGGGGGACCATGTGCATCCTCAACCAGAGGCGCAGTTGTTGTTTGAGCTGCGAGTCGGATGCACGTGGTCACCTGCCACACTCATTCACTGCCCCCACTCACCTGCACCAAAGCTTGTAAGAACAAGGTTGGTGCGGACGCTGACAGCAACCACACCCTGTGCCGGCATAGAACAATAAAAGCTGTGTCCTTAGACACTCACCGACCCTTGTACAACATGGGGAGGTGCCTCTGCCACCTACCCATTATACAGATGGGGAGACAGAGGCAGAGGAAAATCCCCACACTTCAGGTTAAGAAAGGACGAGTCCTGAGAACAGAGCGGCCAAATTAACAAGAATACGGGACTCGCCATTTGTCGCTCCCCCTCTTCATGGAGGAACGACACAGGACCCTGCGTTGTTCTTTTGTCTGCTCGGCCCTCCCCAGGTTTGCTGCTGGTTCTTCCCGGGTTGGCTACCGTCCCTTCCACCTCCGTGGAAGGGCGGTTCCCCCTGACACTTTCCCCACTTCCGCAGGGGAGCGGCACACCGCCGGCCGGCTCTCTCGGGGGCTGCTCAGGTGTTCCTTCAGATAGATGTTCCTGGTGCATGTTGTCTCTCTCCTCCTTTATAGTCCTCTTCCACCAATCCCAACTCGGCTGCCCACACGCCGAGTACGCTGCTCTCCTCCAATCAGGAGCAGGTCCTGCTGTTTATTGGTTGAACTGGAGGCAGCTGTGTAGAAGTTGTTACTCCCTTCTCAGTGCCATATTGTGGGAGAGCAGATGCATAGAATAAGTCTTAATTCCAGTAACTTAGTCTAGTCCGAGTTGCTCCCAGTTGCTCCCCACAGCCATTACATTTGAATTTCAGCTAAACGGAATTCTAAGATTTAAATTTACTTTGTTTGAAAAGGGGGCATGGGAGAGAGACATCTCCCATCTGCTGGTTCACTCCCTGAATACTTGCAAGCCGGGAGCCTGGCATTTAGCCTAGGTCTTCCATGTGGATAGGAGAGACCCCAAGAACTTGAACTATCACCCACTGCCTCCCAGGTGCACACCAGCAGGAAACTGGATGAGGAGCAGAGCCGGGGCTCGGGCCAGGCACTCACGTGGGATGCAGGCATCCTACCTGCTCCATCCTGCCTGCCCCTGAGAGTAATTTTTTATATAGGCATAGCCCAGGCAGCATTGGGCCCGGCTTTTTAGTAAGAAAAAAACCGGCCGCGTTGTTGATCTGAAATTCACCCTGTGTTTTACCTGCAGCCTTCCCTGTACACTGTCCAAGTAACTAAAATAATGGAGAAGTGTGTTTGCTTAGCACCCTACCTCCAGCCAGAGATTCTGAGCTACCTGTTTGCCCCGAGCCATGGAGGGCTTTGCTTTTTAAGACAATCTTTTAAGACAAGTATGCATTCAGAATGAACAGCCACTCATCGGATTCTTCCCTCCTTACACTGAGAAAAAATCCCAAACCCACAGACACGGGCAGACCACAGCCCAATTCCATCTGTCATCCCCCCCCGGGGGGGGGGGGCTAACTCTGCTCCCTTCATGCCATGAAGCCCTGGGCAGGACTATAATTATCTCAGAAGCTCTCTGACTTTTTCTGCAAAGGGCCAGCTTGTGCCTGTTTGAGGTTTGGGGGCCACCCAGTCCCTGTTGCAGCTGCTCAGCTCTGCGGTTACTGTACCAAAGCAGCCATAAAAAAATATACAGGCACAAGTGTGGCTGTGTGCCAATAAAACTTTATTTATAAAAGTAGGCCGCAGGTGGGATTTGGCCTTGGCCATGGCTTGCCTAGCCTAGAGTTAAATAGCCAGAGGGGGAGATAGAGAGAACAGGACCCTTGCAGGGTCGCCACCCACAAGCTAGCATGTCTGGTTCAGTGGGAGAGCTTTGGGGGTGTCTCCGGTGGGAGTGCCCACCAGGCAGGGGTCTCCTAGAACCGCCTCTTATGTCCTGCAGCTCCTGGGAAGGAATGCATCACTGTGCAGAGCGGCACCTTCTCGTGGACCCAGGAAGGGCCTCCCTGCCTCCACAGGTACGGAGGACTCCCCTGGGAACACCCTTCACAGCCACAGGGAGAAGCTGCGGGGGCTCCGCCGCCTCCTGCCTGGGTGACCTGCGGGTCCGGGTTCAGCCTGGGGCTAGAGGGGGCGGGGCAGGGCTGGCTGTTCCTGGTACTGCCCCCACTGAGAGCGCCCTGGGGGAAGCCAGAGCCCCTATGGTTGGTGGGTGGGGGGATAGGGGCATGTGAGCTTCCTACGTCGGGTGCGAGAAGTCCCCCTGCTTCCAGACTCTGCCAGGTGACGCCAAGAGGAGTCGGCTGTGCGCGTCTCCATGTGCTCTGTCAGTCCTGTGGTCACTGTCCCCTGAGGCCCCCGATTCAATGGCAAGGTCTTTGTGAAAGCTGCCCCAAAGCTGCCAGAGAAGGGAAAGAGAGTTCCCTGGGCGGCACCCGTGCAGGATTCACTGAGCGTTCGCTGTGGGTCAGGACTGCTCCAGGCACCGGTGGTAGTGTGGAGCAGACAGGCCGGGGCCCCGCTGTCTTGGGTGACGTCCTGATGGAGGTGGGGTGGGGCGTGTAGCGCAGTGGTCGGTGTCAGGAACCATGGCGGGCAGCTCTCTAAACAGTGGGGGTAGCGAGTGCAAATGTCCTGGGGCAGGAGTGTGCCAGACCCAGGCTTCTCAGCTTCAGCACTACTGGTATGTGGAGCAGATAATCCTTTATTGTGGGCTGTCCTGTGCATTGACCCCAGTCTGCCCACCAGATGCAGTGCCATCAGTTGTAACAGCTAGATCTCTAGGCCTTGCCAAGTGACCCCTGGCGGGATGAACTCCCCCTCTGTTGAGAACCATGGGCCTCTTGTGTTCAAGAAAGAGGTCAGTGTGGCTGAGGCAGAGTGGGAGGAGGACCTTAGCTCTGACCTTGAGCGAAATGGGAGCACTGGAAGTGACCTGGCTTTAGCCAGGCAGTGTCAGGGGCTGAAGCTGGGTTTAAAGAGGTCCTTACGGCCGCTGGGTGGAGGACGCGCTGTGGGACACGGGCAGGGGCAGAGCAGCGAGAGCCACGGGAAGCCTCCAGGGGAGCTCAGGTGGGAGGTGATGGTGGTTAAGGCTTCGTGCGACCATCAGCTGTGTGCATGTGCACGTGTGAGAGTGGACCTGTGTGATGCAGCTGTGTGTGGTGCACCTGTATGTGGGCATGCATGTATGAGTACACGTATTCCCTCACACACGCACTTACATGTGTGTAGATGTGTGTGCACACATCACGTGTATGGTATGCATGCATGGACGCTTCCGTGAGGGCATGAGTGTGCTTGTATTTGGGCACATGCATGCGAATGCATGCAGGTGTGTGTGGTGTGCTTGTGTGTGTGTGTGTGTGTGTGTGTGTGTGAGCTGTGCATGCAAAGACATGGGCAGGATGGCCTCTTGGGTTGCCTGATGAGGACTGGACAAGGGGAGCACTGGCCCCTGAGGTCCTCAGCGGCCATCTCCCGACCTCCCAGAGTGACCAGCAGGAAAGGCCAAGGGGGCGTGAACTCACTCACTGTGCACAGAGGCCGGCCAGGCCCTGACTGGGGATGTGTGTCCCCTCCTGGCTTGCAGGGTGAACCTCACCGTGCCACAGGGCTGTCTGCTGGCTGTCGTGGGCCCAGTTGGGGCAGGGAAGTCCTCCCTGCTCTCCGCCCTGCTTGGGGAGCTGTGGAAGGTGGAGGGCTCCGTGAGCATCAGGGTGAGCTCCCCGGCCCCCGTCTGCTAGGAGTGTCCCCTCTTCCCCAGCCTGAGGGTCCCCACCTCACCACCCAGCCCCTTCCCAGTTATTCCCCACCTCCCCCTGCCCCCTGCCCCCTGCCCCAGGATAACACCTGCTTCCACCCACCAAACTGCATTGCGTTGCAGGGTCCCGTGGCGTACGTGCCGCAGGAGGCCTGGGTCCAGAACTGCTCCGTGCTGGAGAACGTGTGTTTCCAGCAGGAGCCAGACCTGCCATGGCTGGCAGAGGTCCTGCAAGCCTGTGCGCTGGGGCCGGACGTGGACAGTTTCCCCGCGGGGGTGCACAGCCCAGTTGGAGAGCAGGTGAGGGCCCCATGGTCCCCGTGGGACAGGCACCCCTTGCAGGCGATGGGGGCCGTCCAATCCTGGCCTGCTCTGCCTGGCCCTGCTGGGTGACACTGGTCAAAGTGCCTTCCCCCTCTGGGTCTCATCAAAAGGTCTGGGCGGAGGTGTCCAACAAACAGGATGTGGGCACCTGGAGCTTTGGATCGGGCAGCGCTCGGACAGTTCTGCCCACGGGCCATATCCGGCCCACTGCTTGTTTTTATAAATAAAGTTTTATTGGGGCCCGGCCATGCCTGCTGTCGGGGCACTCAAAGGAAGAGCTGAGCAGCTGTGACTGAGACCGTGACCCGCAAGGCTTTGGGGAGCTGCCACCTGGCCCTTGCCAGAGGAAGTTTGCTGACCCTGGTGCTGGGTCTTTTCAGCGGGAGGTGGCATTAACTTTAAGGGACTGTTGAGGGTTCCAGGGGAGCAGGGGGCAGGCCCAGGGGAGGGTCTTGAGGAGCAGAGGGTGGGCCAGCAAGGAGGATGGGGGCGCTGAGGGTGGGCGGGGTGAGCCGACTATTTCAAGAAGGGGGCCGCCTGCCACCCTCCCATGCTGTGCAGACATCTGAGGTCCCAGGACCTCCTCCGCCCACACCATGCCCATCTGTGGCATTGCCACCTCCACCTCCACCCTTCTGGAGGCCAGCGTCCGAGCCCTGGGCGTCCCTACAGTCCCTCTTGTTCTCCCACAACCCCACATCTCATCCCTGCCATCAGCTCTCCGTGCTGGGGCCTCCCGCCCGCCCCCTGGTCACTGTCGTCCATCCCTGCAGTCCAGTGCCAGCATAGCAGCCAGGGGAATGGGCAAACGTGGGCCACTTCCTTCCTCTGCTCGGAACCCTCCAGGGGTTCCCCATGCTCCTCAGAGTCAAAGCCAGAGTCCTGACAATCCCCCACGAGGTCCCTGCCATCTGCCCATTTCTCCATCCGCCCTCTGGTCACACACCCCCTTTGCTGTCTCACTGCGGCCAGCTGGGTCTCCATGGTGCTCCCACATGCACAGGGCCTTTGCATCTACCATCTGCTAGGATGCCCACCCCCCCCGCCCCCGGTGCCCTGGCCAGGAGCCCCTGCGGCTCATTCCTCCCTTCTGTCACCCACCGGAGAGGCTTTCCTGAGTGCCTTACCCAGTTCTCCCTGCTCGGCGGCCCCGTCCCCTCCCCTGCTGGGTTTTCTCCATAGCACAGAACGCCGTCGGCTTCGCTGTCACCTTCTCTTGTCATGGATCATCCTCCCCTCCCCTCCTCCTTAGAATGAGAGGTCCAGGTTTGGTTTATCGCTGGGTGCCCAGTGCCAAACAGTAAGCAGTACATGAACGAGAAGGGAGAGAGGGAGAGAGAGGAGGCCTAAAAAGCCAGCTCTGGATTAAGCCTCAGGGACATGGCTGGTATCCCCCAGGAAGGCGCTGTCGGTGGAGAAATGGGAACTGGAGCTACAGTGGACAGGAAGTAAGTGGGAAGAGAGACTAGATATGGGGGGTACAGATACCTCCTCCGGGAAGCCTTCCTGGAAAGGGGAGAAGCAAAGACTGATGGGAGGATGGCCTGGGAGCAACTCCTTAGAGCTGATTGTGGCCCTGGGGACAGTCACTGTGAGGTGCACTGCCCCCGATATGCCCGGTGGCCTCTGTCACCTGGCAGATGTCAACTCCAGTCCCTGCCCCTCCGTGTGGCCGCAGGGTATGAATCTCTCTGGGGGTCAGAAGCAGCGGCTGAGCCTGGCCCGGGCTGTGTATAGAAAGGCTGCCGTGTACCTGCTGGACGACCCCCTGGCGGCACTGGACGCCCACGTGGGCCGGCACGTCTTCAACCAGGTCATCGGGCCCGCCGGGCTGCTGCGGGGAACGGTGAGTTTGGGAGAGACTTCCAAGGGCCCAGGACCTGTGCAGAGGGAGCCCGTAGAGCCCGATCCTGACCCAGGTCCCTCGCAGGCCCCACCTCGAGTCCCTGTGAAGTCACTGCGTGACAGCCTGCGCCAGCCCCTGGCGGCTTCACCGCGGCTGCTGGTTCTTGCGTGGCGGCCTCTGGTTAAAGCGCTCCAGCTGGTCTTTGACTTGGGTGGTTTGACTTAACTGTCTTTTGACTGATGTTGCGAGAGTGACACGCATTCAGCAGGAAGCCGTACTTGGCCTTTTCAGTTCCCTTTGCCCGGGCTGGGGCTGGGAGAGTCTCACACAGTGCACTGAGAGCAGCCACGGCTCCCAGCCCAGCCCCGAGGTCACCGACCGAGGCTCTGCGGTGCGTGCGCCAGGTCACTAAGCTAGGCCATGCATTATACATGTCATTTTTTATTTTTAAGATTCATGTTTTTTTATTTGAAAGAGTTACAGAGAGAGGGAGATACAGAGGTCTTCCACCTGCTGGTTCACTCCCCAGATGGCCACAACAGCCAGGGCTGAGGCCAAGCCAAAGCCAGGAGCTTCTTCGGGGTCTCCCGTGTGGGTGACAGGGACCCAAGCACTGGGCCATCTTCTGTTGCTTTCCCAGGTGCGTTAGCAGGGAGCTGGGTCAGAAGTAGAGCAGCTGGGACTGGAAGCAGTGCCCATATGGGTTAACCCGTTATGCCACAATGCCGGCTCCAGCTGAACACATTCTGACTTACGATCTTCCCAGCATACCATGGGTTTGTCAGGGTAACCCTGTCTGAGGTCAAGGGTCAATTGCACGGCTCTACTGCAAGTTCTGAGCTGAGTTAGATGAGCTCCCCAGGACCATTTTCCAAGACGCAGGTTGAAGGTGTCCCCTGCAGGAGTGGGGTTCTCCCCGTGCTGAATCTAGGGCACCAGCCCCGCCCCCAGCTCCAGGGGACTGGCCAAGCGCACAGCGTAACTTGCACCCCTCCACTGCCCAGACGCGGATTCTCGTGACCCACGCGCTCCACGTGCTGCCCCAGGCTGATTGCATCGTGGTATTGGAAGACGGGGCCATTGCGGAGATGGGTTCCTACCAGGAGCTGCTGCGCAGGAAGGGTGCCCTGGTGGGCCTCCTGGAGGGAGCCAGCCCGCCGGGGGAGAGAGGAGGAGGAGGTACTGGCTGGGGTTGGAGTCTCTGCGTCTGACTCAGGCCACCGTCGAGAAGGCTCTGGGTGTCGCAGTGACGCGACGGGCATTCACTGGTAAACCCCACTCACCCGCCGTGGGCCCCGGTCTAGCAGGAAATGGCTCTTCCAGAAGGCCACCGCTTCCCCCAGCACAGGCAGGTGACGCCTCCTGTGTGCCAGCAGGGTCTGTGCCACATCCCTTTCTGAACACCCATTGTTCAGTTCGCTTGTTTTACAGATGAGCAAGCCGGACAAAGAGTTAAGTAATTTTTTCCTTCATTTTTAAAAGATATTTTTGAGAGAGAGAGCAATCTGCTGTCTGCTGGTTCACTCCCCAGATGGCCCCAACGACCAGCGCTGGTTCAGGCCAAAGTCAGGAGCCCAGAACTTCCTCTAAGTCTCCCACGTGGGTGGCAGGGGCATGCGCACTTGGGCCACCTTCCACTGCTTTCCCAGGTGCATTAGCAGGGATGTGAATCAGAAGTGGAGCAGCTGGGACTCGAACCAGGATATGGGTTTTAAAAACGGTGGCTTAACCGGCTGCACCTAACACTGGTCCCAAGAGTTAAATTTTGCCCAAGGTCAGAGATTAGAACTTTGGTCCAGAAACAATGCTCGTAGCTTCCACTGAGCGGGAAAATCTGTGGAGCCAGGAAGGCCACACTAGGGACAGAGAACGCACGGCCAGCTGGACACCCGGTCACCACCCTGAGCTCACCTGTCATGATGGGGAGTGACAGCTGACAACAGACAGCACGGTGCACCTGTGGGGTTGGAGCCCAGGTGATCTGCCTTTTACAGGTGGGGAAGCCGAGTGCCGGAAGTGGGGGCACTGGTCCCACATGACTTGGCTTCTAAGTGGCAGTGTTGGGACTTGAACTTGACTCTAGAGAACATGGTGATGTCATCCCTGCCCCTCCAGGGCGAAGCCAGGACTCACAGCCCGGCCTCTTCTGAAAACGTCTGCTTAGCCCCACCCTAGTGCTGAGCCACGGCGCCACCGTCATGGAGCTGAAAGCCACGAGGGTGCTTCCAGCAGCTCTTGGGAAATGGGATCAAATGAGAAATTTCTTTTGGAAAGGAAAATGTTGAAATCCATGCATTTGAGGGATAGTCAACAAGTTCTTGGGAAATGCATGTTATCAAAAAGGCATAGATGGCAACGTTTTTGCACCACAACGGGCTAACATTTGTAACTGCATTTTCCCCCAAGCTAGAAGAGGTGCCTCATAGAACTTGCCTGTTTCTGTTGGCGGCTTTTGCTGTGACAGTTACATTAGAACAAACAACCCGCAAGTGGCTTATGGGCTGTTTCTTGCTTACAGACCTGTGGTTAAGCTCCTGCAGCTCTGTCTCTGGGCGTTGGCCTGCCTGCAGAGCAGTGGGTCAGGGAGGGCGGTCCTGTCTTGGGGAGGTGACCACCGAGGCTGGGTGGAACTTAGCCAGAAAAGAGCTTCACAGGTACGAAGGAGTGTCGGGGGGGCAGGCAGAGGCCACTTGATGTTGAACAATGTTCACTGCTGTTTTACCAACTCCAAGTTCATAGTGGATGCTCAGTTCTACAAATTTGAAGCTTCAGAAAACTCATACAAAGTGAAATGAAAAGGTTTATTTTAGTGCAAAAAGAATCCAGACCCTTGCATGCTTTTTTTTTTTTTGTAATGCCCGTTTTCCATGGACTTTTTTCCCCTAAAGATGTTTGTTTGAGAGGTGGAGTTATAGACAGAGGAAGAGACAGAAAAGTCCTCCATCTGCTGGTTCACTCCCCATAGAGCTGCAAGGGCTGGAGCTGAGCCGATCCAGAGCCAGGAGCTTCTTCCAGGTCTCCCACGTGGGTGTAGGGGCCCAAGCACTTGGGCCGTCTTCCATTGCTTTCCCAGGTGCATTAGCAGGGAGCTGGATCAGAAATGAAGCAGCCGGGACATGAACCAGCACTCATATGGGCTACTGGTGCTGCAGGTGGAGGCTTAGCCTACTATGCCGCAGTGCTGTCTCCTTCTATGCACTTTTTAAAGATCCCTCACAGGCATGGATTTCAATTTGCTTGTGTGTGTGTGTTTTTTTTCACCAAAGTAAACATCTTAAAAAAAAAATCCAATAGGGTCCAGTGTTGTGGCGCAGCAGGTTAACGCCTTGTCCTGAAGCACTGGCATCCCATATGGACGCCGGTTCAAGACCCAGCTGTTCCACTCGCAATCCAGCTCTCTGCTATGGCCTGGGAAAGCAGTAGAAGATGGCCCAAGTGCTTGGGCCCCTGCACCCATGTGGGAGACCCAGAAGAAGCTCCTGGCTTTGGCGCAGCTCCAGCTGTTGCGGCCAATTTGGGAGTGAACCAGCAGATGGAAGACCTCTCTCTCTCTCTCTCTCTCTCTGCCTCTCCTCTCTCTGTGTAACTCTGGCTTTCAAATAAATAAATCTTTTTAAAAATCCAAGAAATATAGGCCGGCGCTGCGGCTCAATAGGCTAATCCTCCACCTTGCAGTGCCAGCACACCGGGTTCTAGTCCCGGTCAGGGCGCCGGATTCTGTCCTGGTTGCCCCTCTTCCAGGCCAGCTCTCTGCTGTGGCCAGGGAAGGCAGTGGAGGATGGCCCAAGTCCTTGGGCCCTGCACCCCATGGGAGACCAGGAGAAGCACCTGGCTCCTGCCTTCGGATCAGCGCGCTGCACCGGCTGCAGTGCGCCAGCCGTGGCGGCCATTGGAGGGTGAACCAACGGTAAAGGAAGACCTTTCTCTCTCTCTCTCACTGTCCACTCTGTCAAAAAAAAAAAAAAAAAATCCAAGAAATATAAAGAGTAATTCCTATTGTTCCATAGAATAGCAGGATGATTAAAGTTGACACTAACCTTACATACTTTGTGAATACCTAGAGGAGAGTTTGAAGTCTCCAAATACAAAGAAATGATATGGAGATGGAACTGTTAATACATTGATTTGATCCATGCATGCTGAATACACTTGTAGAAATATCATTTTGTGCCCTATATATATGTAAATTTTTACATGTTAGGAAAAAATTATTTTTAACTCAGTGACTAAGAAAAAATCAAAATGTGCTTTGGGTGGAAAAATTTTAGAACAAATCTTAGTTATCCAGCCTTCCTTTTCCCTTGCTATAAAGATTTATTTATTTGCAGGGCAGAGTGGTAAGAGAGGGAGAGACAGATCTTGCATCTTCTGGCTTACTGCCCAGTTGACTGCAACAGTGGGGTCCTGATCAGGCCTGAGCCAGGAGCTGGGTCTCCCCCACTGGTGGCTGGGTGGGGCCCAAGCACTTGGGCCAGCTTCTGCCTTCCCAGGTGCATTAGCATAGAGCAATCAGAAACAGAACAGCCGAGACTCGAGCCAGTGCTCTAACGTGGGGCTGTAGTGTTGCAGGTGGTGGCTTAGCTCACTGCAGCACATTGCCAGCCCTGCAGTCTTAACCTTCAATCCTATTTACCAGGAACCTTTTGAAGGTACCCATTTACTGAATGAATGAATGAATGAATGGTGTTCTCAGAAGATCCCAGGGAGGGGAGAGACATTGCTGGGAAGGGCAGCAGGATTGAGTCTGGGACAGACAGATGATCGGGGAAGTGGAGGCTTCAGACCTCTTAGGGTGACCCCCAGGGTGTGACCTGACTCCCTTGGCCTTGCAGAGACAGAACGTGTGACCAGTGCCAAGGACCCCGGGAGCTCCCCTGCAGGCGACAGGTCTGAGCCCAGGCCAGAGAGGTGAGTCCCCGGGGGTATGGGGGGCACAGGTCTGCAGCAGGACCACCGGCATCTCAGGCAGGAAGGCAGGGTGGGCAAAACTATTTTGGACAGAGCACCTGCTATGTATTCGCCAATGGTCAGCCGTAATTCACCAAAGATGATTTGGTCAGCTGGCCAAAGTGCTTAAGCCCCCGTGGCCAGCTCACTGAATGAAGGATTTGCCCTTCTCCATGGTGAATGTTTTAATGAATGCTTCTTAGAGTTTCTTGCTAGAGTGGACAGGACCAGTTCCAAAGGCAGATCTTGAACACAGCTGGTCACAGTCCCTCCAGGCCCTGTCACTCGGGGTTTGAGTCCACACTCATGGCATCGCTTGGTGCTTTCCCAGATGTGCAGGCGAGGGGTCACCCAGAGCCGGCCTGCTGGCCCCTTTTCGCCCAGCTGCTTTGAGGCAGGGCACAGCTGGCCTCTTGGCAGGGCTACCTGCCACCTGACCACCTGGCACTCAGCTCCTGAGGCGGGTGGCCTCACAGAACAGATCAGTGGACACTGGATGGCTTGAGCTTGAGTGGCAGCTGTCATAGAGTGTGGCACATCATCGAGGGACGTTGGTGCTTGGAAATGTTGAAGCTGGCATGGTTCCTCCCTCTCCACCCGAGCTGGCCACTCTGAGAACACACACTGGGCAGACGCGCCTGCCTTTGTAGTGTACACGAATCCCAAGATCAGCTAAGGTGCACGCAAGCATGCAGATGGGTAATAAATCAGTGGGTGATGCATGATAGGTAATAGCTGATGTGTTCCAAGAGAAACCCCATCTTTACTGCCGGGAAAACTGAGCTGGTCCTCGGTCCATGTCAGAATCGTGCAAAGTTGTTATTCCACCAAGTCGGACAGACAAACCTGAGGTCAGCAAGGCGGGGACAAACAATCGTAGCTAAGCTCAGGTCAGCAGGAAAACTCGGAAGCAGAGCCCGAAAGCTGGAGAAGTGGGTTCATAGAGGGAGGCGCCGCTGGAGGAACAGGCGTCCTGACTCGCGTGGCTGGACCCCGCCCAGGGAGGCGGGGCCTCAGGCACCTGGTCGGTGCTCAGTGCCAGCGAATGGACGGAGGTGTGAGTGGGCAAGGGATGCACCAGGGGCTCCTGGCAGGCCTGAGGGTTGGGTATGAAACCCCGGGCAAAGGAGAGACGCTGATCTGCCTTCATTCCCCGTGACTGACAGGCCCGTCAGGCCAGCCCTGGAGAAGGTCAGGAGCGTATCTGCAGCCCACACAGGGGCCCTGCTCGATGACCCCGAGGGGGCAGGACGGCCGCCAGGAGAGGACAGCGTGCGGTTTGGCAGGGTAACTACTGGCGGCTCCTGTGCCCGCCCCACGCGCTGCTGCCGCCCCGGGAGGCAGACGGAGGGCGGGGTGACGCTCACCTTGATTGATTACCTACTGTGTGCCAAGTGGAGTTCTAGACCCTCATGTCTCCTAGTCCGCACAGCTTCTCTAAAGCGTAGACGATGAGAACCCTATTTTAGACACCTTAGAGACCTAAAGCCTCGTCTGTGTTCTCACAGCTGGCATGGGACACGAATCTGGGCCAGTCCAAATATGGAGCTTGTGCCAGTCCTCTTGCTGTGTTCACACGCTCTTCCATCACCTGTCCATGTGCCCACCTACCCACCCACTCATTTATCCACTCGTCCTTCCACCTAAGCACACACCCAGCCATAACCCACCTGTCCATCTCTCTGTCCGTTTATCCATTGGCCCTTCACTTAGCTACCCACCCACCCATTCACCCATTGGCTCATCTGTCTGCCCACTCACCTCCATAGCTACTCTCCCCAGCCCCCACTCCTCCACCCACCCATCCATCCTGTCACCCACCCAGCAGATATTTCTGGCCTGGTGGTGCCAGGGAGGGTGGAGAGAGGGCGCACAGCTGGGCCAGTGAGCAGGCTAGTGTCAGATAGCAGTAGGTTCTGTAAAGAAGCCAGAGCAGGGTGACAGGTGGAGCCCTGCGAGGGCCAGGGTCGGCTGGGATAGGCTGCTCGGAGCTGCCCGGGGAGTGCCGGGGAAGCTACCGTGGAAGGCAGGAGGCGGAGGGAACAGCCCCGGGCCTGAGCAGAGAAGGGGGTCCAGTGAGGCTGGCCGATAAGGATAACGAGTGGCAGGGAAGTTGAGAAGTTGAGAAGCGAGAGGAAGCCCCAGCAGGCAGCCGCAGCATGAGGGGGCTGGGCTGATGTGCTCCGGAGCTCCCCCTGGCTGCGGCAGGTGGAGAGCCCCAGGCTGGGAGGAGCAGGACCTGGAGCCCGTGGCCCGGCCCCTTTGAGCCTCAGCTTCCTTCCCTGCGGGATGGAGGTGAGCTCCAGGGTAGGGACGCGTGCCCGGCCCGTAGTAGGTGTTCAAGAAAACTGCAGACCCAGAGAGCGTCACCTTCAGGGGGTGGGGGTGGGGCCTGAGGCTGGGGGGGGGGAGCGTAGGGAGATGCTACAGCTGGTGTAGGGACACCGAGAAGAGCCTATGATTGGTCTGTGCTTTGGGAGCCTCCCCTGGCCTTGCCCCAACTCACCCCGCCCCCCCTTCTCTTCCACCCTCTCCCCGACGTGTGCTGCAGGTGAAAGCCGCCATGTACCTGACCTACCTGCGGGCCATGAGCAGCCCGTTCTGCCTCTACATCCTCTTTCTCTTCCTGTGCCAGCAAGCAGCCTCCTTCTGCCGGGGCTACTGGCTGAGCCTGTGGGCAGACGACCCCGCCGTGGATGGGAGGCAGGTGCAGGCGGCCTTGCGCGGCTGCATCTTTGGGCTCCTTGGCTGCCTCCAAGGTACCCCTCCCCCCAAACCTCATCATCCCAGCTCCATGGAGTGGGGAGGGGTTCAGGGCTCCCTTGCCCACCTACCCCAGGCTTGCCTGTCTTCCCTGATCTCTGCATGCCCTCCTGGGCCCAAGACCTGGGTTCCCAAGATGGGGTTGGCGGGAGCAGAGACAGCACCAGTGCCCATCCCTCCTTTCCTGGAACCCCTGAGAGTCTGTCCCAGCCCCTCCCCCACTCTGCCTGTTGGTTGCCTGCCCCTCTTGGACCACATCTCCAGAGCTGGACCCTCCCCAACAGGTGCATCACTGCCACCAGCATCTCCCATTTCTTCTTTCACCTTTTAAAATCTCGACTTGCCCGGGGTTATGCCACAAATGCCCACTACAACCGGGACTGGGCAGGGGCCAGAGCTGGGAACTCCATCCAGGTCTCCGAGGAGAGTAGGAAGGACCCAAGCCCTGAGCTAACACCACTGCCCCTCAGGGTCTGCATTAGCAGGAAGCTGGGGTCAGGAGCCACAGCTGGGAAGCAAAGCCGGGCACTGCCATGTCAGATGCAGGCATCTCGCCGCTAGGCTCAGCGCTTGCTCCCTCTCCCTTGTTTGAATGCAAGCCTTCCATAGAGACTCGCATCAGCTGTGAGAAGCAAGGAGAGGCTCTCTGGTACACCCCGCCCCGTTCTCCCAATGATAACGTGTTGCTAGGATGGTATCAGCCAGGATATTGTCTTAGGTCAACCCACAGGCCTCCCTCTGTTCTCCCCAGCTGTACGTGCACCTGCGTGCAATTCTGTCCCCTGCACAGGTTCCTGTGTCCACCACTCCAGGGAGGTCCAGCTCAAAACAGCAAAAGTCCTTTTCACAAATGTTCTGGCGAAGTGCAGCCTTGTTCTGATTGGCCTGACTTGAGTCGGGTTCCGTCCCTGAGCCAATGGCAGTAGTTCGGGTTGGCCAAGGATAAACTTTTCCCCACTCTGGAGCCAAGGGGCGAGTTAGGTGAGGTGGGCACCACGAGGAAGGGCTGTGTGTTGGCTCCCCGGGGCTGCCGTAAAGCAAATGACCACACGCTCATGGCCTACGACAACAGAAATGTGTTCCCTCACCGTTCAGAGGCCTGAAGTCACGATGCTGGCGGGGTCGGCCCCTTGCGGAGCCTCTGGGGGAGACACTGCCCCCTCCTGGTGGCTTTGGCCAGCCTTGGCTTCCTTGCTGGGAGGACGTGTGCTCCCGGCTCTGCCTCCACCTTCACTTCTCCTACTCTGTGTCTCCTTTTAAAAAGGAGTGGACACTGGTGCTGCAGTTACAGTGCTTCCTGGGGTGCCCGTACCCCACGTCAGAGTGTCTGGGTTGGGGTCCTGGCTCCACTTCCAGCTTCCTGCTAGACACTCGGAGAGGCAGCAGGTGGCGCCTCTAGTAGCTGGGTCCCTGCCACCCACGTGGGAGACCTGGGTGGGATTCCCAGCTCCCAGCTTTAGCCTGGCCCAGCCCCAGCTGTTAGGTTTGGGAAGCGACTCACTGGAGTGTGTGTGTGTGTGTGGGGGGGTGTCTCTGTGAAATAAGTAAGATAAAATTACTTTATATATGTGTATATATACATACACACACGTCATTGCGGTTAGCACTCGCCCTAAATCCAAGGTGACTTCAAGATCTTTACATCCGTCAAGACCTTATTTCCAAATAAGGTCACATTCGGAGGTTCCAGATGGCCGTGGACTTGGGAGAGAGGCAGTACTGAGCTCCACAGAGGGTGGGCCCATCAGGGGACTCTCAGGGTGGCCGAGCCACACGATGGCCACCACAGGGTGATGGGGAGACCCACCCAGGCCCTGGCGAGGCTCCCGGGGGCTGCAGCCCTCACCGTCTGACTCCTTCTGCCTTCCCAGCTGTCGGGCTGTTTGCCTCCATGGCCACGGTGCTGCTGGGTGGGGTCCGGGCGTCCAGGCTGCTCTTCCAGAGGCTCCTGTGGGACGTGGCGCGATCTCCCATCGGTTTCTTTGAGTGGACACCTGTGGGGAATCTGCTGAACCGCTTCTCCAAGGAGACGGACACGGTGGACGTGGACATCCCAGACAAGCTCCGGTCCCTGCTGACCTACGCCTTCGGACTCCTGGAGGTCATCCTGGTGGTGACAATGGCCACGCCGCTGGCCGTGGTGGCCATCCTGCCGCTGGCGCTCCTCTACGCTGGGTTTCAGGTAGGGGGAGGTCAGCCGGGGGCACCTCAGCCAGTCCCCTGTCTCTGGGCAGGAGTGAGCATGAGAGATTCTGCCCAGCTGGGCATCTGGGGTTGCCCCTAGTGGGATCCCTAGGTGGAGGCACCACTGTATGTTTCAAGCTTTCGCCCTAGTGCCTGAGTGCCTGTCTCCCAGATGTTCCCAGCCGGCTGGTTGTCTGGAAACCAAGAGGGCGTTGCTAGGTTTCCAAGGCCATTGCGTTCAGCTAGACTCTGTGGCCAGGGCTGGAGACCTGTCTCTGTGGAACTGGGTGGTTTGTGGAGAGAGTGACCCTAGCACATGCTGTTCTTCTCAGTGCTCCCCAAAGGATGGGCCCACGCAAGCCTGGTCACATGTCTCCTGAGACCCCAAGTACTTCTGACGTGTGCCGATGTTTGAGAATCACTGGGACAGCTCCACTCGGCCTGCTGCTGCCCAGGCTGTCTTTCCAGGAGGGAGGTCTGATGTTCGCTAGCTGACCTGTACTCACACCTCCCATCTTAGCAAGCCCAGCACAGAGAAAGCTTCCAAGCTCAGGGTTCATATAGTGTGCCCAGGGAAGGTTCTGATTGGTCCTTTCATGCACCAATCACAGTGAGCAAATGGAAAGTGCGCTCTTTTTGGCTAGGCTGGAACATGGGACCACCTCCATGATCAGGTCCCATGATTGTCCCTTCCCAGGACCCTTGCCAAGGAAACCAAAGTTAAGTAGAAGGAAAAACAGGGTAGCTGCACAAAACCCACCGTGTTCTGGGCCATCTCAAAGTCTTCCCGGCTCCAGGGATGCCTCTCTGTTGCAAGCTTTGGTGTCAAGCAGAGAAAACTGGGACTTGGGCACTGGGACCTGTCAGACCAGTGCCTAAGCCCCTGACCCTCAGGCACTCTCTCCTGCAAACTGCATGCTGCTGTGCCCATCCTACAGCAAACGAGACCCCACATCTACAGAGCCTGGCACACGGCGTGCATGTTCCGGCACACTCAGTTCCCACCCGCCTGCTGCCTGCACACAGCTTGCAACCTCCGGCCAGAGAGCAACACGTGTTCACCAGGGATGTCAGGGGTGGGGCACTGGTAGCTTCTGAAGCTCCCCAGGTGATTTTTCAGAAGGACTGTGGGACAAGGATGCTGTAAGGAAATCAGAGCCCAGAGAGGGCAAGCGCCAGGCCCGAGGCCACACAGCAAGCTAGTAGCACAGCTCGGTCTAGGGTTCATCTGGGGGCTCCCTGTGCTGCTAGAAGCTCCCTGTCTGTGTCCATAGCTTCTCCACCCCTCCTGCCTCAGAGCCTGTACGTGGCCAGCATGTGCCAGCTGAAACGCCTGGAGTCGGCCAGCTTCTCGTCTGTGTGCTCCCACATGGCTGAGACCTTCCAGGGCGGCGCCGTGGTCCGGGCGTTCCAAGCTCAGGGCCCCTTTGTGGATGAGAGCGATGCACGTGTGGACGAGAGCCAGAGGGCCAGCTTCCCACGGCTGGTGGCGGACAGGTAGGAAGAGCTGGGGCAGAGAAGACCTTGTCATCCATCTGTGTCCCCAGTGAGTGGCTGGAGAGGTCAAGTGTTCTGCCCATGGTCACCCAGAGAGTCCGAGGCCTGGGTGAGGGCTGTAGCCCACAGGCACTCTCGGCTCACCAGCTGAGCAGGTGGAACCTGGCCTAAAAGGTCCCTGGAAAAGGGTGCAGGAAGCAGCCCCGTTGCCAGGCGACTGGAAGAGGCTGTTGCCTTGGTGACGGAGCACATGCACAATTGTCTTCAGCCTCCTCCCAGTTCTCAACAAGAACATAGCTGTGACCCAGACAGACACAAGTTCAAGTCCCAGCACTGGGCTGAGGCGAGACAGGACTCCCACCGAGCTCGGAAGGGACGAGACCGTGCCTGGGACCCCTGTGGGTAGAGAGCTGCCATCCCAGTGTCCAGAGAAGCAGGTCCCAAGGGCATCCACTGACCCTGCTCTCACCTGCCTCCCTTCACAGGTGGCTGGCCACCAACCTGGAGCTCCTGGGGAATGGCCTGGTGTTTGCGGCTGCCTTGTGTGCCGTGCTGAGCAAGGACCACCTCAGCGCTGGCCTCGTGGGCTTCTCTGTCTCTGCCGCCCTCCAGGTACCCCGACCCCCTGCCCTGGGCTTGGGTTTAGTGGAAGGGGGACAGACAGACCTCTGCCAGCAGGCCCTTCAAGTAGCCCGAGTCCCGGCTGCCTGACAGGAGGGAGTCACAGCTCTATATGAGCAGGCTTGGCTCGGGAGACCTTGGAACAGAATCTTTCTCCTGGTCTCAGTGTACTCATCTGAAAAATGGGCTAGCTGCCCGTCACCACCGGCACTGTAGACTAAGTACACGGAGCGCCTTTCCAGGTCACGGCTCGCTTTTCCTTGAGTATTGATCACAGCATGTGATGTTGGGTCAGGACAGATGTGTGTGTATGTATGTGAGTAGCATGTGTTACCCATGAGGCCTGGCTCCAAGAGCTTCAGACACGGAACTAATGGAATGCTCCTGTCGGGAGGTGCTGTCGCGGGCCCAGGATTACAGCTGAGCCATCTCTGGCAACCAAGCTTAGGAGATAGCAAGTTCAAGGACAAAGTACGGGGGCGGGAGTGCAGGGCAGCCCTCAGAGGAGGAGGTGCTGGTGCCTGGGGAGCGGTGGCCTGAAAGCGGAGAGGGAGGGGACATGGGGGCAGTGGGTGGAGGCCCTGCCCCTCTGGGGAAGCTGTCAGAATGGAGTCGGTGGGCATGGGTGCTGCTGGGTGTCCACGGGAGGGCTGTGCACCCTCTCTGGTCCTGCCTCCCTTGCAGCAAGAGGCTGGCGCAGCCAATGTCGGGGTTCCCTCTGCACTCTCGGGCTCCCTGGGAGGGGTGCATTCCTGCCTGTCAGTCTTGGGCCCACATCCTTGGCTGCCCTGTTCCTGTGTCCTGTCCTTCCTCCCTTGGGTCGCAGGGATGGATGCAAGCCCATGTGTCTTCTCCCCCCCCACCCCCCCCCAGGTGACACAGACGCTGCAGTGGGCTGTTCGCAGCTGGACAGACCTGGAGAGCAGCATTGTGTCGGTGGAGCGGGTGACGGACTACGCCCGGACCCCCAAGGAGGTGACGGGGAAGCGGGACGGGGGTGCCCCAGCTGGGACGTGCAGGGCAGCAGCGGGCCCAGGCCGAGTGTGCTGTGGGCTCTGGAGTCTCAGCTAGGGCGGTTTGAGCGGGGACAAATCCGGCTTCCAGACAGAGCCAGGCAGGTCACCCATGAGGGACAGCAGGCCAGCACTGGGCTTCCTGGAGGGACATGTGACACCCGGCCCACTGCAAGCACGCGCTGTATGTCCAGTGCTCCTGTTCGCCCCATCTCACAGGTGTGGAAACCAAGGCTCAGGGGAGGGGGCATAGAAGGAGCTGTTCAAGGGCACAGGGCTTCCCCGTTGCATCGTTCTACGAGGGGAGGGTCCTCCCTTACCACAAGAGATGATGATTTGACCAGAAACAGTGGCCGATACTAAGTTACTATAAAAGAGAGAAAATGGAGCTGGCAGCGTCACTTGTATGTCATGTAGTTCCTAGCATTGCTGTATTCCGTGCCTCTGATGGAATTCCCGTAACGGCCCTGTACAACAGCAGTAAATATGCCCCTTATCCAGAAGAGGAAGCAGACCGCGAGGTGTGGCAGGTTCCTCTGACACCCCCCGCCCTGTCCCCTCCTGCTCTAGGCCCCCTGGAGGCTGCCCACCTGTGCTGCCAGGCCCCCCTGGCCCCGTGGAGGGCAGATCGAGTTTCGGGGCTTCGGGCTTCGGCACCGGCCTGAGCTCCCGCTGGCTGTGCACGGCGTGTCCTTCGAGATCCACGCGGGAGAGAAGGTGAGCAGCTTCCCAGAGGCCGGGCCCTGGCTTTCAGACTCTCCCCCTACACTGGACTGGGCGCTCTCCATCGAATGGCAGCTACGTTGTTCTCTCCATAAGTATGTAAGGTCAGAGTGCGTCTGTGCCGCTGTTTTAAGTTTACTTAATACACCATTGCACCATTTCAAGAGCAGATAGTGCACACCTTGGAGGAAGGACCCTGGAATTTCTGCATCTCTCGCCCCAGAAAAGTGCTACCTGGCACCCAGTGGGTGACCCACATATTTCACTCTCCGTTAGTTTGAAGGAGGGATGGGCAGACGGATGATGGGAGGGAGAGGGGCAGGTGTTGAGGGTGGGCAGGTGGAAGAGGGACGGATGGCCAGGGAGGTGGTGATGGGAGGAAGGAAAGGAAAGGTGAGGAGGGGAGGGGATGGGGGCCATGCAGGGTGGGGACCTGGTGGAAGGAAGATGAGGGAGGTGGAGGGGTGTAGTTAGGAGGGTGGAGAAGGGTGGTGACGGCAAAGCTGTAGGGGATAAATGGGTACACAGGACAGAGACGCCAGGATGAGGGCAACAGGGGAAACACACAGGAGCAAGGTGTGATGGACAGGTGGCAGGGTGGGTGCTCCCAGGATGACAGGTAAGGGTGATTCTCAGGTACAGGAGAAAACATCTCCCAATGGATGCCCACAGACCCTCTGGGCTGCTTTCCTCTGGCCAGGCCTGGTTGGAGCAAGCCTCGCCCTGCCATCCCCTGCAGGTGGGCATCGTGGGCAGGACAGGGGCTGGGAAGTCCTCCCTGGCCGGGGCCCTGCTGCGGCTCCAGGAGGCGGCGGAGGGCGGGATCTGGATCGACGGGGTCCCCATCGCCCACGTCGGCCTGCACAAGCTGCGGTCCAGGATCACCATCATCCCCCAGGTGAGCCTGCGGAGCAGGGAGAGCAGAGGCGGGAGGCAGGGCTGGCACCTGTCCTTACCACCGCCGCCCCTCCCACCCCGGCCAGGACCCCACCCTGTTCCCCGGCTCCCTTCGGATGAACCTTGACCTGCTGCAGGAACACACGGACGAAGCCATCTGGGCGGCCCTGGCCACGGTGCAGCTCAGCGCGCTGGTGGCCAGCCTGCCTGGCCAGCTGCACTACGAGTGTGCCGACCAGGGTGATGACCTGAGGTATGGGGGGGCCTGTGGCCGGGCCTTGGTGGGTGCTGACTGTGGAAGAGCGGTTGCTGTGCTGGATGACTTCCTGTGGAGAGGAAGCAGAGCATGGCAGGAGGCAGCCTGAGCCACGCTGGGTCCCCAGGGCCAGATCCCATCAGGGGTGTGGGGGTGTCATGGGCCATGTGACCTTGAACCCCGCTTGCCTGTCTGCAATCCGAGAAGCTGTTGCATGCCAAGGGGCTGCTGTGTGATGAGCACGTGCGATTTTATGGGACTCTGTTTTCATGGCTGGGTGAGGAAGGACCTGTTAGGAACACTTTCTGGCTCTGCCTCTCACTCACCTTGACCTTGGACAAGCCACTTAAGCTGTTTCCCCATCAGAAAGACAGAACATTGCGTCCTTTGAGGTCACTATCAGATGCAAACCTGTGTGTGCACAGGTGCTTAGAATGCGTCCCAGACATGGTGAAGGCTGTAGGCTGGAAACAGCCGGGAATAGAAATAGAAAACAGCCATTTCACAGGTGGGGAAACTGAGGCAGCAAAGACTGGCTTGCTGTGCCTGCCACCCCCTGCCCCCCGCCCCTGCGCTCCAAGATGGCAGGTGGGGACCACAGGCATGGAGTCGCGTGCACACACAGGCACCCCACTTCTGTGGCTGTCCCAGAGGTCCAGGGGCAGGCACGCCTGACTATACCACTGGTTCCCAGCCTGGGCCAGAAGCAGCTCCTGTGTCTGGCACGTGCGCTTCTCCGGAAAACCCAGATCCTCATCCTGGATGAGGCCACGGCTGCCGTGGACCCCGGCACCGAGCTGCAGATGCAGGAAGCCCTGGGGAGCTGGTTTGCCCAGTGCACGGTGCTGCTCATCGCCCACCGCCTGCGGTCCGTGATGGACTGCGCCAGGTAAGCAGCCCCTCCCACCGGCCCACAGGGCCGCCCCAGTGGCAGCAGGGGATGGGACTGGGAGCAGGGATAGGAGGCCATAGGACAGATTCCCAAGGGCCACCACAGAGGGCACACCCCTGTATGCGGTTTTCAAAATACGCATGTTCCATGAACACCCCTCACAGAGATGCCAAGGCTGGTGCCCAGGCTGCCGGTGCGGCTGCCAGTGACGGAAAGCTGTACAGAAAGGTTTTGTGGGTGCAAAGCTGGAGGCCATGCTGGGCTCTCCCATCCCCTTCTCCCTCTTCCCACAGGGTGCTGGTCCTGGACCAGGGACAGGTGGCAGAGAGCGGCAGCCCAGCCCAGCTGCTGGCCCAGAAGGGCCTGTTTTACAGGCTGGCCCAGGAGTCGGGCCTGGTGTGAGTGGAGCCCTGCACCTGCCCCCCACCTCCAGACTGCAGAGCCTGCAGCATCCCCTGGCGTTGCTGTCCCCGTGATGTCCAGTCTCGTCCCCTCCCTGAGAGGAAGGAGGCAGTGTGGCTGGTGACCAGAGCGTCCGATCCTGAGGACCCAGCCCTGTCCACAGGACGACGCGGGCCAGGCTGCCTGGACTCATCTGGGGGCTCAGCACTGAGCCCAGGCCCCATCCTGGCGAATGAACCCAGAATCGCCATGACGCTGGCGTAGAGATGACCCACCCATCTCGCGCACATTCATCGTGTCTGGTGGTGCGTTTAGTATTATGCTGTCCTGGGTCCCTCCTGCCGCCATTTCCTGGCCATAGCCAACCCCTCTCCGGCCCCAACCACTGCTCCATCCTGCTGCTGTGTTTTCATGGCTGCCCCCTGTGATGCCAGTGTGCAGTCACAGCCAGGAACCACTGCCCCTCTGCCCCCATCGGGGTGCTCCTGAGCTGGACACACAGCCAGGTACCCCACTGCCCCCCAAAAAGGGCTTTCCAGGCCCCAGCAATTTCAGTTCCCAGAGGAAAGGCAAGGAGCCAGGACTCCTGGGTCCTGTCGGGAGAATGTGCCTGGGACCTGGCACACTTGATACACACGGTTGCAAAGGACCCAACTCCAGCTTGCCCGGGGAGCCCTGGCTGCGCCGGGAGCACCCGGTGCTTCTGCACCAGACACCGCTGACCATCCAAGTCCACCAGGTGAAGGCCAAGCACTGGACTGAACCAAGGACAACAAGGCCCAGCTCAGGCCTGGTTCTGACAGTGGCCAGAATTCCAAGACTGGACTCAAAACCAGCTTCAGGGAGCCAGCATTGTAGCATAGCAGGTTAAGCCACCACCTGCAATGCCAGCTTCCCACAAGAGCACCAGTTCGAGTCCTGGCTGTTCCACTTCTGATCCAGCTCTGTTAATGCGTCTGGGAAAGCAGCCAAAGATGGGCCAAGTCCTTGGGCCCCTGCCACTCATGTGGGAGATGTGGTTGTTGGCAGCCACTTGGGAAGTGGACCAGCGGACGGAAGATCTGTCTGGCCCCCTCTCTCTAACTCTGCCTTTCAAATAAATAAACGTTTAAAAACAAACCCACAACTTCAGGAGTGAGGAAAGAGCTACACCCATAGTGGCCAAGCCCAAGGCCACTGGCAGAGAGGTGTGCAGGGCAGCGAGTGAGGCTGGGTGACTGCGTTGGTCTGATCTGGGTGGCCTGGTGACACTGCGTGGCAGAGAGCCGGTGAGCAGCAGAGACGACACGTGGGACTCCTGGGCATTGAATGGTAGTGCTCCGCCCACACACCTTGGTCCTATGGGAGTGGTGACCAAGACATCTGCCATCAGTCCCCTTGGCTGGGGGAGGGGCGAGCCACCCAGTTCAAACTCCCCACTCTAGGCCACCTGCTGTCACCCAGGAGCCACTGATTATTGGGCAGCGGCTGTGTTGGAGTCAGGAGTGGCCAGGAACCCACACCTGCTCCGCCCCTGCCAGGTGGCTAGGACTCTGCAGTGGCCCAGCCTGCCGTCAGGCTGAAGGGGCCTCACAGCCCCCGTGTGCATGGAGTGCTCCCGGCAGCACTCGCCCAGGCCTCCTCCAGAGCCTTTGCCACAGACCAGCCTGGCCAGGGAGCAGAGGGTGAGCCATGGGGGTGTCTGGACACCTGCCAGGAGGGTGGGACGCCGGCGAGAGCCAGCAAGGTCACTGCGTGGCTGCCTTGCTCCACGCATGTCCCAACAGGGTCCACCTGGCCTGCGCCTCCCACCTCACTGCAGACACAGCTCTCCTAGCCAGGGGAAGCAACACAGTGTGGCCCCTTCCTAGAACCTGTGGACAGATGAAACAGCACAGGACGGGGTCTCTGCACCTGGGCGTTCTGTCTGCAGTGCCGCCAGCTCGCTGGCAACCTGACGTCCACACGAGGACCCCTCCTCGGCAACAGGGCCGGAGCCGGCTTGCCTGCCTTCCTGACCGGGTCCACGCTGCTCCCCAGCAGCGAGCACAGCACAGGGCACATGGGCTCCGTGAATGCTGTGTGCAGAGGGACGAGCGAGTGACACCACCACAGCCGATGGCATCCTCAGAGCACACGGGGGGCTGGGCCCTTCTCCTGCCAGCGTTCATCCTCCTGGCCTGGGCAGGTGATGACCTGTGGTACCCACGAGGGGATGCCAGTGCCAGCATGGCTCGGGTCCCTAGCAGAAGAACTTAGTCTGTGCATGCAGCTGCCCGTGCCCCACAGGCAGGAATTCAGCCAGGAAGACAGAAGCCCCCCATCTTCGGGGGCTCAAGGGGGAGCCAGCAAGGCTGCCCACCCTCCAGGGTGAGACAGCAGGAGGGAGGCACCGAGCACGGGGGGCCACAGGAAGCCAGGCTGTGCAGAGCATCGAGGACGGGCTGCCGCGGGGAGGTGGGGCCAGGGCAGGGTGGCCACACAAGCGGACGCAGGCACTGACGGGATCAACAACAGACCTGGGGTGGTGGGGGAAGGTGGCAAAGGACAGGAGCCTGGAGACCACCGAGGAAGGCTCTGGACTGGGACCAGCACGGCAGCAAGAGGAGGATGCATGGCAGAGTCCAGGTGATGAGAGAAAAGTTAAGTGAACGGCCTGGGGGCCTGGAAGCAGGAGGGAGCGAGACTGGACCGGCAGCTCATCACTGACCCCGTCAGCCCCAGTCCTGCCTCTGTCCAGGCCAGGGCCCCTCCCGGGAGGACTTTTGCAAACACCGAGGCCAGGGTGGGGTGTGTAGCAGGTGCGCACCACTGCTCCTGCCTCCCCTTTGTCCTGCTGCTATACCACAGCCAGTGAAGACGCCTGCCTCCCTAGCGAGCCCAGGCGCTGCTTCCACTCCCAGCTCCCCGTTAATGCCCCTGGGAGGCAGCAGGGGGACGGCTCAGGCAGCTGCGTTCCTCTCACTGGCCTGGCCTGGCCCTGGCTGCTGTGGGCATTTGAGGGAGCGAGCCAGCAAATGGAGGATCTCTGTCGCTCTGCCTTGCAAATAAAAGGAAAATGAAGAAAATTCAATGAACGTCACCGATTTCTCCAGAACAGCAAGCTGCCCACCCCACATGGGGCTGCACCTGGGAGACGTGGCTGGGACCTGACCTGGGACCTCAGTGCTCAAGGTCAGGCTCTGAGCTGCACACTCCAAACCGACACCAAGGCCCCGCGCCAGGCAGATCCAACCCCTCCTCACCCTGCCAGTCCCGACCACACCAGGCCCTCCCACTGTGCACCCTCACGATCCAGCATCTCTGAGGCCAGTCATGCTCATGAGCCATCTGGCACTGCTGGCACGTTCCATCTCAGGATATGGCAAAGAGGTGTGGACCCCGCTACCCAGGCTCCCCCGGTTCAAAGCTGGAAACCAGACACCCCACCTCGCTACCCCAACTTTTAAACCTCAGAAACCACATCAGGACAGGGAGAAGCACTTCTCTCCCATAGGCACGCCCCCACGTCCCAGCTTCCTCTGGTTTGGCTGGAGCCACGTGACTGATTCTGGCCAATGGGCTGTGAGTGGAGGTGACACGTATCCCTTCCCTCGGGAGACGCTGATAGGTGGGCATGAGTCGTCCACATGCTCCCTTCCGGCAGCTGCTCTGGGATGGCACCCGATCCTCTCCAAGACTTGGGCTGGCAAAAAACACACTGCCTCCTGACGACTTGGGGCTCACTGGTTACACAGCCTGGCCCACCTACCCTCACGCCAAGTTTATGGGCGACGCTGGCCCGCACCACACACACACGGGCACTGCTACTCAGCTCCGGGACTTCACGGGGAAGAGCTGACAGCTCCCAAAGCAGCACCCAGGCACCTGCCCAGGTCACATGACCAACAAGTGACAAACACAGGACTCACGCCTGAGTGGGACTCAGGCCCGGCCCCGGCCTGCCGGCTAAACCCCGACAGTGGCGCCCACTGGAGATGACCAATCTGCCGCGTCCTGACTCGGCTGGAGAGGCTGCCATGCCCGCTGATGCCCCACAGAAAATGGAACGTTTGTCTAGAAAGAAATAATTTTTTTTACTGCAAATTATTTGCAAATATTCACGTTTCCAGTGTTAAGTCATTACAAAAAGATTCCCAAGAAAAACTTGGTTTCTTCAACGTGAGAGAATGGTATAACTTACAAAAAAATAAATATATATTTCACCTAAGAGAAGAAAGATGCTTTCTCTGGCTTGAAGTCAGCAACGTAATTCGTAGCAAGTACGACCCAGGGCAGCAGCGAGCGCGCTCCGCGGCCGGGGTCTGGCTTTGCTTGCAACAGAGACCCCCGCGGGACAGGCTGAGAGGGGCTCCGGGTCCATCCTCCTCCGGGAACACAAGCCCCACGGTCAAGTGCAGGCCGGCTTTGGCGACTCCCTGGGAAGGCTGGTCCTCGGTCCAATGCTTCTTCCCAAGGAATTAAACGCTTCTGACGGATTTTCTCCTGGGGGCAGTACTTTTTTCAGTTAAAAAAAATAAAATAAAAAGAAACTCTCTGATACTCGTGAGCAGAATCTTGTCTGGGCAGAGGAGCAGCCAACGCTGGGTTCTCAGCACCGCCACCCTGGACAGCCCAGCAGACACCAAGGGCGAGACTTGAGGACTGGAAACCAGGAGGCGACTCGGGGAGACTTCGGGTACCGACTGGTCACACCAGGAGGTGCCTGGCACTCTGTCCTTTGGATGCGTCCTAACCAGAGCAGCCCTTCAGCCCCTGAGGGCCCCAGCAGGGGCGAAGCCACCCTGGCAACAGGTGAGGAGCAGCAAGAAGGAGAGCCGGGGTGGCAGCAGGGCCAGCGAGCGGGGAGGTCGGCGCTCAGAGACGAGACCCCGACCCTGGGGCTTCGGGTCCAGACCCTCCGCTCGTCGGTGCGTGGGGGCAGGAGACTGCCTGTGGCCACTGCGGCAAGTCCCGGTGGAGGCCGCCTCCCAGCACCCCAGCTCCTGGAAGGCCCGACGGCTGGTGAGAGCATTATCTGGGTCCCTGGGACAATGGTGACAATGGTGGTGACGTTCACTGTACTCAACCTCAAAACTGCAGCCCCAATGACACGAAGCCTTCCTCGAGGAACCAGGCAAGGATGCTGGAGGCAGTGGGGAGAGTGGGCAGGGGGCCGAGGGCTTCTCAAAGCCTCGGCACCCCCAGACTTTGGATGGAGAGATCTCAGGCGTGGCTGGATTTGGTCACTAGCATCTTTTACACACCTGCCTGCGCCGGGAGCCAGGCTCGCGTTCCCTGGGGGCGGTGAAGGCATGTGTCTCAAGGGAGACAGGAAGCAGGTGTGTGTGTTTTGGGGACGGCGGCGTCTGTGTCTTGTCTCTCCTGTTTCCACAAGGCCGACTTCAGGCACAGGGCTGCAGGGTGGCTGCTGCTCTCTGGGTGTGTTTTGGTTTTCTGGGTTTGGTTTGTGTGTTTGGTTTCGGTGCAGGTCTGGCCCGGGACGCTGCTCATGGGCCCTGCAGTTCTGAGCTCCGGGGCTCACACCAAGCCGGCGTCCTTGGCCATGCTGTAGAAGAGGCCCCTCCGCTGCAGCAGCTGGGAGGGCGAGCCGCACTCCCTGACTTCGCCTTTGTCCAGGACGATCACCCTGCGGGGGGGGGGGGGGGATGCACATGTGAGGGGGGGGGGGAGAGGAGCACGTGGCTGAGTCCCGGCTTTCGCTCAGGCCCCGGCATCTTCTGCCAGCACTGCTGCAGTAGCCCTCATCTACCCGCCCGTCCTTGGTCCCGACTTCTCGTGGACCTCCCGTTCCCAGGAGGCTTCCTCAATCTGCACCCTCACATCAGTCACACGGGGCCGGCGGTTGGCTCAGCAGGTTAAGCCCCTGCCCGGGACGCTGCCATCCCATATGAGGGCTCATTTGCGAGCGGACTGCTCTGCTTCTGAGCCAGCTTCCTACTAAGGCACCTGGGAAAGCAGTGGAGATGGCCCAAGCGCTGGGGCCCCTGCCACACACCTGAGAGACCTGGATGGAGTTCCAGCTCCTGGCTTCGGCCTGGCCTTTGTGGTCATTTAGGGAGTGAACCAGCGGATGGAAGATGTGTTTCCTCGCCATCCCAGCCCCCAGCCCTGTCACTGTGCTTCTCAAATATATATGTGATATTGCTTTAAAAATTAAAGGAGGAGTAACGGTGACACAATGCTATCAAGTGTTCACATTCAGTGTTCCGGGACTCAGAAGGTAACACACAGCTCCTAGGGCAGTCTACGACAGGCACGGCAGCCTCCTCCGCAGAGGAGCAGCCGGAGTTAGTACTTCAGCCTCTGCGGCCGGCGCTCCTATCACAACCGCTCCTCCGTGCTGCAGTTACGCGGTGAAAACAGCTGGAGATACGAAGACATCGAGCAGGTGCGCCTGTGTGCCAATACAACCTTACTCATGGGGCTGGCATCGAGGCATAGTGGGTAAAGCTGCCACCTTCGAAACCGGCATCCCATATGGGCACCGGTTCGAGTCCCGGCTGCTCCACTTCTGATCCAGCTCTCTGCTATGGCCTGGGACAGCAGTGGAAAATGACCCAAGTCCTTGGGCCCCTGCACCCACATGGAGGACCCTGAAGAAGCTCCTGGCTTTGGCCTGGCCCAGTGCTGGCCTTTGCAACCATCCAGAGAATGGAAGATCTCTGTCTCTCTGTAACTCTGACTTCCAAAATAAATAAATCTTAAAAAAAAAAAAAAACAAAACAACTATTTAGAAAAACACAGGGCTGGATCTGACCTGTGGCCACAGTTTGCTGTGAGGCCAGGTGCTTGTGAGACCCCACACATCCCACCTCTCGGTTGCGCTGGGACGTGACATCATGGTGCCTGGCATGTATTAGGTGTGCAGGGGTAGTTTACAAACTCCCCACCCCTCCACTGCTTCATGGAGCCCCTGGAACACGCCCACACTTCCATCCGTGGTTACTTGGCCCTCCATGGTCCAGATTCTTGGCCCTGTCCCCTACTATAGCCCTCTCAGCCCTAACCTCCAGGCTCCTCCTGGTCAGTACATGCACCCCCATTTCAGACCCTTACTCTGGGTCCTAGAATGTTCTTTCCTTACCTCAAAGCTTAGCAAACAGCCATCAGTGCCAGTTTTTATGAGTAAAGCTTTATCAGCATAGCCACATTCCCTCCTTTATGTAACGCACATGGCTGCTCCACACAACCCATCAGAGTAGAGTAGCCACAAGTCAGCATGCGGCCACTAAGTTGACACTCTGGCCCCTGTTCTAGATCTTTCCACAGCCAACTCCTTCCCACTGCTGGGGCTCAGCTCAAATGTTGCCTCCTTGGAGGGGCCTTCCCTGACCACCCCCACTCAGCTTAAAGCACCAGGGCCACGTGACGCCCACATGGGCTGCTTTTTCTGTAGATAATCTTACAAACTATGGAATCAAATGGAATCCAGCCTGGACATCATGTATTGTTTTCCTTCTGATATTTAATAGAAAACAAACACTTTTAGTGAGCCCCTAGGGGCCTCTGGTGCTGACGCCCTCAGGGGTCTCAGCTGTCAGCTGCTCTGCCCATTGTCTGTGGCCCCTGACTAAGGTACTCGGTCCCTGAGGCAGGCACCCTTGTGGAGGGCCAGCACGGTGGGCCCTCTGTGCAGGTGTGCTGGGTGACGGTGGGATGCCAGGAATACCTGGTACTGCCCCAGGGACGGAACGGGCCCCGTGGCCGGGCTGTTACTGGGGATATGGACAGTGGTGAGTCAGCGACTCGGGCAAGCCCCAGGCCATGGGGGGTAGGGGCCTCACCTGGTGTAGTCCATGATGGTGTTGAGCCGGTGGGCAATGGTGAGCACGGTGCAGTCGTCAAACTGCGTCCGGATGGTGGACTGAATGAGGTCGTCCGTCTCCAGGTCCACGGCCGCTGTGGCCTCGTCCAGCACCAGGATCTTCGTCTTCCTCAGCAGAGCCCGCGCCAGGCACACAAGCTGGCGCTGCCCGACACTTAAGCAGGAGGAAACAGCCAGGAGATAAAGTGTCAAACCAACCCTGGCCCTGAACGCAGGCCTGAGCTAAGGGACAGGAAACGTTCGGTGACCCTTCAAATAGCAAAGCACGTCCATTGCCCACGTCTGTGCCCACAGCAGACATCACTAATCAATCACAACACCCCTCCTGTTGATTTAGAAGCAGGATAAGAATCACTCAACACAGGGCTCAGGTGCTATTCAAAAGCCTTGTCCAGGGCGGCACAGGGAGTAGTGTGGGACACAAAAACAGCCCTGTCCCAGGGGAGGGCCTGCACAGCTGACTCTGGACTCAGCCACGGAACTTGGCAAGGGGATGCTGACCAGGACAGCTAAGGCCAGCAGCAGCCTGAAGTGGAAATGCTCCCTGGGACACCACGCCTGGGCCATCTGCTCATGGACCAGGAACCTGAGCGCACCCTCATGGCCTCAGCTAAGGTCAAGGCAGTCAGCCAGCAGCCAGGTGATCTCCAGACACCCGAGTGAGCCAGCAGGGGCAGCAGGGCCACCCGGGTGATCACCCTGGCAGGTGAACAACCCACCGACTGCTGCTGCTCTCGACCACCACGCAGGCAGGATGCCACAGCAATGGGTAACTTGACCAGGCACTGAGAGGTGACACCAAGAAGGACCACAGAGGTTCCTGGCTGTGCCACACATCATCGCCGTGCAGTGCTGGGGAACCGCTCTTCTGCCCGGAGCCGCGTGGGCATTTACAACGTCATCCACAGGCCACGGAGACCGAGCGACTGAACGACCAGCCTGCTGCAGACATACCGGATTTCGAGTCCTGTCTACAGTCACCTGGCAGGGCCAGGCCGGGTGACTCCGGAGCTGGGCATTCCCCGCCCCTGCTAGTCGCTGGGCGGCTGCTGGGATTCCTTAAAGAAGGGTCCAGGCTGGGGGGAGGGGTGGACTTGGAGGACTCCCGCCATGCTATCTGCTGACTGGGATCGAAGCCCTCAGTAAGCGTAGTAACTGTCAGCCGATCTTAGCTGGCTGCAGCTGGCTAAGAAAGGCAACGTGCTGGCCATGCGGGTTATACCGCAGCGTACAGGAGCCTTGACCGAGACCGCTTTCCCGCCTACCTCAGGTTCTCCCCGCCTTCCGCACACTCGTGGTTCAGCTTGTCGGGGAGGGCGGACACGAACTCCTTCAGGTGAGCCAGCTCCAGGGACGTCCACACTTCCTCGTCTGAGTAGCGGCTGAATGGGTCCAGGTTCATGCGCAGGGAACCGGAGAACAACACGGGGTCCTGTCCAGGGAGAGGGGTGGATGCATGAGAGCCTCACAGCAGGCCTGGGGGGAATGGAACCATGCAAGATGGGGCTCAGGGCCCCTCAAAAACCACTCTTTCCAGAGACCCTCCTAGTGGGGCGGGAAACGCCAGCAACCCCGGGTTCAGCAGAACAGCACAGATTCCTTTCCGACAGAGCCCCCCAGAGCCTTCGCTATGCAAATGTACTAGGGCCCCCAGAGGGTGATGCCAGCTGTGAAAGCGGTGGGCTCCTGCCCTCTCCCCGCCTCGGACAGAGAATCCCAGACACTCCGGGCAGAGTTACACCTGAAGGAGACCTAGGAAGCGCTCACCACCTGCGGGGATGAGTCTAGAACACTCTTGCTTGTTGCCCTGCCTAGGAGAGCGGTCAGATTTTCTCATCCTGACTCTGACAGGCAGGAGAGAAAGACGACTTCGTGATGCTCAGGCAACCGCCTCCAGTGTGGCGGGGGAGGGGCCGGTCCCCAGTGAACTCCCAGCTGGGCGTACGTGGCCCCGAGGAGACTGCGTGGGAGGAGAGGCCGTGCCGTCCTGGTGGGGACAGGGGGCCGTGGGCCGCGGCAGGAGCCCACCTGGGGGATGATGGTGATCTTGAAGCGCAGGTCGTGCAGGCCGATCTTGGCGATGTTCACGCCATCGATGATGATCTCGCCTTCTGCTGACTCGTTGATCCGGAACAAGCCCAGCGTCAGGGAGGACTTGCCTGCTCCTGTCCGCCCCACGATGCCAACCTGCGGGCCAGGAAGGAATGCTGCTCCCTAGGGGTCGCCCCTGCCTGACAACACCTTTGCCCCACAGCGGTCCAGTCATCTGGTCAACCTGACTCCCCCCACCACTGCCCGCTCCCTCTGCAGCTTCTCAAGGACCCCTTCAGGGGCTGTTTTGGGTTCAGGTCAAAGGTCGGCTTGCTGGGATTTCCCAGGGAACTCATCGCCCCTCTTGTAAATCAGCAGTGACTTTCAGTCGCAAGAACGTTAGGTAGCCATCGCGTCTTTCCCCACCTTTTCTCTGCTGGTGACTTTCCCACCCTGAGCTGTCTCCACTCAGCCCCGCCTCGAGGGATTGAGGGATCCGGGACAGAGTCAACGACGGACATTCCTGACCTCCAATCACAGCCTCCCCTCCCCTCGGCTGGGCTCCTGAGAGGTGGGCCCCAGCCTGACAGCTGTCACAAGGCCGCATGTGCAAGCTGGAGAGATTATCCTGTGGGAACGGAGCACTCAGAGCCTTGGGGCAGGCACACTTGAACAAATCCTTATGTTTGGAGATGCAAATGGCCTTAGCCTGACTTCTGAGGAAATTCGTAGGATCTCAGGGCAAGGACATCTTCCAGGAATAGCTGGGAACCAGGGGAAAGTTCAAGCATCCCGACGACTTCACGCACCCCTCAGCCATGCTGGGCTCCAGGCCACAAACTCAGAGGCCCAGGAGGCCCGGGGGAGCAAGCTCGTGAAGCGAGCGGAGAAACTGGGAGGCACCCACCGCGTCCACACCGAGCCAGGCAGAGAGCAGGGCCCGGTGCCGCCTGCAGTTCTGATAGTTCAGACAAGCAGGAAGTGGGATTTTTACACAAAATGCCCTAGCTCGCAGCCCTGTCAGACAGTGCCCGCCGTGCGCTGAGCCCAGGGGACGGGGCCGTTCCTGTGTGGGGAGGTGACGCAGCTGGCTTCACCCGTGGATCCGTGGCCCACGCACAGGGTGAACAGGCAGGGACACGACGTGCACCTACCTTCTCACCACCGTCGATGGTGACATTGATGTGCTTGAGAACCAGGTCCAGGTCCTCCCGGTACCGCAGCCCGTAGTCCCGGAATTCCACTCGGCCCACCTGGGGCCAGGTGCTGGGTGGAGCCGTCTCCTGGATTTGCCAGGGAGCCTGGGATCACGGCGGGGGGACAGGCAGGATGGGAGGGTAAGCAATCTGAAGCCTGGCCCACCGAGTCCCTCTGGTCCCTCCGACCCCCTCGCTTCCCAAACATGCTTGCCCCAGGGCCTTTGCACGTGTACCTCCCTCTTTCTGGAATGCTCTTCCCCAAACAGCCTGCTCGCTCCCCTGCTGCACACCTCAGAGCAGTGCCCGTGAACCTGCTGGCCCCGAGTCCCCCTCTCATCCCCTGCTTCACTTCCCTTCAGAGCGCTGACTGCCCCACTACCCTCTGCGAGGACGGGCGCGTTCACGGTCACTGCCGCCTCCCAGGACGGATGGGCAGCCTCCCCTCCAGAAGCTCCTGTGTTTTTGACCTTTAGCATATCTCCATTTTACAATTTATTTATAATTTATCAGTAATTTATAATTTATAACATGAACTAAGAAAACACTGCAGGAGGGTAATTAGAGGGATCTGGAGAGAAGTGGGTGGGACTTTTCAGCTATAAAAAATGTAGATTTGCATATTCATAAGGACTACAGTGATCTTTATTTTCCCTTGTACTCTTCAAATACAGTCTTACTATAAAAATGTAAAAATAAGTTAAAATCAAAATACTTTTAAAAGCTGAATTCAATGGAACATGTACTTTTAACGGTGCACTATAGTCACTCAGCTTTTATAAAAAACCAACTAGAGGCAGGCATCTGGCGCAGCACTGAAGCGGCCACTTGGGCTGTGTGCCTCCGTATCGGAATGCCTGCTTTGAGTTCTGGTCACTCTGCTTCCAACCCAACTTCCTGTTCGTGCGCACCCTGGGAGGTAGCAGCTGATGGCTCAAATGCTTGGGTCCCTGCCACCCCCGCGGGAGATCTGGACCGAATTCCCTGGGCTTTTTCAGATAACTGAGGAGTGGACTAGCAGATCGAAGATCTCTCTCTCTGCCTTTCAAATAAAATGAAAGTAAATTAAACTTTTTTTAAACCTTAAGATTTCTGAAGAAATCTGAAAACTAAATAAATTTTTTTGGTGCAAAACTCCTAGTGTAATACACGCTTGTTCCCACAGGGTGCTCGTCCACTGTGAGCAAAGCTCTGAGAAAAGGAGAGGCAAGCCAGACTCCTGCAGGCTGGGGCGCCGGCCCTGGTCTTACCCGCAAAAGGGGCCTTTTTTAGAGGACGGGTGGCACAAGGTGCAGAGCCCTGCGGGCCTGGGCAACCGCCTCAAGCTGTCAAATGGGACAGTAATGGCATCTGAGTCCTAAGGCTGCACGAAAAGTGAACGAAAGACTCTACGTCAAATGTCTAGGGCAGGGCCTGGCGGACCACGAGGGCACGGTGTGCACGCATCACCAGGCACTGCCACATCACCAGCATCACTGCCAGGACTGCCGGCGGGGGTGTGCGAGGCCTCGGGCGGCAAAGTCTGGAGCCCTGGGTCCTGGTCCCAGCTGCTCTGCTGAGCCACACGTGACCCTGGATCCGCCACTGCCCCGGGGTCCATTTTTCTCCATCTATAAATCAGGGACTTGGGGTACGTAACTGCAGGGGTTCCCAAACTCTGGCCAAGGCCTCACCACATCTGTGTACTAACTCTTAATACTGCGAACTCATTCACCCTTCATTTCTCAGCTTATCTCAGAGGAAAATTCATCTAGCACCACAAGTGGAAAACCCACACCGTGTTCCATAAAAGAAAGCCCCACAAAAGCACACAGCACGTAAGAGAAGGTGACTCAGACGGTGCCTGCCCGGCGAAGCTCCAGCATCGAGACTGCCCGCTGCTCAGCGGTCTGCTGCAGGAAGACTTTCTCTAGCACGGAATTCAGAGTTTCTGGGGTGTCACCATGAGGCAGGACACAGAATCGGAAAGGAAAATGTCTCCTCGCTCTGCTACGAACATGGGCTGTCCCAATGCCCTGACAGCACCCCATCACCCTGGACGTGCGCACTGCACACTGCGGGAGAAGCTGGGGTACACGAAGCACCTGTCCATCTAAACGGGACAGGAGACGATAGGAGGATGGACTTCCACCTGGTGGGGCAAGCAACACACCCCAACTGCCCAGACACAGAGAACACACAAGGCACGGCTCAGGTCTCTTTCGGGCAAAGCCACCGCGGACCGAGGCTGAAAGGCTGGGCCGAGGCCCTTGCTTTACCTCCTTCTCAGTTTCTGAATACTCCTTGAGTCTCTCCACGGCCACAATGTTGGTCTCCATCTCGGACGACATCCGAACCAGCCAGTTCAAGTATGCGGTGACCTGTGAATGCCAGAGTCGCGAGGAGCTACTCGAGTGGACTGAATCACTATGAACTTTCCAGGTAGGAGACGCACAGAAACCAGCCAGCCCACAGGCAGAGTTGCCACACTAAGCAAGTACCACATCTTCCAAATAAACCACGTGCCACACAAGTAATCCAAAAGGAAATCAGCAAGTATTGTGAGCTAGGTGGTGGTAAGTAAACACAATGTAGCTAACTCGGAAGATGCAGCTAACAGAGCGCTTGGGGAAAACGTGTGGCTTTAAAAGTACCTCCCTTACAGATGGAAACATCTTCTCGGGCCTACACAGTCTCCCTGACTGATGGGAATCCATCATGTCAAACTGCTCCAGCTCAGGCAGGTCACCAGCCTTGGGCCCACTCCTCAAACCCCACTCAGCCCCTTTCCTCCCCACTCCACTCCCACAGGAATCCAAGCAAAGGCCCGGGGAGTGTACAAGGGGACTGACAATCCGGCCTAGCAGCCCTCCTACCTGCAGCGAGTACGACACTGAGAGGCCCACCAGGCCCGCGCTGAGGCTGTGCCGGGAGATGACGGCAAACAGCGCGGCGAACAGCACGATACAGTTGCCCACACACTCCAGCCGCACGGCCAGCCACCTGCAGGGACACGGGGGAGGGCACGCAGACGCAAGCAGTCAGTCTCCCGGGGACGTGGCCCCCGGCTCCGCTAACTGAAGTGACCGACACAGAGGCCTTCCCAGCTCGGCTCATCTGGAATGTGCAGCCTGGGCAGAGGGGGCAGGGTCCAGGGGACACGGCATCTGTCTGTCTCTAACCATCTGGCCAGCTCGGGGAATAAAGCTGAGTTCTCCAGAAACGGCCTTCCAGGAATCTAAAACTTCCCTTTTTAAGGACCAAGTTTTCTCACTTTCTCACTAAGCCTTTAAAGTATTATTCTTATAGACATCTTTAAAAACAGATGTCATGGGGGCCGGCGCCGTGGCTCACTTGGTTAATCCTCCACCTGTGGCGCTGGCATCCCATATGGGCACCGGGTTCTAGTCCCGCTTGCTCCTCTTCCAGTCCAGCTCTCTGCTGTGGCTCTGGAAGGCAGTGGAGGATGGCCCAAGTGCTTGGGCCCTGCATCCACATGGGAGACCAGGAGGAAGCACCTGGCTCCTGGCTTCGGATCAGCGCAGTGCCGGTCGTGGCGGCCATCTGGGGAGTGAACCAGCAGAAGGAAGACCTCTCTGTCTCTCTATCTATATCTCTACCTGTCAAATAAAAACAAAACAAAACAGAAAAAACAGATGTCATGGAAATGCCTACATACTAAGAAGTCATCAACTGTAAGAGACATCGGCGATCTGAACTCTGGGCAAGAGACAAATTGAGAGGGGAGAAGCTAACTACCATCTTACTCATTTTTACGTTTTCAGTTTTATCTTTTTCTTTTTAATTTGAGAGGCAGAGAAAGAGAGAAACAGAGAGATTCTTCCATCTGCTGGTTCACTCCCTAAATGCCTGCAGCGGCCGGAAGCCCAAAGTTCAGCCCAGGTCTCTCGCGTGGTGGTGGGGACGCAGGGACTACGGCCACTACCTGCTGCCTCCCAGGGCGTGCATTAGCAGGAAGCTGGAATTGGGGGTGGAGGCTGGGACCCGAACCCAGCGCTCCTATATGGGACGTGGGCATCTCAGGGGCTGCTTAACCGCAAGGCCAAATGCCCGCCCCCAAACCCCCATTTTAAATGCCTCCTTCATGTCCCCAAAGATTTCAGAAACGTTAACACATTATTTTCCCTTCTGAAATGCACGGACACTTGTTGGAAGCTGCCTTCTGGAAGGATCGAGAGCGTGAGACGCATAGGTGGCGCCCCTGTCCCCAGGGAGACGGTGTCCTTGCTCTTTCCCATCATGGCCCTGGCGCTGCACATCACACATCCTCGTGTGAGCCAGACCCTGATGGACTCCTTGCATTCTGTAAGGAAGCCAAGGCCCCCGGCGATGCATGGTCTCCCCTCGCAGCTGCACAGAGAGGCGAGATGGCATCAGGTGGGCTCCCGGGTGGGCACTGGCCCCCTCCAGGGCATTCTCTACCTCTGTTCCCCAAACATCTATCAGGGTGCAGATGGACCAGCGGGGCTCAACCACACGCCTCTCTGGACTTCAGCAAATAGTGAAGTTCTGTCTGCACCCCCTGTATGGACAGATGCTCCTTGCTCGCTCTGGAACCACAAAGTGGCGGTTTCATACAATGCGGCTTCAGACGCACCTTGCACCCCTAGATGAGGCCTCGCGGGAGAGCACCTAACCCCGATGATGTGGTGTCACCAGGACACTGGCTAAGGGAGGAGAGCTGCAGAGTTTCTGGCTCCAGGGGAATGCTGGTACTCTCCACACTCCCGTCCCTGCCCTCCCCCAGGAAGAAGGCACGAGGAACGTGTGGAGGCGCAGGGGTGGGCCCGCTGCCACAGGCCGGCGCACCTGTTGGCCACGATGCTGGGGTAGTAGGCCTTCTGGTTCTCGTCCACCTTCAGGTCGCTCTGGCGGATGAAGCGCTCCTGCTCCTCGAAGGCGCGGATGACGCTGACGCCCAGCAGGGTCTCGTTGAAGTGCGAGTACACCGGGGAGCGGCTCACCGACTCCAGGCGCTTCAGCTGCCGTGATGAGGCCACGTAGAACCTCTGCATGGGGTGTGACAGGGAGACAGAGATGGGGGAAGGGAAGGACCTCTCCCCCCATCCTCCTGGGGCCGTGCTTGAGGAGTCTGGACGTGACTACGATCCACCTGCACCCCACCCCCAAGACAAAATGTTGGAGGTGACTTTTTTTTTAATAAAGATTTATCTGCATTTTAATTTATTTATTCAGTTATTCAAAAGGCAGAGTGACAGAGAGAAGGAGACAGATCACTGATCCACTAGGTCACTCCCCAAATGGTCGCAACAGCCAGCGGTGAGGCAGGCCAAAGCCAGAAGCCAGGAACGGCACGCAGGCTGCCACGTGCATGGCACGTCATTCAGTGCTTCCCGGTACAGGAGCAGGAAGCTGGACTGGAAGCAGGACAGCCGGGACTCAAGCAGGTGCTCCGATGTGGGTGCCGGAGTTGTGAGTGGCGGCTTCACCTGCTGCGCCACGATGCTGACCAGTGCAGGGCTGGTCTCAACCACCCGGCACTGCTTCACTCCCTAGACGACCACATGGCCAGGGCTAGGCTGAGCAAGAGCTGGGAAAGCAATCCAGGTCTTCCATGTGAGGGAGAAGGATCCAATGGCTCAGGGTTTCATCTGCTGCCTCCCAGAGTCGGCATCAAACCCAGGCAGCCCAAAGTGCAAAGTGGTGTCGTAACCACTAGGGCAACACTGGCCCCACAGCTGCTTTCTTAATGGCAGAGCTGGAGGACTTGGAAGGTTGTTAGGGAACAAGCCCTCCTGGCCTCCCACCCTGGCCAGATGGGCCACAGCAGGTACTGGATGTTACAGCCATGGCTTTTACAAGGTTGGCAGTTTTGTTCTGGGTGGCCACTCAGGCTTCAAGCTGGAGGTGGGTTTGCCCCTGGGGCCCCAGAACCCTGGGACCCAAACTTGACAATTCCCAACCCCCAGCAGGCACAAATGGTTACACTAATTCCCAGGGAGTTTATTTTTATTTATGTGAGAGGCAGGTGATCATGGTGGGAGGCTGGAAGGACAGCAAGATGGATCTTCCATCCACTGGTTCAGTGCCCAAATGCCTGCAATCGCTATGGCTGGACCAGGCCAAAGCTCGGAACCAAGCACCCCATCCAGGCCTCACACATGGTTACAGGGACCCAAGCACTCCAGCCATCCTCCACTGCCTCCCAGGTGCACATTAGCAGGAAGAATGCACACTATGTTGTTTAGCCACTATTACCTGTGTCTCTGTTACCTGAGGAGGCATTAGGGAGTTAAGGACTTTATACTGAAAGACACTTTTAATAATAAAAGTGACTTTATAGCTAAAGGTAGCATTCTCTTTTCAAATTTACAGCTAGAAGAACACACACAAAAAAGCTGGCAAGAATCCACTGAGGGCTCACGGGACGGAGACCCACCCCCGTTTTCCGCAGCACACCTCTCACCTGCACAAAGAAGTAGACGAGGCCCAGCGGGGGGATGATGACGGCGGCGATGGGCGTGGCCAGCAGCACGATGATGCAGGCGCCCACGACGCTGAACAGGGAGCCCATGAACATCTTGATGACCTGTGGGATCATGGAGTCGACCGTGTCCAGCTCCTTGGAGAAGCGGTTCACCAGGTTCCCGCTGGGCGTCCGCTCGAAGAAGCTCATGGGTGAGCGCAGGACATTGTGCAGCAGGTCCAGGTGCAGACGGCGGGAGGCGAAGATGCCCCCGATGGACACGGCCATGGAGTAGCCGAACACGGCGATTCCTGCAGGCAGGCTGCGGTCAGCGCGGACAAAGCAGCCCAGATCCCAACCTCCTAACAACAGTGGCGGCCACAACAAAGATGACAATGGCCAGTATTACTCAGCGTTTACTGTGCGCTAAGCTGGGAGGTGCTCTGAGTCTGGGATGTGAGTGAGTCTCACCTTCACGATGCTTCAGAGAGAGAGTTCTATCACTACCCCTTTCACAAGGAGAAACCAGGCCCACATCGGTGAATTCCTTTGCCCTGGATCTCCTCAACCCACACGGGAAGCAGAGCGCGGCCCGAAATCCAGGCAGCCTGCCCGGGGCCATGCTCGTGCCCTGTGTGCCCCTTTCCTCTACACCGGCGCAGTCCTGTGGAATTCTGCACTGCTCGGCCTCTGTGCTGCCCTGCGTGCCAGCCACTGAGCACCTGCCAGGTGGCCAGTCCAACCCAGTACCCGCATTTTAAATCTGATCTCACGTTCACTAACTGCAGTTCACACAGCTACCTGCGCCTGCAGCGTCCACACCGGGTACCACAGCTCTAATCAGACGCTGCTCTGTGTGGCCTCAGCTGAGCACCACATCGTCCTGGGTCTCTGCTTTCCCCTCCCTCAGTTATAATTGGGAGGCCACAGTCTTTTCCCTACTGGCAGGGGGAGGAGAGGTTAGGGACGGATAGGCTCAAGAATCCCCATCTGCTGTTCCAACGGCTTCGTCAAAGCCACCTCCCAGATCCTCTCAACACTCGTCACGTTGCATGGCACTGGCGCCAATCTCACAGGGACATAGAGGGCCCCACCTCCACCCCCTTAATCAGAAAGAAATCCAACAGGCAGAGGCCAAAACAATAGGCCCCGAAGCCAACACTGCCCAAACTGTCTCTGCCCTTAGCAGCTGTGGAACCTTCCAACAAGTCATTTCACCGCTCTGAACCTCAGCTTCCTCATCTATAAAACTGGGGCAGAGACACTTAGCTCTGAGCATGGTCAAATGTGCAGCACTGACCTTGCAGTGTGCCTGGTACACAGGAAGTGCGCAAATGTGGGAAGCGTGTGCTCCTACTGTGTGCATGCATCACACACACTGAACGGACACATCTGGATAAAAGCACACAGCACAGCAGCCAGGGGCTCCCGGGCCACACCTGCCTCGTTCTGTGCCAGGGACACAGAAGTCAAAGCATATGAAAGTGTTTCCAGAAGAGCCAGGCACCAAGCAGAGACTCTGTCAACGATGGCATGCTGGGGGCCCAAGGCAGCACACAGAAGGGGTAGGGCAGGGCTCCTCAGTCTCGTCATTGTTGACAGATGAGGCCAGGTGACCGCTCTGAGGCCTGTGCTGGGCACCGTGGGATGGTGAGCAGTACCTCTGGCCTCTAGATCATCAGCAACAGCCCCTTCCCTGCCAAGCCTCAACAACCCAAAGCATCACAGGTATCAAATGTCCCCGGTGCAGCGTCGGCATCCCACATCGTGCCAGTTCAAGACCTGGCTGCTCCACTTCCGATCCAGCTCCCTGCTGGTGGCTCGGGAAAGCAAAAGAAGACGGCCCAAATACTTGGCCCTGCATCCATGAGGGAGACCCAGAAGAAGCTTCTGGCTCCTGGCTTTGGCCTCCTAGCCCTGCCTGTTATGGCCATCTGGGGAGTGAATCAGGGGATGGAAGATTTTCTCTCTCTCTCTCTCTCTCTCTCTCTCTCTCTCTCAAGATCTGCTCTCCTCCTCTATCTGTAACTGCCTTTCAAATAAATAAAAATGAAATCATAAAAAAAAGTCCCCTAGGGGACACCAGTGTCCATGATTGGGAACCAGGAATACACACGCGTCTCCACTGCACAGAACATGTCAAGGGCCACAATGGGACTTCAGATACCTCTTCACCCCAACACTGCCACAGGGGGAAGGAGGTCTTTCCAGCCAGCACTGCTCCCAGCAGTCTCTGTTCTCAACGTTCCTCATCTGTAAAATGGGCTCACTGGAGCTCCCCTCCCTTCTAGCTCCCAGGGCCATGGGAAACACAGCATTCCCGAAACATCCATCCTATAAAGATCTGGGTGTGTGTAATGTGACAGGTGTGGTTCATCTGGGCTTGCCCTGGGTCTAGCGTCCACAAAACCACGAGGACTGCAAGGGTAACTATGGAATGACGCGATTACAGGGCCAGAATCAGGTGGGGCAGGGTGGCAATGGGGGCACCCACCTTGTGAAATGCCCAGGGCCCCATACACGCTCAGGCGGACTTTGGTGTGCTCCTGGGTTCCGTTGACGACGGGGTCATCCGTCCAGAGACTGAGCCAGTAGTTGGAAGCCAGGGAGGAGACGTGGTTACACAAGAAGAGGAAGATGCTCAGGAAGGAGATGAAGAGTCCAATGGCCTTCATGTAGTCCCAGTACACGGACAGCTTGACCTGGAGGCCCCGGGAGAAGACATCTCACACAGCGCCCCAGGCCTGGCCGCACCTGCACAGCCAGGCCGAGCTCAGAGCCTGCGCCTCTGCCGTGCTTACGGCAGGGCTCCTTCCAGGGGTGTCTGTTTTTCTCTCATAGTTTTTATGTATTTTCAAAACTCCTTTCTAGAGACTCGTATTATGGCACAGCTGGTAAAGCCGCTGCCTGTGACGCCAGAATCCCATAAGGGCACCGGTTCACGTCCGGGCTGCTCCACTTCAAATCCAGCTCCCTGCTACTGGCCTGGGAAAGCAGAGGAGCATGGGGTTTGGGCCCCTGCAACCACGTGGGAGATGTGGATGAAGCTCCTGACTTTGGCCTAGCCCAGCGTTGGCCACTGTGGCCCCCTGGGAAGTAAATCATCAGATGGAAGAAATCTCTGTCTCTCCTTCTCTAACTCTTTCAAAATAAATAAATAAATCTTAAGAAAAAAAACTCCATTACATCCATATATAAAAGTATATAAATAAGTGCACACACACACAGAACTGCACTTGTTTTTAAAAATAAATTCTTGGCCGGCGCCGTGGCTCAACAGGCTAATCCTCCGCCTAGTGGCGCCGGCACACCGGGTTCTAGTCCCGGTCGGGGCGCCGGATTCTGTCCCGGTTGCCCCTCTTCCAGGCCAGCTCTCTGCTATGGCCAGGGAGTGCAGTGGAGGATGGCCCAAGTGCTTGGGCCCTGCACCCCATGGGAGACCAGGAGAAGTACCTGGCTCCTGGCTTCAGATCAGCGTAGTGCGCCGACCACAGCAGCCATTGGAGGGTGAACCAATGGCAAAAAGAAGGCCTTTCTCTCTCTCTCTCTCTCACTGTCCACTCTGTCAAAAAAAAAAAAAAAGAAAAGAAAAGAAAAAAAACCCAAACTTAAAAAATAAATAAATAAATAAATTCTCGGGGCCAGCGCTGTGACGCAGTGGGTAAAGCCACCATCTGCAGTGCCAGCATCCCACATGGGCGCCAGTTCTAGTCCCGGCTGTTCCACATCCAATCCAGCTCTCTGCTATGGCCTGGGAAAGTAGTGGAAGATGGCCCAAGTCCTTGGGCCCCCGCACCCACATAGGAGACCAGAAAGAAGCTCCTAGCTTCTGATTGGCATAGCTTTGGCCATTGTAGCCATTTGGGGAGTGAACAGTGGATGGAAGACCTCTCTCTCTCCACCTCTCCTTCTCTGTGTAACTCTGACTTTCAAATAAATAAATAAATCTTAAAAAAAATATAAGAAATAAAAATAAATTCTCAAGGTGGGCACTGTAGCACAGTGGGTTAAGCCCCACTTGGAATGCCTGCATCCCGTATTAGAGTGCCTGGTTTAAGTCCCAACTACTCTGCTACCAATCCAGCTCCCTGATAATGCATCCTCAAGGCAGCAGGTGTTGGTTCAAATGCTTGGGCCCTGTAAGCCATGTGGGAGAACTGGATAGAGCTCCAGGCTCCTGGCTCTGGCCTGACCCATCCCTAAATGTTTTAAGTGTTTGGGGAGTAGACCAGTAGATGGAAGGTGGATCTCTCTCTATCTCTGTCGCTCTGTCTTTCAAGTTCATGAAAAGAAACATTAAAAAAATTAAAAAGTAAAATACACTTTGGATCATGCTCATGGATGGAAAATTGACCTCTGCCCGAAACAGATGATCTCTGAAAGAATGTAACACAAGAGCTCGCGGGTGCTCTCCCTGTTACAGAGAGGCCAGCACCCAGCCGAGACTCTCACAAATATAGCCACGTGCACTAAGAGAAAGGAAACCAAGGACAACAAGGGTCTTTCCGACTGTGTCACCGGGTGCTCTTCTGCACTGGGTCTGCTTGCAACCTGAACCCACCCACCCCCACCCTCCCCGCATAAAGGAGGCTACCTGGGCCACGGGAAGCCCCGGGTTAACACACTGAGGTCACCCTCAGAACTCCCGAGAGCCCCGAGCTGATCAAGGCAGGTGGTAGTCAGGGCAGGAGAGACTGCAAGCGGCCCCCATGCTGTCTGATGGCCGGGGTTCAAGTCCCAGCTCTGTGGCTCAGCAGCTGCAACCTGGGGCAGGCACAGCAGTTAGCTTCTGTGGCCTTGGTTTCCCATGCTGTCAACACCTCCCCAGGCTTGGAGAGATGCAGGCCTGACTATAAACTCAAGACTCTGCATGGCACCCAGCACACAGCAGGTGCTCCAGGAACACTGGCCACAGCTCCTGCTGAGGAGGAGGGCCTTACCTGTCCCGTCTGGGCCTTGTCCGCCTCCATCAGCTTCCAGGTCTCCTCCTCCTTGGCCCCAGGCTTCTGGAGCTCAGTGGTGCTGTTGTGTTGCCTGCTGATGTCCCCGCTGTAGGAGGAACTGCTGCTGAGCTGTCTGGAAAAACAAAGTGCAAGAGCATCAACCAAAGGGACGCTCAGGGCAAGGGGCAGTGGCCCCTGGGCTGGGCCGCTTGTGTGCGCCTGAGCTATGGCTACAAGGCAGTATATTTCCACATGTGCAGGACCAAGCACACACCCTTCATCCTTCAGGCACTAAGGTTTGGATCTTCAGAGTCCCCCAAAGCTGCCTATGTGAGGCTTGGTCCCCAGAGTGGGAGTATTGGGAGGTGCTATGGACCTTTAAGAGGTGGAGTCTAGGCTGGTGCTGTGGCGCAGTGGGTTAACGTTCTGGCCCGAAGCGCTGGCATCCCATGTGGGCGCTGGTTCAAGACCCGGCTGCTCCACTTCCAACCCAGCTCTCTGCTATGGCCTGGGAAAGCAGTGGAAGATCGCCCAAGTCCTTGGACCCCTGTACCCATGTGGGAGGCCCAGAAGAAGCTCCTGGCTCCTGGCTTCGGATCGGTGCAGCTCCAGCTGTTGTGGCCACTTGGGGAGTGAACCATTGGATGGAAGACACCCCCCCCCCCCGCCTCTCCTCTCTCTGTGTAACTCTTTCAAATAAACAAATAAATCTTAAAAAAAAAAAAGGAGGTAGAGTCTAGTGAGGTCCTTAAGTCACTGGGACAAGCCTTCCAAGGGAACTGTGGGACCCCCATCCCTTTGTCTCTCTCTCCATCCTCGCTCAGCACGTGTGCCTTCTTCCATGTGCTCTGCCACCTGTCACCTGCTATGGACCTTTGCCATGCCTTTTGGACCGTCAGTCTCCAACCTGTGAGCTAAATGACCTTTCCCTCCTAAGTAGCTTGTCCCAGCTGTTCTGCTGCAGTGACAAAGGGCACACACACTCCAGGGTCGCAAGCACCAACCATGAGGAACGAGAGCGGGGGCAACAAGGTTTGTGGCCATCTGGGAGGGGTCAGCTTGAAACTGATGACCACCGTGGGCTGGAGGGTGCTTGCTGAGTGACACCAGCACACAAGCACCGTTCTCCCAGGGCACCCTCTCGGGGCCACCTCTGTAACATGAAATGATGGAACCGGTGTGGCACTTTGTCCCATTTTGCTTTTTCTCATTTTATTTTTTGGCTCTTTTTATTGTTTGAAAGATGGTTTAACACCAGCCCTATGGGCCGGCACCGTGGCTCACTTGGCTAAACCTCTGCCTGCGGCGCCGGCATCCCATATGGGCGCCAGTTCTAGTCCCAGTTGCTCCTCTTCCAGTCCAGCTCTCTGCTGTGGTCCGGGAAGGCAGTGGAGGATGGCCCAAGTGCTTGGGCCCCCACACCAGCATGGGAGACCAGGAGAAGCACCTGGCTCCTGGCTTCGGATCGGCATAGCACCGGCTGTGGCAGCCATTTGGGGGATGAACCAATGGAAGGAAGACCTTTCTCTCTCTCTCTCTTACTAACTCTATCTGTCAAAAAACAACAACAACAACAAACAAACAAATAAACAAAAAACAGCCCTATGGACTTATATTTTTGTGCTTTTGCTTTTTTGGTGGGAGAGGGAGGTCACTTCTAGGTTTTCCAGTAACTTTACCTGCATGGAAATTTCTATTTTAAAGAAAAGTTGTATAGAACAAAAGACTACATGTCCTGCACCCAGATTCACCAATTCTTCACATTTTGTCCCATTTATGTTATCATCTCTCTCTCCATAATTATACACATCATTCTGAATACAAATGTATCACTTTTCAGAATCTTTAATCATTTCATTTTTGATGTGATAAATGTATCAAACATAAAAGCCTCAAAATAGCTGAGAGATCACGTACCCACCAATGAGGAATTAACAAATGGTAACACACTGTATATTTCCTTTAACTTTAAAATTCAGTGCATTAGCCAAGTACTAATGCCACAGAGGTAATCACAGTTCTCAAGTTGTCTTCCCTTCCTGTCCATTTTTTGGAGACTCATTTATTTGAAAGGTATAGAAAGAGGAGGACAGACAGGAGCCTGGTACTTCATCTGGGTCTCCCCCTTGGCGGACAAGGGCCCAAGTGCTTGGGCCATCTTCCACTGCTTTCCCAGGGGTATTAGCAGGAAGCTGGATCAGAAGTGGAGCAGCCAGGACTTGAACTGGTCACTTGAACTGGTCACTAACCCACTGTACCACAACAACAGGCCCAATTCAATCTTTTATACCACATTACCAAAGTGTGTGTACCTAAGGATACACATACTTGACTTTCATATCAAGGGCTCCATCAACTAGCCTTTCAGTTCACAGCTTACGTGCAGGCCTGCCATCCACGTGGGAGACCCAGATGGAGTTCCTGGCTCCCAGCTTCCACCTGGACCAGCCCTGGCTGTCATGGGCACTTGGGGAGTGAACCAGCGGATGGAAGCAAGCTCTCTCTCTGCTGCTCTGCTTTTCAAACCAACCAACCTTTAGGAGGCCTCTGTGGTTCATGCATTGTGACCGCAGGGATCTGAGGAAGGCTCCACCCTGGAACACACAGCCTCTTCTGCAACCCCACTGCACGGGACAGGGGCAGCTCAGAGCCCGCCATGAAATAAACGTGTCCCCATAAACCCCATCTGACAGGGAGAAGACCGAGGCACAAAGCATTCTGGTAGCGAAGCCCACTGGGTCTCCAAGGACCTCGCTGAAAGCAAAGCTCCCTTAAGGCAGCGCTAATACTGGCCTGTAGGCACACGCGCTTGGAGACCAGACGGAGGTGCAGACCCCAGCCCGGTCTCTCCCGAGCTGCCTGACTCATGCACAGCTCTGTCTGCTTCCCTGTGAAACAGCTGTGCAGCCCCTCGCGGAGCACAAACCAGGCAGTCGCTCCTGCCTGACGACTCCTCGTGCCCAAGCGCAGGTTCTCACGGCCTGAACACTCCTGGGCCCCCAGAGCGAGCCGACTGAAGAGCCACAGCAAGCAGGGCCGACGGCCAAACGCCGACGCCTATGCGAGCCGTGCCACCTGGCCAGGACAGGGTCAGCCTCCCCGCCCCCAGCCTCTGCGCTCTGGAAATCAAGGCCCCTGGGGGATTCGGGAAGAGGGCCCCGGAAGCCTGCCTGTGCCTGCCGCCTCGTCTCGCCGGCCCCCCGTCAGGCCCCCAGCGCCCTCACCTCTGCAGCGGCTTCCCCCCGCCGTCGGTCACCAGCATGCCGTTCTCCATCTGCTTCGTCTCCTTCCCAGGGCCGCTGCTGCCCGTTAACCCTGCAGAGGGAGACACAAAATGCGGCAAGTGGGGTTTCAAGAGCTGACGACAAAACCACAGAGGAAACAGGTCCCTCCTGGGAAAAGAGAGTAGTAACTTGGTCACCAGGAAGTTCAGGGTGCCGAGAGCCGCCACTGCAGTGCAGGGGGTTAAGCTGCCCTCCACAACACTGGGATCCCAAATGAGTGCCAGTCCGAGTCCCGGCTGCTCTGCTTCCAATCCAGCTCGCTGCTAATGCACCTGGGAAGGCAGCGAAGGATGGCTCAGGTCCTTGGGATGGAATTCAAGGCTCTGAGGTTCAGCCTGGCCCAGCTCTGGCCATTGCAGTCATACAGAGGAGAACCAGTGGATGGAAGATCTCTCTCTCCCCCCTGTATCTCTGTTGAGAGGGGGAGAGAGGGAAGGGGGGGAGGGAGAGGGAGAGAGAGGGAGAGAGGGAGGCAGGGAGAGGTGGAGAGTCTCCCCTTCCACACTGCCAGGAAAGGGAGGGAGGGATGGAGGAAGGAAGGAGAGAAAGATAAGCAACCCGGCTTTGCTGAGGTTCCACACAAGTCCCGTGGCTAGGGCGCAGGTGCCACCCAGAGCTAGGGCCCTGTCAACAAGGACAGTGCTTGGCATAATCTAGAAGATCCCACCAGCTGAGGATCCCGGGCCAGGCTCAGGTGAGAGCAGCTCACCACTTTCAGGTTTTACTCACAGGTCCTGGCCACAGAGACTCACAGAGGGAGAAGGGCGGAGGCCTCCAGTCCCCAAGTATCACCAGGTTTGACCAGGGAGAAGGTCTGAGGCCTCCAGTCCCCAAGTATCACCAGGTTTGACCAGGGAGAAGGTCTGAGGCCTCCAGTCCCCAAGTATCACCAGGTTTGACCAGGGAGAAGGTCTGAGGCCTCCAGTCCCCAAGTATCACCAGGTTTGACCAGGGAGAAGATCTGAGGCCTCCAGTCCCCAAGTATCACCAGGTTTGACCAGGGCATCAGCCCGGGGGCAGAGCTCCACAGGATCCCCTGCAGTGCTGAGAGTTAACCCTTCAGTTGCCAGATCACAAGGAAGTAGTAAGGGAAGGGGGTACCTTGGGCAGTGGCTGTGCCCCAATAAGGATGCATTTTTTTTAAAAATTTGAGAAGTGGAGTTACAGTCAGAGAGAGGGAAAGACAGAGAGAGAGGTCTTCCATCTGCTGCTTCACTCCCCAAATGGCCACAATGGCCAGAACTGGGCTGATCCAGAGCCAGGAGCTTCTTCTAGGTCTCCCACGGGGGTGTAGGAGCTCAAGCATTTGGGCCATGTTCCAATGCCTTCCCAGGCCATAACAGAGAGCTGGATCAGAAGAGCAGCAGCCAGGACACAAACCGGCAGCCATGGCAGAGGCTTAGCCCACTGCACCGGCCCCAAGTAAGCCATTTTTACCCGAACAACCAATCAAGCTACCCTGGGACACACCAGCCAGACACCAGCCCCAACCTTAGACACAGCCCAGCCACCATCCACGGCAACCATCCCAGCAGGGACCGCAGAGCTGACACAGTGGGTGCCCGCTCCTTTCATCTTCACGGCGCTATCTCCCCCCGGGACGCTGGCATCCTGCTCCTGGGTGTCAGGAGAGAGCTGGCCAGGAGCAGGAATGAGGGGACAGACGTGCAGCGGGCAGGCAGGTAGGGGTGGCCTCGGAGCATGCTGACGCCCAGGGGACACCAGTGAAGTCTGAGCAGCACAGGCCCTCAGACCAGCCTTGGGGAACTACGGCCAGGACTGCAAGAGGGGGCGGGGAGACGCTCCCAGCAAGGGCCCTCAGAGTGGGATCTATGAAGGATGGGTCCCGTGTGACACCAAGGGCCATGAGGGCGGGGGAAGGGCTCTTGCACTTCTAGCTGAGTGCCCTGGGGCAGCAATCCAGCCCTCGGAGCCCCAACCTGCACATCTGCAAGACGGGCACATCAGCCAACCCTCCCCTCCAGAGCGGGAGGCCAAGCTGCGCTCACACGCGGTCTGGGCTCGGGGCTCCTCCCGTACGTCACATAAACGACCGGCACAACCAGGACGGGCATCCCTGCCCCGAGCACTCCCTCGAGTCCCAGCCCAGGGGGCCCCACCAAGGTCACCCCACCCCACCTGACCCACGTCCAGTGGCCCCAAGGGCTCAGAGGCAGTTTGAGCAGCTTTGTCCTCAGGGGCTTACTTCCCTGGGTGCTCCGTGCAGCTTTCCTGACGCCCTGGTCAGCCACCATCTTTCCCATACACACCTTTCCCCAGGTGGCTGCAGTGAGCTTGCACTGCGTACACAGAGCCCTTGGTGTGGGCTCTCAGACACCCACTGCTGGTGGGAGGCAAGGGGGATGGGGCTGGTCCAGTGTGGGGAACTTGCTCCCACCCTGCTCCCTGACCCTCCCACCCGCACCCCGGTCAGGTGCCGGTCAGAGTGCACCGTCCACACCTGCCCACGTCCCGGGATGCACAGGTGGTGTGTAACCAGCGGGACTGCTGGCATTTACTGTCCACCTACTGCAGGCCAGGACTCACACGCACGCTCTCCGTGGAAGCATGCTGGACACGGAGATGTGACCTACGGGGCGCTAAGGCTTTGCCGAGGGTACCAGGTGAGCAGTCACAGGTCTGCGAGCTTGACCCGAATCCCCCAGCACCGACCACAAAGCCTGGCACACAGTAGGTGCTTAACCAATGTCGGCTGAGTGAACAAATGGAAAACGGGCGGGGGTGTAAACGCACGGACATTCGGGGCCCTCCCCAGGCCGGCAGCACCAGCTCTAGGCCATGCACGCACAGCCTCGCTGTAGGAGCACAGCCAACTGTGGCCACGGGCGGGAGCTCCTGACCCCGCGCCTCACCCTCCACTCTGCCACCTGGGGACCCACCAGAGCCAATAAAATGCTAAGAACCAGGGTGAAACTCTTTCCCTGTGCCCATTAAACGCCCTGAGGGCGTGAACAGCTTTCCTCTAAAAGCCACACCCCTGGTTTACACACACACAGAGCTGGAAAAGTAACACAGGCCAGCCTTCCGCCTTTGTGTCTGTCGGTGTGGCAGCAGAAGGAAACAGTTTACAGCGGGGTGGGGCAGGTGTGACTTGGCTCTGTCCCAGTCCACAGCTCTAGTTCAAGGGCATTGCTCATGACGGGGCTTGGTCCCATGGAAACACAGGCTGAGCCAAGGGCACAGGGATCCAGGAAAAGTGACTCGGCTCAGACTCTGCCCCGGACCTTCCCAGGCTGGAATGGGGGCCCCTCCTCTGGGCTCCCACGGGCTCTCTGTCTGCTACTCTGAGGTCCCAGTGACTGGTATTTTTCTTCCCATCAGACTGTGAGTTCTCTGGGGCAGTACTCCCACTCCACTCACAGCACTCGCCATGCGCCATGTGCAGTTACACAGGATGCACACTGCGCAACTTTGCTTGGGGCGGGGGGATTCCAGACGGTGGTCCTGGCACCAGATGGCCTGGTGGCACACGGCAGGCACTCTGCACTCACTTGACTGACAGGCTGACAAGAGAACAAGCCGAGCCAGGAGGTGGCACTCCGGTGGCCACACAGGGGCCACCCCACAACCCCTACCTGCGAAGCGAGTTTCTAAATCGGCCCTGGGAGAATCGGGCGGGGTGGGGGGTGGGGGGAGGCCACACGCTCAGGCGTCCCCCTGATCTGGGATATTTCTCCCGTCTGTCGGTGTCAGAAGCCCCTCTGTGCCGCGCCTGCACACAGGGCACCCTCAGCCATCACCGTGCCGTTCACTCACCTACTGGACACATTTACCGAGAGCCTCCGGGCGCCGGGCCCTGTTCTCCCCACACCCACACCCACACCCGCCCCCGCTGGGGAAGGCGACAGAAGAACCGCCCCTTTGGGTTTAAAGCAAACACGCAGAACGCGCGGGCAGGGAATGCGCCTGGACCTCCCGTGGGTGCCAGGCACGGGGTCTCGGAGGCCGCGGGGCCACGCACGGGCCGTGCGGGAGCCACAGCGGCGCAGCCTGGGCTCGGCTCCGCGGCCGCCCCCCTCAGCCGGCCTCCAAAGGCTCAGCGCTCCTCCCGCAGGTTCTGGAACTTTCCCCGGGCAAGCGCCAGCTGGCAGGCCTCCCTCGAGGGAAGACTTCAACGTGCTGCTTTACACCCCACGCCTCACTTAGGACCAGAAAGAGATTCAGCGGGGCCAGCAGCCACCCGCAGCCTCCAGCCGCAGATTCGCGGGCCAGCGGGAAGCCCACAGGAACAGGCGTGGGCGCGGCGAGCACTCCGCAGCGGCGCGGTGTTTACGACAGCGCAGTGATGACGCAGGCGCGTTTACGGCCGTGGGACCTCACGCGTAGCCCGATGGGCAGGCACGTGCGGGCCCCGGCTGAGAGGGCCGCCGAGGCCGGACGCAGGAGAAACCTAACCGCGCCACTCCAGGTCCACGGCCCGCCTCGGATCGGGCTTGAAACGACAGTAGCTACTGAAGAGGAAAACATTCATCGCGAGGTTTGAAAACTGGGCGCGGTGCTGGAGTGCGGGCCCTGTTCCCGCGCCGAGGCGTGGCCGGAGGTCCCACCCGCTGCCATCCTGGGCACAGCAGGGTCAGGGGTACTGAGGGCCCTCGCCCGCTGGACTCCAGCAGCAAAGTGGCTGCAGCCGTGGCAAGCACAGGTGTCCCCCGACCCCGCCAGAGACCCCCCCCCAGGGCAGAACTGCTCCCTCCCCGCAAAAATGGCTGCTTTCATTTGGGGTCCTCATACAAGAAGCCACCTGTTTTCTACCTGAGACTATGCAGGCTCAGGAACCAGTATGTAAAGCATTATGGCAGTCAAGACGTTTAGGGATAAAAACGCATTCCCTGGAGATCACTATAGCATGTAATAGTGTATCTCCTGGGGGCATGGCATCTCCCCCTCCTCATGACAATGAAACCCCTCCCCCAGTCCCAGGAAGGCCCTCTCCTTCAGTGTGGGTTTAAAAAATAAATAAAAACCTGATGGATCCAGCTTCCCTTTAGGAGGGGCCAAAAATGGGGCTCCAACAAATCCAAGGTCATGGGCACTTGGCATTGGCTACAGCTGAGCAAGACCAGGCCCTGACATCAAGATGCAAGTGGACTCCCCCAAAGCCAGGGGGGAGTGGGGTGCACCTGCTAAGTTTTATTTAAGACCCACCAGGCTGGGGCTTCCTGTGTGTGTGGGGGGGTCATTTTCATTGCCTAACTAAGTGCTGAAAAGACACTCAAAATTATATGGCGACTGGCCACGCCTGTGTTCTGCGTAAACTGCCTTGGAGGAGACACAGGTGCCTGGGGGCATCTGAGGCCAGCAGGGCTCAAGGACATTCTGTGCTCACTGGACAGGAAAGGGGCTTCAGTGGATCCCTGGCACTTGGATTCTGAAAGCACAGGGCGTTATCCTCCTCTGAGAGCAGCCCACGCCTGGCGGCCAGGGAAACGCTGGCTGGTGAACCAGAAGCTGCCGGGACTTGGCTCAGGGCAGGCAGGAAAGCGGCAGCAGCAGGAAGGAAGCAGACTAGACTTGAGGGAGAACTCTCCATCCCCCAGGGCACGAACGCGCAGTAACTCGCCACACTCAGACTTTAAAAGCTTAAGGGAACGCAGAGATCAAACCCTGGCCAGAAAGAGAAGGAAAGAAAGCATAAACATGGCTTCTCTCTCTTTTTTTGGGGGGGGGGGGGACAGGCAGAGTTAGACAGTGAGAGAGAGAGAGACAGAGAGAAAGGTCTTCCTTCTGTTGGTTAACCCCCCAAATGGCCGCCATGGCCGGCGCGCTGCACCAGTCTGAGGCCAGGAGCCAGGTGCTTCCTCCTGGTCTCCCGTGCAGGTGCAGGGCCCAAGCACTTGGGCCATCCTCCACTGCCCTCCCGGGCCACAGCAGAGAGCTGGACTGGAAGAGGAGCAACCGGGACAGAATCCGGCGCCCCAACCGGGACTAGAACCCAGGGTGCCAGTGCTGCAGGCGGAGGATTAGCCTAGTGAGCCACGGTGCCGGCCATGGCTTCTCTCTCAAAACCGCTATGGGGGCCAGCGTTGTGGGTTAAGCCGCCACTTGTGATACTGGCTCTCCACATTGTAGCTTTAGTATGAGTCCCGGCTGCTCCACTTCCATCCAGCTTCCTGCCAGTGCTCCTGGGAAATCAGTGGAAGGTGGCTTAAGTGCTGCTTGGGCCCCTGCAATCCATTTGGGAGACCTGGATGAAGTGCCTGACCCCTGGCTTTGGCCTGGCCCAGCCCCGACTGTTGTGGCCATGCGGAGAGTGAACCAGCAGATGAAAGCCATCTCTCCGTCACTGTCAAATACATACATCAGTCTTTCAAAATCAACAGGGCTTCACAACAGCGTTATTCACGATGGCCAGGAAAGAAGAAAAACCCAAATGCCCGTGCAGAGATGAATGCGTAGGGAAAGCAGAGGAGGAGCCACACAGAGGGGTACTACGCAGCAACAAGAGGAAAGGGAGGAAAAAGCAGATGAACTCGGAAAGACTGCGACGGCTGCACAACGCCACGAGCAGACTGTGGATAGCTGGGTGCAGGGCTCACACGGGGAAGTGCAGGGGGCCCGCTCAGCCACGAACGCGCGCCCAGTCTGGGCAGACCCAGCGACCACAAAAGGAGCAGAGGACGGGAGATGTAAGAGGCCACTGTGCGTCCTCGGGCCAGCTGCTTCCTCTGACACTCAGTGGCTCCCCACTGCACTTAGGCCAAAACCACAACTCCCCACCAGGAAGGCCCTGCAGGACGGTCACCTCGCTGACCCCACCTCCTGCCCCCGGCCCCTGCTGGCCACAGTCTGGCCACACCAGCCTCTATCGGCTTCTCCAGCCAAGCTCGTGTTGGTCCAGAGGGCTTGGCACTGGCTTTTCCGTGTCCAGAACACTGTTCCTCACATCTTCTCCCTGCTGCCGCCCCTTCTGGAGCCAACCTCACTCCAGAGGCCCCCTGTGACTCCGTCACGCCTCGGGGCTCTCCATGGTATATGAAAGCATCCTTAGCCTGTGGGTCCATTCGGTGTCCTCCTCCCCCTCTGGGTGCGGACCCCCTAGGATACAGATTTGTTTAGTGCGTTGGTCACTGCTGTCTCCCCAAAACCTACTACAGTGCTGCTTGGGCTGGATTATATTCCCCCAAGGTCATCCGTGGCAGTCTTAGCTCCCAGGAGACTGGGTCCCTGCAGGTGTAACTAGTCAGGATGCAGTCACACTGGAGGGGGTTGGACCTTGCTAACACAATGCACACAGCGTGATTCCCTAAGAGGGAACTGCAGAGACAGACACATGTGCACGCGCTCCCACACACGCACACACTCGGGAACACCCCCAGACGAGGTGAGATCAGCGTGATGCTCCCACAAGCCCAGGAACGCTACGGATTGCAGGAAACCAGCAGAAGCTGGGAGAGCGGCTCGGGACGGAGTCGTGGCCCACACTCAGGTCTCGGGCCTCAGCCTCTAGGACCAGGAGCCAGCCAGTGTGTGTTGTCAGAGGCGCTCACTGCAAAGGCCTTAGGAAGATAATCCGCACACGAACCAACAGGTGCTAGAACACTCCCCACTGAGCAGCTCAATACACGAACAGGAAACAGCTCGTCCTCAGCACCCCAAGCCCCTGGGACGGCCGCACACAGCCTGTGACACTGACTTGCGCTGGGAGCCGTGCAGAGAGGCGGCCCTGCGGCCTCACCTGGAGGGCAGGCCGAGCCCGTACTTGGCTTCAGAAAGGGCAGTCCGTGGAGGACAGGTGCGCGCCCTAGACTTGACAGGCTAAGAAGTGACACGGTGTGCGTCCTAAACTCCTACTGCAGCAGCTGGAGCCCAGGCAGCGTCCCTCACACCAAGGGTGGGGTCCCCTTCCGTGTCGACACGGGGCAGAAATCTCCAAAAGGAGGCGAGTGGAGGATACCCCAGGAAGCCAGCATGACCGATGGACCCAGGCTGAAGCAGACCCCTTGGACTTGGAGCCAAGTGCGAACAGGATCATAGGAGCTGAACCTGCTGCCCATGAGGTCAGGGCGCGGTCCCAGCTCAAGGTTCTGAGGACTGAGAGGGCACTCCACGATGATCCCACGTTCAGGGGCCCAGCCCGGGAGGCCAGGCCAGGCCAGGCCAGGCAGCTGGAAGTGGGCAGGGCTGTAGTGACCTGGCTGATGGCACTCTCCCCCAGGGGCCTATGACGGCGACTGTACCACGTGCCAAAGCCTCCTGGCAGCTCACCACACTGAACCCACACCCGGTGTGAGAGGGTTGCTTCTGCCCATCCACTGCTTAATCGGGTAGGAACCGAGGCCCAGAGGGTTTGAGGGACAGGCCTGAGGTCACACAGGAACCGGGACCAAATCTAAGTCCTGCCAACTTCCAGCCGCCAGCTCAGCCCAGCACCACATCTCCTGGCCCTCACAGCTGCTTCCAGTCATGCCTGCCCCACGTGTCATGGGCGCCCCTGGCTCCTGGGAGCCGGAGGCATGCAGCTGCGGCTCCGGACACAGGGGGACCGGACCTGAGTGCTCTTGTGACCAGACCTTCTCCATCCAGCCCTCCGCGAGGCACCTGTGGCCGCCCTCACCCTCATCCTCCGCATCCTGCTCCTGCTCGGCGCTGGCGTAGGTGCGCAGGAACTCAGCGAAGGCCCCGTCCCGGGCCAGCAGCTCCTGGTAAGAGCCCATCTCGGAGATCTTGCCGCCACTCATGACCACGATGACATCCACCTGCGGCAGGTAGCTGATGCTGTGTGTGACCAGGATCCGCGTCTGCGGGCAAAGGGAAACCCGGCCAGGTCAGTGCATGCGCACACAGCCTGGCACAGCTGTGGCTAAGGGCGGGAGTCACGGGATCCTGCAGATCAGAGCCCAGGTCCAAAGCTAGGGCATGCATCTACGGCAGAGGCATGCACAGGGATCTGAACCTCTGCTAGGAACCGCTAACAGCTGAGGACCAGCAGGGAACAAAACCAACAAGGGCCCTTCCCCAGATTCCTGAGTCGCAGGGACAGCAGGGAAGGGGATGGGGCATCAAGAGGAAGGGGGCTGTGATGTGACCAAGGCAGAGGGGAGGGCTGGCCTTGTGCCACAGCAGGTTAAGCTGCTGTCTGCAACTCTGGCATCCCATACCTCAGAGCACTGGTTCAAGTCCCAACTGCTCCGCTTCCAATCCAGCTCCCTGCTAATGCACCTGGGAAAGCAGCAGAGGCTGGCTCAAGTGCCTGGGCCCCTGCCACCCACGTGGGAGACACAGGTGAAGTTCCTGGCTCCTGGCTTCAAACTAGTCCAGGCCCAGCTATTGCAGGGATTTGGGGAGTGAACCAGCAGATTGAAGATCTCTCCTTCTCTGTCTCTAACTCTGTCTTTCACATAAATAAATCTTTCTTTAAACAAAGGGGATGGAAAGGCTACTTTTAAATAAAAACCCCCAAGAGAAGCAGGAAGGAGGCACAAGCATGTGGGAGAACAGAAGGAGGCAGAGAAACAACTCACACCCAAGGGCCCAGTCCTTTCTCTGCAACACTGGCCTCTGATCCCCGAACACTGTTAGAAAACGTGTTAGGTTTGGGAAGATACTCAGCGAACTGTCAGCAGAGATCACCTCTTAAAGGGCCAGGTGATCGGTATTTGCAGCTTCATGGGCGGTGCGGTCGCTGTGGCAACAGCTCAGCTCTGGCTGCTGTAGCAGGAAGCAGCCACAGCTAATGCCACACAGAACGGCTGGCTGCATTCCAATGCTTCACTTACGCACGCTGGAAGTTTAACACGAGTTTCACAAGTCACAAGTAATTCTTCAGATTCCCCCCACCTTCCAATGTTTAAAATTTAAAAGCCATTCTTAGCTCGCTGACCCCTGCTCTCAAGAGAGCAACAGGGGGCACGAGATGAGGGGCACCACTTGTATCCGTGTTTCTACATCTCCTCGCACTCTTGGATTTTGGGTGCGTACTCCTTTGAACACTCAAAAACATTCTTCAGTGTTTAAACATCAGCTCTGCACAGACCTTCAGTGGTGTGTAGAGATGCGTCTAACAGGTTAAGTGACATGGCATTCTCTATATGCGCGTACACACAAGGGGACTTCCACAAGTTCATGGTAAAAAACGGAATTAAAAAGCAAGTTCATTTTGGTGCAAAAGAAATCTGACATCTACGCCGTGGTTCATGATGTGCACTTGCATGAACCTTTTGGAGCAGGTATCATGTGTGACATGGTAAGCCCAGGCAAGGTAACTCGAAAGTAATCCAGAATCTCCAAGTGTTGATACCTACTTTTGTAGGTATTTTTCACTATTTTCCCAATAGGTATAAGTGTGAGTTTTTTTCTCCCTCCATCATCATGGTTTTAAAACTTCATTGACACCTAAGCTCTGCACATGCCAATGGGGTGTGATACAGATATTTGGAACACGCACACCTTGTGTGATGATCAACTCAGGGTCATACACTACTCCTGTGATCAAGAGAAGAAGCTGTGTGCCCTCACCACCAATGAGCGGGCCGGGGCTGTGGTGCAGCGGGCTAAGCCGCAGCCTGCGACACCAGCATCCCATATCAGAGTGCCAGGCTGAGTGCCGGCTGCTCTGCTTCTGACCCAGCTCTCTGCTAATGGCTCAAGGTGCGTGGGCACCTGCCACTCACGTGAGAGACCCGATGGAGTCCCTGACCCCTGCCTCCAGCCTGGACCAGATGGGGTCATTGCAGCCATTTAGGGAGTGAACCAGCAGATGAGAGATCTCCTTTCTCTCTTTCTCTGCTCAATCTTAAAAAAGCGCAGGAACTCCTTCCGGTCATTGAAGGTGCCGTGCCAGTTTTCTGGCCCTAAAGCTCCGCCCCACGGCCAGCTGGGCCCGGAAGGAAGAGCAGGAAGTTTGTGGTGTGAGATTTCCCTCTGGGAAGCCGTGGGATGTGGAGGCAGGCCCCTGCGGCTGGGGAGGCCAGGATTTCAAGCCAGAGACCAGGGCCCAGGCCTACAAACACAAGTGCCACATGGCTGCCTTGGCAAAGTTCCAAGGAAAGCATGCGAAAGGCTGCGTGCTCAAAGCCTGGTGTAAACCAACCAACCGAGAGGCCTGAGAAGTGAAGGAGCCCTCGGCTTCGCCCAGGAGCGCCCGCCCCTCGGCAGGTACCTTGTGCTTCAGCATGCCCTTGGGGCCGACCACACTTTCAAATATGTGCTTGCCCACGTGGGCGTCCACCGCCGAGAGGGGGTCGTCGAAGAGGTATATGTCGGCGTCGCAGTACACGGCCCGCGCCAAGCTCACGCGCTGCTTCTGGCCGCCGGACAGGTTCACGCCCTGGGGACAGACACACGGGAAGGGTGGGTCACCCCAGGAGACTGGAGACCCGAGAAATGGGGCAAAGCCACCTAAGGGGTGGCTCAGGATGCAGGGACCCGCGGCTCCAGCACAGCTGGGCACAGGACCGTGTGCTCGGGTGCCCCTCTGCCTGCAAAATGGGAGAAGGCCACGCACCCAGGCCTCTTGCGGGCTGTTGCGCAGGGCACCTGGCACGTAGGGAGCGCTCAGCAAAGAGCAGCTGACAGCACCAACGGCGATGGCTGCAGGGCAGCTCCTGGTCGGCACCGGCAGACGTGGTGACGATGCTGTTACTGCCGCTTCTGCTGTCATTATTGTTAACAGCTAATGATTTCCGCACACTTACGCTGGATCTGTCACGCACCAGGGCAGCCACGTACAGCGACCAGCATGCTCTGCCCAGGGTTCAGCAGCAGGCAGCCCAACGCCACCTCCACGTGTGGCTGCACGATCGCAGTGGACACCCACGGTGTTAGGCGCCCAGCCCCCTCCTGGGAGACGCCTGCTCTCCTTCTGTGACAGCCCCTCTGGCCACAGCTAATGGGACCCAAGTCAAGACCAATCAGAATTTCCCCCTCCAGGTTTTGGCACTGTGACCATGACAGGGACTGTCAGGAGTGTCCAAACGCCAGCCACTTCTGAGACGACGACAGAGCTGATGGGAAGAAAGGGACGGCCAGAGCGGAACAGGACTCACCTCTCCCTGAGTCCACACTCTGCCCTTAGATCCCTCCCCTGCACCTGTCTCCTTAAACTCCATTCTCATTTTCGGCTCACACTAGCTCAAGTTCCCTTGCAAGCCCAAAGACCTCTGCCAGTCATTGGCATCTTCTTTCCAAGGAGGTGCAGACTTAGCTCAGTAAAAACCAGTCGTTCCCAGATAAGAGCCCAGGTGATGCAACTGGCTTCTGGCTAACAGCAGAGACAGGGCATGCAGGCAGGCATCCACCAGGGGGCGCTAGCGCGAGACACAGAAGTGGCCCAGGACAAGTGTCCCAGGCCTGGGGAAGGCACCTGCAAAGGCCGGGAAGCGGGAAGGGGTGGTGTGCTGGGGAGGAAGCTCCCTGGGGGCTGGAATACAGTGGGAGGGGGCTGGGGTTAGGGGGAGCACAGAGAACCTCCTTGGAACAAAATACAGCAGGTAGGACACACAGGGGCTGTGTTCTCTGTGGCTGTGTGTCCTCAGGGAAGTCACCTAGCCTCTCTGTGCCTCCCCGGCTCACCCATTAAATAAGAACAAATCCCATCTCAGGGCGTGCAGTTCCCATCAGATAGCGCCCCGACAGGCCCACAGAAATGCTCAGCACGTGACAGCTCCTGTGTTACTCTATTATCTCTGTCGCCAGGGACTGCAGACACTTGAACGCCACCCGGCCTCCCTGCATCGTGACCACGGTCATGTGACTTGGCAGTCATGTGACCACAGAGGCCTCTGAGCCTGGCCAAGCGTCTGAGGTGCCTTGTGGCTGCAAGGGGCCGTGTGCTCTCACTCGCTCGCTCTCAGCTGCCGCCACCACGCCAGGAGCCTCCTCTCAGGTAGCCTTCAGCCCAGGCCCCAGCAAGAACCCCTGTGGGGCAGGTGGGAGCCACACCTGCAGGGGAAGCCAAGTCTGCCCAGCCCCCGGCCCAGGGCACGACGTGGGCCTGTGCCGTGTCGGCGCCGCACTGACCTTCTCCCCGATCTCCGTGCGGTCCCCGCTGGGCAGGATCTCCAGGTCCGGGAGGAGGGCGCAGGCCTCCAGCACGGCCTGGTAGTAGCGCTCCTGCAGCTGCCGGCCGAAGAGGATGTTTTCTCGCAGGGAGTCGTTCTGGATCCAGGCCTGCTGGGGCACGTAGGCCACGGAGCCCTGCGCGGCAACCAGAGACGCACAGACTGACGGACCTGGTCGATGAGACGGCAGCTTGCCCGCCGGCCTGCCAGACAGAGCCACCACACGTGCCGCTCCAACAAGGGGGAAACTGAGTCAGCGGGGGCCCAGGTCACAGGAGCTAGGGAATTCAACCCCTCACTGATGAACCGCAGTGACTGACTTCCTAAATGTTTTCTACAGCTGGAAAAAAACTCCCACCTCTAAAGAGTGGACGTCCCTGGTGTGGCCAAAACACCATCCAAGTGCAGTCATGGTCAAAGTGATGAAACAGAACCTGGGAGGCCTTTAAGAAGTTTGGGGCCGGTGCTGTGATGCAGAGGGTTAAGCCACTGCCTGCGACACCAGCATCCCGCATGGGCGCCGGTTTGAGAGCCGGCTACTCCACTTCCGATCCAGCTCTCTGCTGATGTGCCTGGGAAAGCAGCAGAGGATGACCCAAGTGCTTGGGCCCCTGCAGCCACGTGGGAGACCCGGAAGAAGCTCCTGGCTTGGGTCTGGCCCAGGCCCGGCCGTTGTGGCCATTTGGGGAGTGCACCACCAGACGGAAGCGTGTGTTCTGTCTCTCCCTCTCCTTCTCTTTCTGTAACTGCTTTTCAAATACCTCAGTCAATCTGATACAAAGAAGAAGTCTGCCTACAACTCCGGGGACGAATTCTCTGGGGAAATTTAAACTAAAGTTTCTGGATCAAAGGAGCGCACTTAAATGATTATCATTTTATTTCCAAATAACTTAAGGGATGAAAAATAGCATGAGGGGCTGACCCTGCGGTGCAGTGGGCTAAATCCCAGCTGCTCCACTTCTCATCTGGTGCCCTGCTAACGGGCCTGGGAAAGCAGCAGCAGATGGCCCAAGTCCTTGGGCCCCTGCACCTATGTGGGAGACCCAGAAGAAGCCCCTGGCTCCTGGCTTTAGCCTGGTTCAGCCCTGGCTGTTGTGGCTGTCTTGGGAGTTAATCAACAGATGAAAGATCTGTTTCTCTGACTCTGCCTTCCAAATAAATATTAAAAAAATAAAAAAGCACGATACTGAAGGCTGGCATAAGGACATGTGTTTCCCATCCTTTAGAAATGAAAACGCCAGGGCGAGGTGGTGCAGCAGGTTACGTGGCTTCGTGAGGTGCCAGGCTCCACGTCAGAGCGCCTGGTCTGAGTCCCGGCTACCCTGCTTCCTGTCGGCTCCCTATTGCACACCCTGGGAGGCAGGTGATGGCCCAGCACCAGCCGTCACAGCCATCTGGGGGGTGAGCCTGTGTACAAAGGCTTCTCTCTCCCTGTCTCTGCCCTTCAAATAGACATTTTTTGAAAATTCAGACTCTTGAAAAAAAGAAATGCTGAGATTTGTTAAAAAAACCTTTTGAAAAAAACAAGGACTCAAGGGTAAACAATAAGTCAGTTTCTCAAAGAGAAGAGGGAGGAGCATTCTCGGGGGAGGGAACAGCATGCAGGGGGCTGGGCTCGTTCAGATCAGGGCGGGCAGAGGCCAGTGGAGCGGCCAGTGGGGGTGGATGGCATACGGAGGACGGGCAGGATCCACGAGCGGGGCGGCAGAGCCGGCCGCGGGCCACCGTGCAGTGTGGATCCCACTGTGGTCTAGAACGTTCTTCCATGAACTGACCTCATGGTGCCGTTCCCCCGCTAGGTAACCTGACCTAACATCACAGGGTTGGGCCCAAGCACTGCCGACAGGCGCCATGTAACCCACGAGGTCGGGGTGCCACTCCCCAGGGACAGCCTGGGCGCGAAGCTGCGTTCCCAACGCGCAGGCTCCCAGACGCCGGCTCTGGGCATGGAGACAGCGGGGGTACAGATGGCGAGGACAGGCAGGGGCGGACACGCCTCGCACGGGCCGCGTTAGCCCACGCTAACTCGCCCTTTTCCTCCTTGCGGGACTTCTCAGCGCCTGTACTCTGCCAGCTGTGTACTGTGGATTCCCCGAGAGGGAGGATCAGAGGGGTTTGGGGCCTCGGTTTGCAAAGGGAGCCTGCGGCACGAGCTAGCGGGCAGACCACACCCCAGGACAAGGCCTTGGTGGGGAATTCACTGTGGGCGCAGCCAGGGCCTTGGCTGCCAGCAAGACATTGGGCAGCCCCGTCGGCGCGCTCTGGGGACTTTCTCTAGGGTCAGGGCTCTCTGCTGAGGTGACAGTGTTGAAATGGCAGGCGACATGTAGCCGCACGTGAAGAACTCAGCGAGGGGCCACGATGCCGGGCTAGGCTGCTGCCCGCGACGCCGCTGTCTCCTGTCAGCACCAGCACGGGGCTTGGCTGCTCCACTCCCCTGCTCATGCACCCGAGAATACAGCGGGAAAAGGCGCCTGCACCCAGGCGGGCAGGCCCAGAGGGAGCTCCAGGCGCCTGGCTTTGGTCCAGGCAGCCCCGGCTGTTGCAGCTACCTGGGGAGTGGACCAGCGGATGGAAGATCTGTGTGTGTGTGTGTGTCTCCCTCTCTCTGTAACTCTGACTTCTAAATAATAAATCAAGCTTAGAAAGGGAAAAAGAACCACCCAGAAAGCCTCCCACGTGAAGAGACTACAAGAGGACACAGTACGAGGGGCAGGGCCGGGAGGGAAGGAGATAGCGAGTCAATGGGGTTGTTTATCCAGTGCCTCCTGCTCTGAGGGCTGGGATACGGCAGGGACCGGCTGACACCAGGAGGGCACTGAGCGAGCAGACAGACAGACAGACAGCCCCTCTGCTCTTGCTTCCCGCCTCCTCCCAGGCCGTCGGCACTCCGCCCCCGGCCCCCGGCCCCCTGGCCTTTGTCCTACCTTGAGAGCCACGTGCCCCTCCACCTTGTCCATTTCGGCCAGGAGGGCTGAGAGCAGGGACGACTTCCCGCAGCCCACCTGGCCCACCACGGCCACCAGGGCACCTTCCGGGATGGAGAACGTGATGCTGAAAGGACACGACACAGCCACCCTCAGCCGCGCTCCTGCCCGAGCGGGCCGGCCCCCTGGGTCTCACCACCCCCTGCCCCCCGGGCCTGGGGTCGCTCCCAGCGGGGAGAGGGATGCCTGGACAGTCCTCTTGTCCTCCTACTGCTGGGCTCGGCTCAGCAATCACTCTGGGGGGGCCAGTGAGGGCTGCAGGTACGGGTGCCAGGATGCAAATGCATGCGTGACCCGGGCCATCAGGCGTGGCACTAAGGCAGTCGGCCAGACGGGCACCAACGTGACTTTCCCAAGGAGAGGACGTGCAACAGGGACCCCGTGGGAAAGTGCAGGCCTGCCTCCGACGGATGTCTGTGAACGGCTCGGCCTGGAGGGGTGGAGTCACAGGGCGCAGGGACCAAGGGGGCGCTGCCGGGCTGGGTGGGCCAGACCCTGGAGGACCTCGGGGGACACCATGCGGGGACGCCCACGCTCGGCCAGCGGGAGCCTTCAAATAAGCTCCTCGTTCTACCAGGAGGAATGCTGGCCCATGGCGTGAGGCGGCCCCAGGCCACTGCTGCAACGTCCAGGCTGGTGGAAGCACACACACGCTTCGCAGTGACTGTGGAATCCTCAGAAGGCCGCCACGCAGTCCCACTGAGCACTGCGAAGGGGTCAGGCCACGGGGGCCTGAGTGGACGAAAGCCCAGGGAGCAGCACCTGCCACCCTCCAGATAGGACTGGATTTTTTTTAAATTAGTTTTTTGGAGAAACAGGAAGAACTAACTCCCAGCTACTGGTTCACTTCCCAGATGCCAGCGGTGGCTGGGGCGAGGCTGAGGCCGGGGGCTGGGAATTCAGTCCAGGTCTCCCATGTGGGAGGCAGGAACCCCGTTACTGGAGCCATCACCGTTGCCTCCCAGGGCATGCATGAGCAGGAAGCCGGAGTCTGGAGCCAGAGGCAGGGACTGAGTGTCAACTGCTCAGCCAAACGCACCCCTACGCTGGCCTGTTTCTGGAAGCTGAGAGTGGAAACAGGGTTTGGGGGATCCGGGAGGCAGAGTGTACCCAGAACAGAAAGGCTCTGACACTGGAAGGGCGGAGGAAGGGGCAGGGCTCACACACGGGTTAGCTATGGAGGAAGATAAGAGAGAACAGCGACACCTGAAGCAAGCAGGAGTTAAGTTAGACGTAAGAAAGAACTTCCTAAACATACAATCCGACCAGGAATTTTCAAAGAAGGTTTTTAAAAAGAAAAAAAAAAAAAGTACAAAATTTGGGGTCAGCATTGTAGAAGTTAAGCTGCCACCTCCGATGCCAGTATCCCGCTTAAGAGTCACAGTTTGAATCCCTGCTGCCCCGCCTCGGATCCAGCTCCCTGCTAACGCACCGGGGAAGGCAGCAGATGATGGCCAAGTGCCTGGGTCCACGCCACCCGTGTGGGAGTCCCAGATGGAGTTTCCAGCTCCTGGCTTCAGCCCGGCCCAACCCCAGCCATCGCCGTCATTTAGGGGAGGGAAGCAGCAGGCAGATTTCTTTCTCTGTCACTCTGCCTTTCAAATAAACAGATCTCTTCTTCAAAAGGGTACAGAATTTTTTCTCTGGAGTGTATCCGCTGCCTGATAAAGCACAGCATCGGTCTGACTACCCGGTGAGGCGGGAACTGTTTAGAAGCACAGGGGAGGCCGGCATCGCGGCTCACTAGGCTAATCCTCCGCCTGCGGTGCCAGCACCACGGGTTCTAGTCCCGGTTGCTCCTCTTCCAGCCTAGCTCTCTGCTGTGGCCCGGGAGTGCAGTGGAGGATGGCCCAAGTGCTTGGGCCCTGCACCCCATGGGAGACCAGGAGAAGCACCTGGCTCCTGGCTTCGGATCGGCGCAGGCCGGCCATGACGGCCATTTTGGGGGGTGAACCAACGGAAGGAAGACCTTTCTGTCTCTCTCACTGTCTAACTCTGCCTGTGGGGGGGAAAAAAAAATGAGCCTCTAAAACAGACCCTTGGCCCAGCATTCTGGGGCTCTGGTAAAGAAACCCATCAGAGGCCCTAGGCCACGCCCCCAGTTGGAAAGAGCTAAGAGGCACCAACAGGCTGTCTGGGGGAACAAGGTCACTTTCTGGGACGCAGCGTGCTTTAGCAAGATAAGGACTGTGGTGGGCAGGGTCCTGGGGGGTGGGCCAGGCAGCCAGGGGACCCCGCCGAGGACGGAGGACAACGCCTCCCTGAAGGGAAGTGCGGGGACACAGCCTTGTGGCTGACCTACGCCTGCGTCAAGCAGCGTCACTCGCTCGGGCTGAGCCCGGCCAACCAGTGTGCTTGCTTCCTCCGGCGCGGTGACCGGCTCAGGGAGGGGCAGGCGGCTCTGTGTGAGGCAGTCAGAGCCGGGACGCACACCTGCAGCTACCGGGAGCCACCTGCCGTCGTGGCTGAGGACGAATCAGCGCCAGGAAGGACAAAGAGAATTCTGAGGACACTGTCTGAGTGCCTGGGCCACGGGGCACTGTGAGCCAAACACACCCACTTGGCTGCCCAGGCCTGGCCACGCGAGGTTTCTCTCTCTCCTGGTTAGGCCACTTTCACACCCACCCCCTGCAGCAGCCCAAGCACGTGGGATTGGACCCATTTTCCAGATGGGTAAACTGAGGCTCAGAATGGGAAAGCGAGCTGTGCAAAGGTTCAAGGTCAAAGAGCTGGAGCATGGCCAGGCTTGGAGTCCCCATCTGAACTCAGCCCGCCATGGGTACCCCTGCCCTGCCTTACCCGTTCAGCGTCGGGGGCTCGCCCCTGGCCCAGGTGAATGTGGCATTCTTCACGGTGATGCTGTTGGTGCCTCCACCTGAAAGGCACCAGAGACAGCCCGTGAGGCACAGGTGCAGCCCAGCGTCGGCAGAGGCCCCTGTTTTCATTTTTTGTCCCCATCAAGTATTTAACCCCCAACACTGGACCGTAACGGCACTAGGCATTAACTGGGGAGCTCAGCCACCGTGTCGTTCAGAAGTGTCTCAGCCTATAGATTTGGTGGCAACCTCAGACGCTGGCCCAGTGAGACGGGAGGCTGGGCCACGCAGGCTGCTCAGGCTGGAGGGCCAGGCCGCGGCCAAGGTCAGTGGGGACTGGTGGGGCCTCCTGCAGACCTGTCTCCCCTCAGGTCAGCCTCCTCACACCCCCAGGGGTCATCCTTCCAGGTCAAGGTCAGGTCCCTTCCTCCTCCTCCTCCTGTCTCCCGTAGTGGGCCCCTGTCTCCTCTCTTTCTAGCCATACCTCCTTGCACACCCCACAGCAAGTCAACCTTAACCTTTCTAAAACACCAGGCACAAGCAATGCAAAAAAAGAGAGAGAACAGGAAGTGCGGTATCAGGTTGGGGGAGGGGCGAGCGGTGCCCACGCCTGCCTCCGCAGGACCTGGGGCTTCCTTATCTCTACTTCCGAACTTCCTTAAAACCAGGAGACAGGCTTTTTTTTTTTTTTTTTAATGGTCAAAGGGAGAATTCAGTTGCCCCAGGCTTCAGACTGGGCCGCCCCAGGTACCAGCCGGGCAGAGAAACTCCGCCCTGAGCCCCGGCTTTGCTCCCACGCCCCGTGAAGGGCCTGCGTCCCCCAGCACGGCAGACCCAGGGAGCTGCAGGCCGGGGATGCTGGGAGGAGGAATCCAGCCTCCACTGCAGCGATTCTCACGGGGGCCGCTGCATTCTCCCTCCGTGCTCCCCACCCTCACACACACACACACACACACACACACACACACACACACACACACAGGGACACCTCCATGACTGCAGATCCTCTGACCATCACAATGGGGGGCAGACAGCACCATACCCAGCGGGTAGAGGCCAGGTGTGCCACACACAGGATGGTCGCCACAGCCAAAAGACCCCGCTACCAAACCCACCAACTGACCACCTCTCAATCCAGACGACACCTTGCCAAAGGCAGGTACAGTCATTCCCAATACCCAGGTGAGGATACTAAGGCTCTGATTAGGATAGACACAGCCAGTGGGTGGTGGGGGCCGGCCCTGGAGAGGCCTCGCCAGGCCAGCGGTGGGGCCTCACGCAGACAAGCTGCTGAGCAGGGCCAAAGCCAAGGGCAGCAGACGGCGGGCACCCCCGCGGCCGGGGCCAAGGCACGCACCGTCCTTGACCGATCTCCGCTCGATGCTGTCGGGCTCCAGCTCCTCGTGGGACAAGAAGATCCGGAGGCGCTTGAGGGAGACGCTGGCCTGCAGGGAGAGCGGAGACAGGGAACGGTTACTTTTCAGACGCAGCTCGGCTCAGCTCGGCGAGCCGAGGCTGGCTGTCGGCGGCTTTAGAGAAAAGATGTAAAATGCATTGTGGTGCTTCTTGGCCCTCAGAAGCCTCCAGAAAGGCACGAAACAGGCAGGCGGGGGACTGCCCACCGCCGAGAGGGACTTCAGAGACATCAGCAGCCAGGACGCCAGGCCCCGCAGAGCGCCGGGATACCTCGAGGCTCATCTGCTCAGGTGCGATAAAGCACCCCATGGGGGCGGGCGAGGACCAAGCTGCAGGCCATCGGGGGGCTCCTGGTCCCCTGCTCGCCCCACTTCTGTGCACTCTGGGAAGCCTCCCTCATGCAAAGGCCAGCTGCCAGGGTGCAGAGGGGGCGCTCCCTGCAAAGGAACGTGCACAGGGCTGGGAGGGGGCACAGGGAGGACGCGGCAGCCCAGAGAGAGGGGTGCAGAGGGGAACCGGCTACTGAGCAGGACATCTCCCCAAAGCCCCCATCCGCAGCCAGCTGCTGGCATGGGGCTGGGGTAGGGTCAGGACCTAGCAGCGGGGTGTGCCATCAATCAACTGGCCAGGGCAGAGTGGACCGAATGGAACAGAGCAGAGTCTGCGAGAACGCCTCAGGGCGTGGACTCACTCCACAGATCCAAGCACGAGTTTCTCAGTGAGAAGGAGAATGCAGGATCAGAATGGCCGGGCCGCCCGGGCCTGGGCCAGGGCGCAGCAGGGAGCGTGCTGAGGCAGAGGGAGGCGTTTAGGGCAAACCCGGCCCCTCTACGTTGTGCCCCTGCCGCCGCCACTGAGCCCCCTCGGTGAAGAGGGCGCCGGCCCTGCCCGTACCTGCACAATGCTGCTGATGACCATGGGCAGAATGTTCAGGGGGAAGCGGAGGATGTTGAACAAGGCCAAGGACACGAAGGCTTTCTGGGCGTCCAGGATGTTGTTCTCGTCGACCATCACATAGACGGCAAACGTGGACAGGGCCACCTGCGGGTGGAACACGGGCACTGACTGTCCCGCCCGATGGGACGGGGGCCGCGTCACATGGCCATGCCAGGCGGGGCGGCGACAGCCACGGGCGGGGTCAGGAACACAGCACAGTTCATCAGCACGTGAAGATTTCATCCTTTGGGTAAACGAATGCCTGGCAGCCAAAGTCCCAGCACTGTCCCTTCCCCCAGCCTTCTCAGCGACCCACCGGATAGGCACCCTGGAGGTCCGACGGCCAGGCCCCTCCCCTGCCGGGGACTCCCTCCCGCTGCAGGAGGTGGCCCCCACCACACGACCTGAGGCCCTCTCCCCTCTGACCCTGGCTTACTTTTCCGCCCAGCACCTACCATCACCTTGCATTTACTGTGCCAAAACGTCAACTCAGCCAAGGCACGGCCTTTGTTCTGTGCACCACTGGGCCCTCAAGACCGCCCTGGGCAAGGCCCCCTCTCTCCCAGTTCTGAGCTGTGCTCAGATGCCCCGAAGAAAGGAAGCCTCCAAAGATAAAGGCAAACAGACAGCCTGTGGTCCTGGGAAGACCCTCTGGGGGTCCCAGGGTTTTGCTAGCCCAGGCTCAGAGACCACTTGAACTTGGGCTTGGCTGTGGCGATGCCAGCGCCTTAGTGCAAAGTCAGCCGCCTCCCTGCAGGAGAAAGGCAGGTGCTCTCCCCGACGCAGGGCGGGCAGCGTGGCTTGGGAGGGAGGTGAAGGTGACAGGTGGAGCTGACAGGGACAGGAGCAGTGCAGGGGTTGCCCTGCAAGGCAGACAATGAGATCAGTGTGACACCAGGTCACAAGCAACTTGCAAAGTGTTGGACCCTGGCGGCTGCACAGAAGTCCCTGCCCCATAGCAGCCCCCAGCCCTAGAGCAGTAGAGGCTCTCGCTGGGGTGCAGTAAGACCCCCAGGCTCCTGCCTCTCGAAGCTCAGGACACACTGCCTCGGAGGTCAGGAGATCCACGAGTCCCGACTCTGGTGCCACTGTGGACCCGCGCATCCTCAGGGTCCCACTGACAGCTTTCCACCACACCAAGGAAGGTCAGAGGGCTCAAAAAGAAAAAGCAGGGACTGGCGCTGCAGTGCAGCGGGTGAAACTGCCACCTGCGACACCGGCATCCCATCTGGGCGCCAGTTCAAGTCCCGGTCGCTCCACTTCCAATCCAGCTCCCTGCTGACGTCCTGGGAAAGCAGTGGAGAATGGCCCAAGTGCTTGGGCCCCTGAAACCGACCTGGGGAGACCCGAACAGAGTCCCCGGCTTCTGGCTTCAGCCTGGCCCAGCCCCAGCCGTTGTGGCCATCTAGGGTGCAGACCAGCAGGTGGAAGATCTGTCTTTCCTTTTCTCTCTCTGTAACTCTACCGCTCAAATAAACAAACAGATCTTTTTAAAAAAAATTTAAAAGGCATACATTTCACTGTGTCTCGGGGGGTAACCCTTGGGGGCCTCACTTCACCTCCCTAAGCAGGACTCTGTTGTCTCGTCTATGAAATGGGCATCATGAGACTCCTTCAAGCACTGATGGCAACAAGAGATTAAGGCACTAAAGGGAGAGCTGGGCCGAGGGCACAGGCCCAGCTGGTTTTGATTCTCATCCCAGGACTTGGTCCCACCTCCCATGAACCAGGTGCCTGTTGTGCTTCTGACGCTAACGACCCCGCTGACCCTGCAGCAGGCACAGGGATTTTCCAGGCCGTGCTGCCGAGAGGGAGGGGGAGCGCTCGCAAGGCCATTGACATGCAGTGACTGGGTGGGGGCGACACACCGGCCTCTCATCCGGAAATACCTTTCACGGAAACTGTCCGAGGGCACCCACAAAAAGGGACGCATCTCTGGTCCTCAACCTACGCAAACCAGGGGCCTGCAGGGGGCTCATGGGAAAGGCACGGTGTGCCTCTGGGGTCACTCCCCTAACACGGCCGTGGCACACGCTCCTTCCCCCACGCTGGCCCTGACTCAGGGGTCACCTTCTCAGCGAGCCTCTTGCCCGAGCCCTGCTTCCCCAGGGGTGACCACAGCCTGGGACCACGTCACGCAGCTGTGGTCAGGCCCGCAGGCCTGGCTCCTGAGAAAGCAGAGGTCGTCCCTGGGACCAGCAGCATGTGCCCAAGCACCTTGTATGTCCAGGCGCTGTGTGTGGGAGGGGGCAGGCCTCGCGGAAAGCCCGTGAGGACACGTGCAGTGGGCACAGAGACTGTGGCTGCAGGAGGGTGGGAGCCGGGGTCTGCCACGGCCTGGCAGGAAGTGGGCGCTGAGAACGCAGGACGGCCTTCACGGGCAGTGAGGAACAAGTGTCTGCCCTGGGACCTCCTCTGTGAGCCACAGCAAACCAATGACCCGACCCCTCAGCTGCAGCCTGAGCCCTGGAACACATGGCTGCCTCTCAGCGCGGACCGCCGCTCTTCCTGCCTGCCCTGTGCCCAGGCCTGCTTCTGGGGAACCCAACTTCTCCCAGTCTTCATCTTTGAGTGTCAGCTACAAAGTCCCTCCAAGCACCTCCCTGAGCCCCAAGAGCTGGGGAGTCTGTGACCCCAGGCTCAGGACCCAGGCCAGGACCCAGGCTTGCTAAGAAATAAATACGTAAGCAAATGTAACCACTGAGACCCAAGGCAACAGCAGCTCCGGGGCTGCTGGGGAATGAGAAGATGGAGGGTTGCCAACCGGACCCTCCAGGGCTGCTGGGGGAACAGGAGACACAGGACTGCCAACCCCCACCCACAAAGAAACCACACCAGGGCTGGTGGGGAAAGCCATCACATACGGGAGCTGGCTCCTATCCCAGCTGTTCTACTTCCCACCCAGCTCCCTACTGATGTGCCTGGGAAAGCGGGGGAGGATGGCCCCAGAGCTTGGGCCCCTGCACCCACGTGAGAGATGTACAAGAAGCTCCTGGCTTCAGCCTGGCCCAGCCCCAGTTGTTGTGGCAATCTGGGGAATGAACCAGCAGATGGGAGCTTACACCCGCTTACTCTCTGCCTCTCCAACAAAAATTAAACTACAAAAATACTTGCCCAGACTTTTCGGTTTCGTGACTCCAGTTGATCTGAGCTAGGTTTCTGTCACATGCCAAGACGACTACGACTGGCTGACAGTTTACGTCAACCTCTCCTCTGTGTGCATTTACAGAACAAGCGTCGTTTGCCTGGTCTCCTGAGCTCCGAGCACGTAAGCGGAGCATGCCGAGGCCTGTGTGTCCCGGACCGTGCCCTGCAGCCGGCTTCCTACCACAGGGAACGCCACCCTGATGCAGCGAGACAGGAGGTGAAGCCGCAGGCAAGCAGCTGCCCGGTCACTGAGAGGGGGAAGGCGGAGCGCGGCCGGCTCCCTGGGGAGGCCATTTTAGGACACTGCATTATGGGACAGGACAGTGCAGGCTCTGTGCCCCAGAGAAACAGCCCCATCCACCCCGCAGGATGGCAGCCCAAGCAGGGGCCAACCCCCAGGGCCTCTGTCTTCCATCACACCTCGCGCTGGCTGGGGACCTCCCCATCCTTGAAGCACAGGAATTCGCCAGTGGAAAGAACACACAGACACCTGCCAAGGCCACATATTTTATCCTAATGTAGTCAGAGTGTCTCAGCCGGGGCCCCCAGGCCTGCGGAGCTGCGGACTCAGAGCTCCTCCCCGGAGGCATCTCTGGCCCTGGCTACCACCCCCAGGGCGGGAGGGGGCGAAGGAAGGGCCAGCGTGGCCAGGCGAGCCCCTGCAGCTCGCAGGTTTGATCAGCAACTCCGCCGAGCAGAGCCAAGGCACAGAGTGTCCCCACGTCCCGCCCCACGCCTCTGACTCATCCTGAGCATGGTCACCTCAGGTGCCACTGCTCACCACCTCCCCCACCCAGGACTGCAAGTCTCCCACTTGAGACAGGGGTCCCAGCTGTCACAAACACACACGGCTTGAGGTCGCCTGTGTGGTGAAAGAGGCAACTAGGGGCTGGTGCTGTGGCACAGTAGGTTGATCCTTCGTCTGCAGTGCCAGCATCCCATATGGGTGCCGGTTCGAGTCCCGGCTGCTCCACTTTCGATCCAGCTCTCTGCTGTGGCCTGGGAAAGCAGTAGATAGTGGCCCAAGCATTGGGCCCCTGCACCCACGTGGGAGACCTGGAAGAAGCTTCTGGCTCCTGGCTTTGGATTGGTGCAGCTCTGGCTGTTGCAGCCAATTGGTGAGTGAACCATTGGATAGAAGAACTCTCTGTACTTCTTTCTGTAACTCTTTCAAATAAATAAAATAAACCTTTAAAAAAATAAGCTGACTGGGGGTACAAGAGAAACACTTTGAAATCCCAAGTACTTTCTTCGGGAGACACGTTTTTCCAGGACCGTCTGACAACAGCTTTGTAGGCCTGGATTTCCAAAGCTGCTGCATTGAAATTAACTTGAATGCTGTTTCCCGTGGCCTTGCTGAAGTGCTTGGTTCCCAGCTGTACCCACTGTTGCACCTGGAAACACAGGACCCGAACACTGGGGGCCTGTGGCTCTCAGCTGGGGGAGGGGGTGTCCCCACGGTGACGTCTGCAACATCTGGAGACGTTTCTGGTCGCTGCTGGTGGCAAGAGCAGGGGGAGGTACCGCCCATGAGGCAGGGGTGGAGTCGGGGCACAGACTGCCCCCCCCCCCCCCGAAAGACAGGAGTCACCTGGCCCCAGAGGTGCATGGGCACCAAGCCTGCTGGGAGACCATTCGGCCCTGCTGAAGCCGTGAGCCTGTCACTTCCCATCTTAAAAACAGTACACATCACGCACAGAAAAACAGAGACCAGTGCACAGTTCTATTAACCACAGAGACGAAGGCCTCCCAGGAAAACGCATATTCCCTCTACAGGACCACAGGTCGGCTGTAACTTTCGCTTTTCAAAAGTCAAGAGTCAAGGCCTCGGGGACAGCCGAGAGCTTTGGGAAGTGCACAAAGGCTGCATCAGCGCGTGCTGGGGTGCCTGGCCAGAGGGCTCCATGTGGGGATGCTGGCCGCGGTCACCCAGGGGCCTGCCGCTTGTGACCAGGTGGGGAGGACCCACGGGGGCACAGGGCCAGCCCAGTACTGGACACCCCTGTGATCCAACCCCTTCAGTTTTCATGAGAAAATCCCCAGCAGGGGAGGTACCAAGATGGGCTTCAGCTCACTCCTGGGACTGGCAGCAGGACACAGCAGGTGTCCCAGCTCTCAGAACAAGCCAGGGGCGGGCCCTGTGGCTCAGTGGTGCAGGTGCCACTGGGGATGGGCACATCCGACCTGAGTGCCAGTTCAAGTGTCGGCACCTCTGCTTCCAACTCACACCTTCCTGCTCTGGGGAGACAGCGGGAGATGACTTCAGCGCTTAGGCCCCTGCCACCCATGTGAGAAGCAAATGGAGTTCTGGGCTCCTGGCTTTGGCTTGGCCTGGCCCTGGCTACTGCAGTCATTTGGGGAGTGAACCAGCAGACGGAAGACCTCTCTCTCCACCCATGCCTCCCACCATCTCCCATCTGTGCTGCCTTTCAAGCAGATAAAAAAAATAAATAAATAAACATATGTGGAAAAAAAAAGAAAACCAACAAAGCCACAGGCAGTCCCCGCGAGGCCCATACCTGCTTATGAACTCAGAACTGATTTTACATTTCTTAATGGTTAGGGGGAGAAAATCCAAACACCGATCTCATGATGTATGCAAATTACGTAAAATTCCAATCTTGCAGAAACCCGGCCACCACCATTGCTTCACCTACCATCTCCAGCTCCTCTCTCAGACCAGGACCAAGACCGGTCAGCCCAGGACACCTACAACATGCACTAGCCGGCCCTGTGCAGAGCACACACCGACTCCCACCGTCTGCCAGGTCTCCCACACCTCCCCGTGCCTGGGAGCCTCCCCGGCACTCAAACGCAGACTCCGGCCCAGCTGGCCTGGGCTGAGGCCTGAGGGTCTGTGTGTCCACCAGCAACACAGAGGTGCCGATGCTGCGGCTCCATGGACCACACCCGGTATCAGCAAACTCCATTCCAGGAGCACCCGGAGTGCGGCCCTACCAAAATGCGAGTTCCCAGGCCTGCCTAGACCTGTTGAATCGGAAGCCCCGGGCAGGGTTTAAACAAGGCCTCCAGGGGCTCTGATGCCGACCACCCCCATGGCCATGGCCCAGCAGCCCCTGCGAGGCCCAGGCTCCAGGAGGCGTGTGGAGAGGCCAGCAGCACCTGGGGCAGAACGCAGGCACAGGTCCCCGGGCGCAGGAACGACAGCAGCTTCCTGAAACCTCAAAGCTGCCGCCCGGCTGAGACAGAGCAGGCAGGAGGCTGAGCAGAAAGCCCAGCGTTTGCCAGAATGCGCCATTTCCGCTCCCAGACACCTCCCAGAGAAAACACACAGCCGTCCCCCAGCGTCCTGGGGCCCACGAGGACACCAGCACCCACGGAGGCTCCAGCCCCTGGTGTACGACACGCAGTGTCTGCCGCACCTCCTGCACACCTCAAACCCATCTCTCGAGAACTTACAACACCTGATGGTGCGCAAGGCTGCACACCTGTATGCACACACGCTTCCTTTCTGGAAAGACACAGAGACCGTCACCTCGAGCTGAGACTCCCGTGGAGACACTGACGACAAACTAGGTAAATTCCAGAGTGTGGGAGGTGCCACCCAGCCTGTGGTCCCCCAGTCTCTGACAACTCCCTTTGTGGCCACCTGGCCACGAGACCAAAGGGCCAGACCAGGTGAGCAACGGCTTCGGCTAACCCTGCTTTCTTCCCAGACTTTCTCCAGAAGGAAGGGAGAGCACTGGTTTATATCCTGGTGCAGCCAACTCCGTATCTCACGGAGAACCTGGATCAAGCTCCTGAACTGGCTGGCCCGAAGCTGCTAGGTGCCATGAAGGAAACAGGAGGCAGGACTAGGGTGGGAATTTAAAACAAAAAAAGTGTTGGAGAAAGCTTCCCTGAAAAGCTTAGTTAACGCTTAAAAACACTAATGGGGGGCGGGGAATGCTGCCGTGGCATTGTAGGCTAAGCCTCCACTTGCGGTGCCGGCATCCCACATGGGCACCGGTTCAAGTGCCAGCTGCTCCTCTTCCCATACAGCTCTCTGCTGTGGTCTGAGAAAGCAGCAGAAGATGGCTCAAGTGCTTGGGCCCCTGCACCCGCGTGGGAGACCTAGAAGAAGCTCCTGGCTCCCGGCTTCGGGTCGGCTCAGCTCCAGCCATTGTGGCCATTTAGGGAGTGAACTTGGAAGACCGTTCTCTCTGTCTCTCCGTATGTCTATCTGTAACTCTGCCTCTCAAGTAAAAAAAATAAAATCTACTCAAGGATGAAAAGAAGACCACAGGAAGCACATGGGCCAGGGCGGAGGCTGGCTTCGCTCACCAGGAAGGGGGTGCAGACCCAGGTGAAGGTGCCCACGGCCGCCAGGTAGGCAGATTTCTTCAGCACCTTCAGCTCCTCCTGCCGGATGTCCATCACCTTCTCCTTGAAGGCCAGCTCCCAGGCGTACAGCTTCAGCACCTTGATCCCGTTCAGGATCTCGTTCATCAGCTTAATCCGGTTGTCTTTGCTCTTCATGTGGGCCACCTTCAAAGACAGGGGAAATCAGCACCACACCTGCGCCGGCATCAGCTGTCGCTCGGGCTCACCACCTAAGCTCATCTCTTCACTCCATGTTCCATGAACTCTTTTTTAAGGTTTATTTGAAAGGAAGTATGACCGGGGTGGTGGGGAGCTTCCATCCACTGGTCTACTCCTCAGATGGTCACAACAGCCAGGACTGGGCCATGCCAAAGCCAGGAACCTCAAACTCCATCTGGGTCTCCCACATGGGTGGCAAAGGCACCTTGGGTCATCTTCTGCTGCCTTCTCAGGAGCAGTGGCAGGGAGCTAGATCAGAAGTGGAGCAGCCGGGACTCGGCCTGGCACTTGGATATGGGATGTGCATCGCAGGCAGCGGCTTAACCTGCTGTGCCACAGCACTGGTCCCAATACCACCATCTGTATTAGAGGATGGGCTTTCCTGGGGGTGGGGGAGTGGAATCTGTAAATCCCACAAATCCTACTCTCGGCCTTGTGACCACACAGAAGGACTCCCCTGTCATGGAAAAGAGGGGCTGGTGTTGTGGTGCAGAGGGTTAAGCCGTCTCCTGAGGCCCCAGCATCCCACATGAGCACTGGTTCGAGTTTCATATGCTCCACTTCCGATCCAGCTCCCTGCTCGTGCAGGTGGGAAAGCAGAGGAAGATGGCCCAAGTGCCTGGACCCCTGCACCCATGTGGGAGACCTGGAGGAAGCTCCTGGCTTCAGCCCTGGCCAGCCCTGGCTGTAGCAGGTATTTGGGGAGTGAACCAGCGAGTTGAAGATCTCTCTCTATATAACTCTGCCTGTCAAATAAACAAATAAAACTTTTTTTTTTTAAAAAAATCAAGGAAAAGAAAACTACATCCAAGCCCATTGGACTGGACACTGGGGAAGCCTATTAAATTTAAAATCGAGGAACAGAAACAAAGTCTTCATGTGTCAGGGAAGATGGGACACAGGCTCTACCCTGCTGCTCCAACTGTGGGAGAGAGGAGAGAGGATGATAATGTTCTTTTCTATTTGTTTTCTTGAGTGACTCACAGCCAATCCATGGTTGTGAAATACTGCCGTGTCTTTTACTCTGACTGGTGCTGGTCCTGACTGGGGCGTGTCCAGGCCCTCCAGCCATTGAGAGCATCAATGCCACCCCGCTCTTGCACCTGCTGGGCAGCTTTCTAAGCATTTGCAGGCTGGTGCTCAGAAGGACCCTTTGCTCGGGGGTGTGGTCATTCCTGAGTCACAGGTGAGAACACTCAACGCTGCCCAGGGAATCAAGGGTGAAAGCTGCAGCCCCACACCCCTGTCCCCCCTCCCCCCACCTCACAAGGCTCTCACTCCTGCAGGCCCATGTCTCAGGTGTGCTCTGCCCGGCCACCCGTTGCCCCCACCTAGGAAGTCGAGTCGAACCCCATGCCTGGGCCCGCTCATGGTCAGTGACCCAGAATCCCAGGAACGGGCCTGGACTTTCAGACCTGGTTAAAACCCCTCAAGTGATTCTGGTGGGCTGAGAACCCCCAGAGTTTACACAGAAGGACCCTGGGCTGGGGGGGGGGGGGCAGCGGCGCGCGGGTACAGCTTGGAGCCCACCTGGTAGGTCTTGGTCTTCATCGCCATCACAGCATTGAAGGGCACCATGAGGACCATGACAGCCACCCCGGCCAGCACGGAAGGACCCAGGTTCTACGGAAGAGAAGAGACGCTCGATCCCCCACCGGATGGGAGAGAACAGGGCCTGAACAGCTTCTGGGGCTGGTCCTCCCCGCGCCCACTCTGCCCAGCGCTCAGGGGCTGCCTTCCTCGCACCCAGACATGGGGCGGCAGGGCGTTCAAGAGTCTGCTAGCTCAGGGTCCTCCCAAGCCTCCTAGGACTACGCATGCCCACAAGCCCTTGTCGGATGCCCCTGGAGACGGACAGTGTTTGCAAATTAGAGATTCAGCATCCGAGAACGGCAGCCAGGCACCGAGTAGAAAACAGGTTAACACAGCAGCCGCCTGACTGCTTAGCCAGCTTCCAGGCTGCGTACAGGTCCCGGTGGCATCTGGGAACGTGGCCTTCACGAGGTCTTCCTCCAAGTGCACAATGGACATACAAACATCACACTGAACCACCTCTTCTTCTGACACACGGGGCGACGGATGCCTATGGGACCAGCCCCCAAGGAGTGACCCAGTCTCGACTGGGCTTCGCTGGGTGCCAACACCGTACGAGTAGAAGGCTGGCTTGTGGCTGGGGAACTGAGCGCATCCTTGTGACTCCAGCGAGAGCCTCGGCACCTTCACCCTTTGCTAACTTCGCTCGTGAAAATCTCAGACGTGGGTACGACCCTAAGGTAAGCACGGGAGTCCTGGTGGGCCACAGAACCTGCCGTGACCCTGGGTAACGAGCTGCCGCCGGTGCAGGCTGCCACAGGGCTGCAAGATCCAACACACTTCTCTTTTGATAGCAGTAATCGCACAGAGACCACCCTGACTGCAAACGCCTCCTCAGCTCAGGTTCCGTCTTGCCGCCAGAGGAGCGAGGGAACCTAGGTGCTCACGCCTCCGGCTCTGCGACGCGTGGGTAAGAGGTTCAGACCTGTTCTCCTGCCCCGTGTGCCGATGGGCCGAGACAAGAGGGAGACCCACGGTTTTGCCCTCCTTTCTAAGCCACACCCAGAAACAGACCCCTGAAGAGGGTGACTGGTGAACACGCGTGTAGCCGGAACACGCCAGGGTACCGCCAAGAGGTCACGGGAGAACAGAAGTGAAAGATCGAGTCTGGTGCGGAGAAACATTCAAATCCATTGCCTTTTCTATTTTAAGAACATGCATTTTCTGTGAACTTTCTGCAAACCCTCATGCACGTGGATTTCACAAATTTCTGCATCAAAATAAACTGAGCTCAAGTTCACGTTCCGCGAACGTTCTGAAGCACCCTCTCACACGAGACTAGAGGATAATGGGATTTGTTTCCTTCTACCTACAGACATGCGGAAAAACAGGCGTGTTCACCCTTCAAAATCGTCGCCCTAGGGGATGCTGCTCGGAGTACCACAAAGATGCTGCTGCTGCTCCAACAGGCATCTCGACTGTCCCTGCCGAGCCAACACCAAGAAATCCCAGGTCAACTCCGACAGCGAGGAACTCAAACACCAAGCAGGCACTGCTCTGTGAACGCGACCTGCTGTCACTCATCTGCTTGTCCTGTTTCCTGACCACGCTACCCTCACTATGGGACAATCAAGGCTCAGACACAGAGACATGTCCGAGGGCACAGAGTTGGCAATGAGCCTACACCGTCATCCACTCCCCTCGGCTGTGTTTCTCCTGGTCAAACGCGGAAGTGCAGTTGGTACAACCAGAGGAGGCAGGCTGTGAACACGTGGTGGGCAGCAAGGGGTGCACCCGCAGCCCCGCGCCACGGGGAGCCAGCTCGCCTCGGACACCACACCACCATCCGAGCCCAGTGCAATGCTCAGCGACGTTCCTATCGGCTCAGGAAGCAACCCCAGAGGCAGCTGTGCAGGAAGCACTGTGTGAAGACTTTCACCCACGGCAGCCCTGGCTGGGGAAGCGGACACTGCTGGACACTGTCCAGGTGTTTCAGTTCTAGTGGGCTTTCTCCTTCCAAGTTCAATTATGATAAACACTGGATCCAACTGACGCTCTCTGAATACACAACAAAACATCACCTGCAATCAAATCAAGAGATAGTCTGAAGGAACAGTGCTAAGGCCAAGCGGGTTAAGCCGCCTCCTGCGGCGCCGGCATCCCGTGTGGGCACCAGTTGGATTCCTGGATGCTCCTCTCCCGATCCAGCTTCGGCTAATGCGCCTGGGAAAGTAGCAGGTGACTGCCCAACTCCTTGGGCCCCTGCTCCTACACAGGAGATGTGAACGGTGTTCCAGGTGCCTGGCTTCAGTCTATCCTAGCCCTGGCCATTGCGGCCATTTAGGGAGTGTGTGTCTGTCACTCTGCCTTCCAAATAAGTAAGTAAATCAAAGGTCCTCCGAGTGCCTACTGTACACCAGCCCTGCTGCGGCTCTGAGCAGAGAGAGGATACAAAAGCAGTCAGATGCTGTGTGCACGGGCAGCTCTCAGGTGAGGAGGGCACACAGTCACAGACCAAGGAAGGCAACAGCACACCAGTTCTTATACCCCAGCCATCAGACCCAGAGAGGAAGCCCGTGTGACTGACAGGGGCACAACCAGCAGCAGCGGCCGCTGGCACAGCCCTGGCGGACGGGCAGGACCACACCCCTGGGAGGAAGGAAGGAAGGCCCCTCCTGGAGGAAGGGAGTGCACGAGCAGAGCTCCCAGATGAGGAAGAACAAGGCACATGTGCCCGCTAAGCCTCTTGGCCCATCATCATTTCATTGGATGAAAGGACTGTCAATCACATCTCTTCTACAGTGGGATAGGACACGGGACTAGAGCTGGCCAGGCTTAGAACTCTGCCTCCTGGGGCACTCGTGTGCTCCCTGCAACTGGCTGGGGCACACAGGTGCGGCCTTCTCCTCCCTGGAAAGATGACCTGAACCTCAAGGCCATGGAAGCCACATGGGGAAATCCCACCGAGAACGAAGCCAACTGAGGAAAACAGGGTTGAGAAATGCCAAAGGCGTGAGAATGAGCCCTTCCGACAGTGACGACAGTGCTGGAGCCCCTGGATCCGCCAGCGCCCAAGGTTTTCCAGTATGCACCTCCCCTGGACACCCTTTACTGGCTCAGGCTGCTTGCGGGTGGATGTCTTTGCCTCGCCACCAAGAGCATCTTCCCCGACAATGTTAGGAAGCGGTGATGAATGGCTTGGTTAGCACTGGCGAGGATACAGGGGAAGGAGGCAGCGTGCGCACTGTGGAGCTGTTAGTCACAGAGGACGCCAAGGAAAGACAAACGCAAACAAGCGCCATGCACGAAGAGAGAACTCAACCCAACGAGCCCAGGGAGAGGCAGGACGTCAGGAGCCAGTTAAGGCGACAGGAACTCAAATGGGAACCACGCGAGGAGCGCCCGGAGCTACGGCCTGCTCCGACTCCCACCCCCGCCCCCACATCCCTCCCGCCGCACGAAGGGGAATGATGTCAAACACACACCAGCCACAGGAGGCAGAGAGCAAGGATGACTTGCAGAGGGGCTGACCAGATCATGTTAATGTACGTGGCCAGGTCCATGAACCGCTGCGCGTCCACAGACATGAGGTTCACGATCTCGCCCACCGTCGAGGACTTCCTGGCTGAGTTCGTGATCACCAGCGCCTGCCGGACGAAGCAGAGGCAAGGAAGGTGAGGGCGGCAGGTGACTCTCCCTCGACGTCCCGGGGACCGCGGGGCCCTCCCCTACCTTGCGGTAGACGGCGCCGATGACGGCGGTCTTGATGCGCATGCCGCTCACGAAGCAGATGTGGAAGTACTGGTGCAGGACCAGGGTCTGCAGGCAGGCGCTGACGAAGAGCAGCGCCGTGTAGAAGTACCCCTGCCAGTCCGGGGCCGTCTTGTCGTTCACGAAGTTGATGAGCAGCCTGTGGGGGAGAGGGGAGAGGGCCCAGGATGACTGCCCTGGCGCTCCTGCACCGACGGGCCCCATCTCATCACCAGCAAACTGATGATGCTGGCAATGGTGGCAAGAAGGCAGAGAGGGAGAAGGTGGCACCCCAGAGAGACAGAGAGGAAGGGAGAGAGGGAGACAGTGGTACCCCAAGGAGACGGGGAAGAAAGGAGAGAGGGAGAAGCTGGTACCCCAAGGAGACGGGGAAGAAAGGAGAGAGGGAGAAGCTGGTACCCCAGGGTGATGGGGAAGGGAGAGAGGGAGAAGCTGGTACCCCAGGGAGACGGGGAAGGGAGAGAGGGAGAAGCTGGCACCCCAGGGAGACAGGGAAGAAGGGAGAGAGGTGGTAGGCAAGCCTTCCTGACGCCTGGTTTTGGGCTATGCCTTTTTTACGCTGGTTCTCTCTTGCTCCCCGTGTCCCAGGACAAATTACATCCTCTGCATCTTGGCTCCAGGGGCACTGCCTGGGGTCCAGCTGCTTGCAGCCCACATGGCCCTCACTCAGACGGCAACTGAGCAGAGCACAGAGCAAAGCCAGGACAGACCGACCCCCGGCTGCGAATCCCCGTGAGCACGCGCCGGCCCTGGCGGTCATGAGCGTGGCAAGGAGGTGCAGGGGCGCCGCGGGCAGGGCAGGGGCTTACTTTAGGATCTCGGGGCCGGCAAACATCATCAGGTCATGCACGGCCTTGAAGAAGAAGCTCATGAGGAAGTAGGGCCCGAAGGTCTTGTACAGGACCTTGAACAGGGAGGGCTTCCGCTCCTTCTGGGGCGACTTGACAATCAAGGCCTCCGCCTCCTCGTTCACGTCCGTCTTGGAACTCCCTTTTGGCTTGGTGGGCTCCTTGGAGGAGGAGTACATGATCTTCACGGGCTGCCTGGAACACAAGGAGGGCAAGGCGGTGCTGGGGTCTGCGAGGGAAGACACAGCCAGAGACCGCTTCGCATGCTGGCTACGGACACAGCCTCAGGAGCAACGGGGTCAAAGCCGGGCTTGGGCAGCTCCCAGATGTGGCATTTAGGCAAGATCTTGGACTTCTGTCGGCCTCGGTGTGCTCATCTGTAAAATGGGACCAAAGCAAGACCTACCTCATGGGGTTGCTGTGAAAAGTGAGTGCGTTAAAGGATGCCAACCCCACATCTCTGGCTTCTCCGTGGAAACTCGTGCAAGCCAGTTCTCATGTTCACAGGGTAACTCAAGGGACCCAGACAGCCAGAACCATCTTGATAGGAGAATAAAGTTGGAAGACTCCGGGTGAGCGTTAGGCCCAACAGTTAAGACTCTGGTTAAGATGCACACATCCCATACTGGAGGACCCGGATTCAACACCCAGCCCCAGCCCCGACCTGTAGCTTGCTGCTAATGCAGAGCACAGGAGGCAGCAGGTGATGGTTCCCAGGCACCCACGTGGGAGACCTGGATTGAGTTCCTGTTCCCAGCCCCAGCCCCAGCCCCAGCCCCGGTCCAGCCCCAGTCCAGCCCCAGTCATTGTAGGCAGTTGGGGAATGGACCAGAGGATGGAAGCGCTCTCCCCCTGCCTTTTGAAGGAAGGACTGAATAAACAAAATCATTTTTTTTTTTAAAGCTGGAGGGCTCACACTTGCTGATTTCAAAACTTAACTATACAACAACCGTAATCAAGACAAGCACAGTGGGGTCGGCACTGGTTGCCCAGTGCGTTAAGTTGCAGCCTACAATAATAGCATCTCAAAGCAGCATCGGTTCGAGTCCTAGATGCTCCACTTCCGATCCAGCTCCTCCTGCTAAAGTGCCTGGGAAAGCAGCAGAAGATAGCACAAGCGCTTGGGCCCCTGTCACCCATGTGGGAGACCCAGATGGTGTTCCAGGCTCCTGGCTTTGGCATGGCTCAGCTCAGCCTTAGCCGCTGTGGCCATCTGGGGAGTGAATTAGAGGATGGAAGATCTTTCTCTACCCTTCAGAAAATTTAAAAAATCTTTTAAAAATAATAAAAGTCCAGATATAAACCCAACTGGTTTTGGACAAGGGTGCCACATTTGTTCAACAGGGAAAGGACGGTCTGAGACGTGGTGAAATGGGTCCAGGATCCAACTCTGCTGCCACCTTCATAACTCCTGGTAGCTTCCAAAGCCTCAGGGCCTCTCCTGCGCGGCACGGGAGCAGCAAGAGCCTCACTCCACGGGCAGGTTACAGCAAACACATGGCTTCCTTCTCGCTTCCTCCCAGGTCACCTGCCCTGCACATGGCCAACGGACAGGTCCTGAGGACTCCCACGCGGTGCCCTGGAGAAGCCCCCATGGTGAGCCCTTGCCGACAGCCAGCACTAACTCGCCAGTTGCGTGTGACCCAGAAGCAGATCCCATGGCCCCAGGTGGGCCTGCAGACGGCAGCAGCCCCGGCCGCCAAGGCGACTGCGACTTCACAGGAGACCCTAAGCCGGGACATCCACTGGCCAAGCCGTGCCCTGGCCCCTGGCCCCTGGCCCCTGGCCCTGAGACAGGGATGGAGGTAGTGAATGTTTGTTCATATTTTTAAGTAGGTACTTCTGGGGTAATCGGTTACACAGCAATAGATATTGCTAAACACCCCAGTTTTCCTCTCCCAAAACGCACACACCCTCATGCAGTCAAATCATCTCCCAGTTCCGCAGGTCGGAAACCTGAAGTGTGTTCAGCCTAGCAGTTAAGACACCAGTAAAGACACTCACATCTCGGCACGTGTTACGGCACAGTGGCCCAAGCAGCTGCTTGGGAGGCCCATGTCACACATCACATGCCTGGGATCGAGTCCTGGCTCCTTCACTTCCCAGCCAGCTTCCTACTCACGTGCCAGGGGCAGAAGGTCATGTCCAGGGGTTTGGGTTCCTCCCACCCAGGACCTGCAGAGTCCCTGGCCAGTGGCTTTGGCCTGGCCCCGCACCAGCTTCTGCAGACACTTGGGGAGTAAATCAACAGCTGAAGATTTTCTCTCCACCTCACCCCTGCATTTATCACACTGTCTCAAACAATAATGAACGCGTCTTTTACAAAAGACACATCTCACACTGGAGCGCCTGGGGTTGAGACCCGGCCAGCTCTGCTCCTGAGTCCTGCTTCCTGCTGACGCACCCCCTGGAAGGCAGAGGTGATGGCTCAAGTAGTGGGCTCTCTCCTACCCACACGGGAGACCCGGACTGAGCTCCTGGCTCCCAGCTTCAGCCCAGTGCTGGCCACGCAGGCATTTGGGGAGAAAACCAGGGATGGGCATGTGCATTCTTCCTCTCTTACCTCGTCTCCCTCCTATAAGAAGTTTGCAATTTTATGAGCCCTGAATTTTCTCCCCACTTCAAATTAAAAAAAAAAAAAATTATTTACACATTTGAAAGGCAGAGCAACAAAGAGGCAGTTAGAACTTCCATCCCTGGTTCACTCCCCACATAGCCATCACAGCCAGGGCTGGGTGGGGCTGAAGCCAGGAGTCAGGTCCGCCACCTGGGAGGTGGCCCTGGGAAGTCTTACTGCCATCTGCAAACCTGTGCCCTTCGAGGGACGGCATTCACAGGTACCGGGGACCAGGATACACACATCCTCCTTTCCACAATCCGATTACCAAAAGTTAAGGGCAGCTCAGTCCATCAGTGGGAAATCCTTGCTGAGGAATTCCAGGACTGACCTCAGGGAAAAGCCTGGGACTGCCACATCTCCGATAAGGGAGGAATTTGTGACTGTGATCCTAAGGCTTAAGGGATCAGAGTCAGGTGAGGAATTTGTACCAACTGTGAAGGAACCTCTACCTAGCCAGGGTCAAGATCCTTATCTGAACAGACCCTGGGAATCTGCCTGATAATCAGCTGAGCCCAGGTCACCCCTGACCTCCCCCACCTTCCCTTTCTCCTTTAGAGACCTGAGAAGCAGGAAGGCTCTGTTAGAGACCGCAGGTGCCTGCTTTCCCCACAAGCCAGCCCCGCAAACAACCCCGTCTCTGCTGGATTGGGGGTCCGGCGTGGCACAGCCGCAGCCTAACTTCTCAAGCCTCAAGGACGTGGGCATCCTGGTGGGCGTGGGGAGGAGGAGGAACCACAGACCCCAGACCTGACTGCTCTTCACAGGATCACAGGCCCCACACAGGGTCTTTCCCCACTCGCTCGCTCGCTCTCCCTGAAGCCAGGCTTCTGCCTGGGATGCACACTCGGACTTTTTTCTTCTTTTCGCCTACAGAGACCTGCCCTGTGTGTTCTCTGCACCCCTTCCTGAACAGGGCCCTGGTCCCATTCCACCAGGGCTGCCCCGACCCTGGGCTGCTCTTGGAGGGCCCAGACAGCCGCTGAATGGACAGGAAGGAGGACAGAAACGAGGGCCAAATCCTGGCGGCAGAGGCACAGTGGGAGCGATCAGCCACGGCCGAGTCACCAAAGGACAACCGCCAGCGAGGAGGAGACGGAGAGGGAGGAGGGAGCCCCCAGCAGCAAGCACCACTGGGAGAGGACTCTGGGCCGGACAGGCAAGGGCTGCAGCAGGCCCAGACCTGGCGGACAGGCGAGGCAGAAACGTGGGCTGGGAAGAGGTGCTGGCGGGGGGAGCGGAGGTTACCACATTTTAGCACGGGCAAAAGTCAAAGGTGGCCAGGCACAGGGGCCAGCCCACCATCCAGAGCCCGTGAGGCAGCACAGCAAACATGACCTCAGGAGCTGCAGGAGATGTGCTCCCGCGTGGCTGCCTAGAGGAGGTGACGCTTAAGCGGAGACCCGGCCGGGGAGGAGATGGGTGTTCCAGGCAGAGTGAACAGAATGAGTGGGCCAAGCTCTGTTTCAGAACCGCTTAACCGACCTGAAGAATGAGGAGGAGAGAGAGAACGGCCCGGCTCCCCAAACGGGACTGATCGTGAAGATACCCCCGCCCTCCGCTTACACAGACCAGGGGACCAGAAAGAATGCCTGTTGTTCTACCTCCCGGTCCCGGGAAGAGGAAAGCCAGCGACAGGACCGACGCCTGTGTCTGCGGTTTCTGCTCTGCAGCCCTGGGCTTGTTGGAACGCCTGTTTTATGAAAAGTAGTGTTGCCGATTCAGGTGGTGAAACTTCACTGTAATTCCGCCTGTATCAAAGAGGAAGGAGGAGCTACGAGGCATCTTAGAAAAGCCCGTAGAACGTGTGCATTACAAATAAACCGTGCGCGAACTTCAAACGCGTCAGCACCACACGTATTCTTTAATCCCATTCCCCATGAAGGTTCTGAAGTCCCCTCCCGTTGCTGGCTTTGTCACCTGTGGAGTGGGATCCTTACAAAGCATCTGCAAAGGCAAAAGCTTAAACTTTAGAAGGTCTCCCCACTGTAAAGTTCTGTATTTTCTGAGTGTCGGGAGCTTGACCTTTGAACCGGAACTCCAGGACATACAGAAGGGCGGGCCGTGGGTGGTCAGGAGAACACTTCTGAAACCCAGAGTAGGGCGTACCGACCCCTGGGGCCTCCTAAGACCCTGCAGAGAGAGCACGGCGCCAGCTGGATGTCGGTGGGCCCGCACAGCTTACAAACACAGACGATTCCAGAGCGAGCTCTCTCCCTCATTCTTTTTGTCCCTCAAAAACAGGGGTTGGGGGGGGTGTTTTGCCAACTGCCCTGGGGTGACTCATGACTCAGCAGGTACCTGTCCCTCTGACTCCTTCTGTCCCCTCCTGCATGCAGGAAGTTCCCAGTAGAAACACCCCGGCAGGTGTCCGAGCAGGTGCAAAGTCTGAATTACTTCCAGGTCCAGACCAAAAAAAAAAAATCCATATGGGGTGTGTACGTTTTTGTATACTTAAATATACCTTGATCTTTACTTTATTATAACCACTGTGCAAACTGTGGGATGATCCTATTTTGTTGGGGACTTTGCCAAGCACTGTTCAGTCACCACGCTGTGAAACCTCCTCCCTGGGGGTCAGTGTCACAGCGCAGGGGGGTAAACCCACCGCCTGCAATGCTGGCACCCTGTATCAAAGCGCCATGGTCAAGTCCCAGCTGCTCCACTTCCGATCCAGCTCCCTGCTCATGCGCCTGGGAAGGCAGCGGAGGATGGCTCAAGTGCTTGGGCCCCTGCCACCCGAGTGGGAGACGAGGATGGAGTGCCAGGCTCCTGGCTTCTGCCTGACCCGGCCCTGGTTGTTACAGCCATTTAGGAAGTGAACCAGCAGGTGGAAGTTCTCTCTCTCTCTCTCTCTCCCTCCCTCTGATGCTCTGCCTTTCAAATAAATAAAATAAATTTCGAAAAAGTCATCGCTGAGGGCGATGGTACTTCCAGTGCCGGGAACCACAGAGGGAGGGGTGGGACCCAAGGAGGTGCCAGCGTTGACGCGCTGGAATGCCTGTCACTTTACTGTCAATGCCTCGCCTTTGGCCTTTCCTCCCCTGCCTGGGGACAGCTCCCCGCTGACCACAACCCCGCAGGAGCTGGCGAGCGCTGTGCGCACTGCCTTTGAGGCCAGGACGGGGTGTCGGGAGATCTGCACAGGGGCCTGGGAACCACTCTCGCCGTCTTTCTGTGAGTGCTGTTTGGGGGTCTCTGCGGGTTTTCTGCTGTCTGCATTCCGTCATGAAACACAGACAACCGTAGAACACGGTCGGCCCTTCTCTCGCCCTGACTGCTTTTGTGCGCACGGGCACTTCAGAAACGCCACGGGAAAGGGAAGCCCATTTTGCTGCCAAGAAAACTGAACATCTCATCTCCAGCAGCACGCTGAGTATCTCCCTCACAGGCGTGGGTTTCACAACTTTTTGCACCAAAATCAATTTGCCTTTTAATCCCATTTTTCCACGAATGTTTTGAAGTACCTTCGTCTTTAGGCCGACATCTGTGCACACCCACAAAGCCGCACGGCCAGGACGGTGAACTTGGCCCGCTGGGACCCTCCGTCAGTTCTCCTGCCTGCACTCCCTATAACTGCATCCAGATGATCGCAGCAGCGTGGACTCTTCGGTCCAGGGTCTTCACTTGGTGTCACCATACGACGGGGCCCCGCAGAGATGCACCCTGCCATCCGGAAGCACCTGGACTTGCACTCAGAGCAGCTCCGGCCCTGGCTCCCACACAGCAGCCGCAAGTCCGCACCAGTTTGCCTCTCTCGGGTCTGTGCCTAGGAGTGCAACGGCTGCTGATACGCTGACTCCATTTTTCTCACACACACAAAAAATTACCTAACTCCATCCAGGTCCACAGAACCATTGCTTATCCTGGCCGGCAGGAAACATGCTATCCAAGACTAACTTGATTCTGAAAGGGGTTACAGTGGCCAAGAAACCCAAGCTGGTCCCCTGCCCGGGGCTTGTGCACCTCCTCCCTAGAGGCCTGGGACTCCCAGCATCCCCCAGGCAGCAGGGGTCCCACTCCTTTCTCCAGGTAACCAGAAAGTCCCAGGTGCAAGGGGCCATGCTGGGGAACTCGACCCCAAAGAGGACCCTCCTCCTCCTCCCATCCTTGCCCTCAGGGCTCCTGGGAAGGAGGTTTGGGATAAACAAGTGACCCACAAGTGACCCACATGCCCATGTCCTGAGGCAGGGAGCCCTTGGGGTCCAGAGCGTTAATGGAGCAGCCCCAGGAGCCTGTGCTCACCGCCTCCAGCCCAGGGCCACACCCAGTGAATAAACACAACCTGCCTGGGCTCCGGCATCTGTCTCACGAAGAGCTCAGGGGCTCCATGGGCAACGCCAGGTGTGGGCAGCCACAGGCAGTCACTCCCTTTGTTTACACTCAAACATATGAATGGAGACTTCCCAGGCACAGACAATTGGGCTAGGGAGATTCCCGGAAGAGGTAGGAAGAACCTAAACCTTTCACAAGAGATGAAACAGATAATCAGTCACACCTGGAACCTGCATTTATCACCTAAGTGTTTTACTGTACCCTTGTAATCAATAATTAAGAACCTTATCGGGAACTCTTTTGTAACCTTAAAAGCCTTTTTGATATGTAAATCTTTTGTGCTCCTTCTTGTAAACAACTGGTCATGTTTAAATACTACTGGATTTGGTCAACAAACAAGCCTTGATCAGGACTTGTCTTGGCTCCATTCTTTGCGTCCTTGTCCCTGCATTCCCACTTTCTGTTTCAGGAAACCCAGTTCATTGTGCCGCAGGTTGGCACAGCCAGGGACTCGGATGGATGGCATTCAGGCCTCCATCATGCTCTCTGCCCCTACCCCTGCCCTGAGGACCTGCCTTCCCCAGGGTAGCTCAGGTGGCTGCTGTAACACAGAACTCATGGCCCGGAACCTGCCCCTGTCTTCTCAAACCCAGAGCCTCAGGGCGGGCAGTCGCCGCCTGGGACATCCACATTCCACACTGCAGCACCTGCGTCCACGGCTGCTTCCAGTCCCAGCGTCCTGCTGATGCGCACCCCGGGAGGCAGCAGGTGATGGCGCAAGGCCTTGGTCCCTGCCACCCGCGTGGAAGACTGGGATGGAGCCTCAGGCTCCTGACTTCGGCCCGGCTTTGGAAATGAACCAGAGGATGAAGGATCAGTCAGTCTCCACCTCTGTCTTTCAAATACAATTAAAATAAAAACTTTTTAAAAGTCTGTCTCCCACAGCACGAAAGACGCTTGCAAATGCTCCTTGCCCGCTCCCCCACTCAAGCCACATTGCCTGCCTGCCGCTCCCTAGGCACCTGCGCACCCTCGCGCTGGCTGTTCCTAATCCACCTGGAAAGCTGTGCCCTAGGCACTCACACAGCTCCTCCCCCACCTCCTCTGGGAGGCCTGCCCTGACCACTGAGTGTACAACAGCTGCCCCGTGTCAGCCTCACCCCGAGACTACTCCTGTCCCAGGTTTCCATCAGCGCCCGTGGGACTACTCCTACTCCCCTCCTCCCGACTCTCACACGGCATGCAAATGCACCAGACAACGCGCCTGCCTGCCTCACTCCACTGTGAACCCCCAGGCCCTGGACAGCACCAGGAACGAGACCAGCATTCATCAGCTAAGGGCCAGAGCAGTGTGAGAGAGAGTTTCTGGGTTCAAAGCCCCTCCTCCTCCAGGAAGCTTCCCTGCCGGCCTCTCTCAGTCTCCGACACCCACTGACCCGTGGTACGCTGCTGGGCCGAGCAGTCTGCGAGGCACGGGCAGGGAGAGCGGTGGAACCCAGCCACGAACGGGGCAGGTGCTGCAGGGCCAGGCTGCAGGGGGGGATTTGAGGGGTCCACCTGGCTGGGCTGTGGGGATCTCCAGGGGTCTGCAAGGCCACTGCTGCATCTGTGTCGGTGGCCTGGGGAGGCGCTGCCCTCGCTCTCCAGGCGGGCACTGGCAGAGGGCCAGGAAAGAACAGGCAAAGGACAGCGGCACCCCGCCCTGCATCTGCCTCAGATCACAGCCCCAGGCTCCCCAGCCCAGCACCAGGGCCCTCAGCCTCCCAGTTCTAAGGCCTGGGGACATGGGCGGAGCCTCGCTGCTGTCTACCTGGAGGCGTTCTCACCTACCCTAATCCTATCAACCTGCTCACCAGAGAAATCCCCTAGCCTTCTCCCATTCATCCAGGCTATGGCGTCCGTCTCTCTGGACAGCCTGGCTCACACACAGAGGCCCGACTCCAGCCGAGCTCCTGGCCCCTGCCTGGCCCAGCCCTGGCTGTTGAAGGCAGCTGGGGAGTGAACCAACGTATGGAGGATCTCTCCCTCCCTTGGTGGCTCAGCCTTTCAAGTCCATGAAAAATCTGAGAAAGGACTTTCAACTGGGTCACAAACCAGGGCTCCTGCCTCCCAAGGGCTGACCAGAGGCCCACGCTCGCACTGCTGTGGCCTCTAGCGGCCCGCAGTAGTCACAAGGTCCTCTATGAACATGCCAGGGCCAGCACCACAGACGTCCCCAGTTCTCACCCAGAGCCTGGGCCTGACTTCGGGCCTGTGACCCGGGAAGCCTGCGGTCGGGGTGAGGGGGCCTGCGGCAAATCCCAGGCATGGGTTAGGCCAGCCCCAGCGGCCCTGGGAGGTGAGTAATAGGCTTACGGCGTCACAAGGAGCAGGAGTAAAATAATGATGCCCCGTGCACCTGATGGCATCTTAGATCTGACGACACGAGCAAGGTGCTGGGGAAGTCCAGGTCTGGTCCCCGAAACCACCAGGCGTTAGTGGGCACACGGCGTCATGCAGCGCCAAGGGGGATGGGGGTGGGGATGGGAGAGGCTGAACTCCAGGATGGGGCGCAGCCTGACTGTCAAGCCTCAACTTACAAAATCTGCATCGCTTATCCTGGTTGCACAGTTTCCCGTCCAGCTCCCTGCTAATGCGCCTGAGAAGGCAGCAGATGATGGTCCAGGTATCTAAGCCAGTACCATCCATGTAGGAGACCCAGATGGAGCTCCCGGCTTTGGACTGGCCCTGCCTGCGCTGTTGCGGCCATTTGGGGAATGAATCAGTGGGTGGGAGTTCTCTCGGTCCCCTTCCTCTCTCTCTCTGCCACTCTGCCTTTCAAATAAATAAATAAATCTTTATAAAATAAATAAATCTTTATAAATTAAACAAACTCTAGGATAATCAAAGCCACCCCTGAGTAGCTCTGTTGACCACAGGAAACATCCAAAAAGCTCAGGCCACTGGGAGCTCCGAGAGGAGCAGACAATGCCAGGTGGACTTAGAGAGGGCAGAGCCCCGAGGCCCAGGCACACACTCGAGCAGGGTGCGGGCAAGCAGACGTCACTGCCAGTTCCCCGGGCCTTTCTCTCTCTCCTTTCCCACCACACTGCCTTAACTGGCCCCAAGACTCTGCCCCATTTGGCACAGGAGCAAACCAGGGCCAGCAGGAGTGAGGCAACACGTCTGGGACCACGAAAATCAGGGAGCGGCACGGCCAGGGCACAGGCAGGTCCGGGCCGTGGCGGTGGGAGGGAGGTGACCGGGTCACCCCAGGGAGCGTCTGGCTTCCCCGGGAGTGCGAGAGACGCACACTTACCTCCTGGATTTGGCACATTCCTTCTCCCAGTTCTTTACCAAAACAGGTACCACCTGCTCCGACGTGTCCTCCTTGTTCAGAGACCACAGGTCGTTGCTCGTCAGGGGCTGGCGGTAGCCCCGGACCATCAACCTGGGGCCAAACCACAAGGGGCCAGCGGTGAGGGACAGTGCAGGGAGGCGGAGGGTGGCAGGGCTCACTCCCACACCTGCTGGAGCCGCTCGGCCACCCGCTGCGAAACCCACCCGGGGATGGACATCAGGGCACGTGAAGAACTGCTGCTCACTCCGCTAGGTCACCAAGGCAAAGGAAGGGCTCGCATTCTTAAGAGACGTAGACCAAGTATTCAGGAGAGAGGTGTTCCATCTGCTGGTTCAATCCCCAAATGGTCACAACGGCGGCAGCTGGGCCAATCTGAAACCAGGAGCTTCTTCCAGGTCTCCCACGTGGGTGCAGGGGCCTAAGCACTTGGGCCACCTTCCACTGCTTTCCCAGACCAAAACAGAGAGCTGGATCAAAAGTGGAACAGCCGGGACTTGAACCAGCGCCCACATGGGATGCCAGCACTGCAGGTGGAGGCTTAGCCACAGCACCAGCCCCACCTGCTGAGTTTTGCTACCTGTGTCAGGTATTCCTCCCCTGAAATGCTTAGGCCCCCAAGGGTTTCCAGTTTTAGACTGTTTTTTTTCCAGACTGTGGAACGTGTACATGTAGGTAAGTAAAGTACTGCAGGGATGGGCCCTGGGAAATGTTTCGCAGTCTTTTTAGTGCACCTGCATTTGCACTGTGACCTGCATATGGTCAGGAGTGGAATGGTCCACGCGGGGCGCCTCTTCGGCACTCGAGAAGTTGTAAGGATTCTGAAGATTTCGGATTAGGGATACTCAGCCTGATTCACGTGTCTGTGTGCTTTCATAATAGAAAGTAAAGTAAGCATTTCCGTGTGTTGCTTTGAAGTAATTTCAAATGCAACAGGAAAACCGCAGGATCACATAAAGAATTCACTTGGTTCACCTGGTGAGTATTTTGCCACATTCACAGTTCCGTTCTCTGCCTCTCCCCATCCACGCATACCAGATGGCAATGCTTCCTGCCTTTTTCTGACCCATTGGTCAGCTGAGACTCTACACACCGTTAGCCCTAAACCCAAGTGTGGATGCCCCGGACACACGGACCGGAACTGGAGCACACTGATTAAAACCAAGAATGTTATTAGTGGGGTGGGCGTCATGGTACAGCAGCCACCATCATGCCTGCACCACCTAACAGAGCACTGATTTGAGCCCTGGCTACTTCGCTTCCAATCTGGCTTCTTGCTAACACAACTGCACCCCTGCCACCTATGTGGGAGACCTGGATGGAGTTCCTGCCTTTGTCCTGCCCCAGCCCTGGTTGCTGTTGCCATTTGAGGAGTGAACCAGCAGATGGAAAATCTGTGTGTGTGTGTGTGTGTGTGTGTGTGTGTGTGTGTGTGTTGCTCTACCTTTCAAATCATTTTAAAAACTGCATCTGGGGGCCAGTGCTGTGGCATAGCAGGTAAAGCCGCTGCCTGCAGTGCTGGCATCCCATGTGGGCACCGGTTTGAGTCCCAGCTGCTCCAGTTCTGATCCAGCTCTCTGCTATGTCCTGGAAAAGCAGTAGAAGGTGGTCCAAGTGCTTGAGCCCCTGCACCCACGTGGGAGACCTGGAAGAAGCTCCTGGCTTCAAATTGGCACAGCTCTGGCTGCTGCAGCCACCTGCAGATGGAAGACCTCTCTGTCTCTGTCTCTACCTCTTTATAACTCTGCCTTTCAAATAAAAAAATGCATCTGTACTAAACATGCATGGGGCTGGCACCACGGCTCAATAGGCTAGTCCTCCACCTGCAGCACCGGCACCCCGGGTTCTAGTCCCGGTTGGGGCGCCGGATTCTGTCCCAGTCGCTTCTCTTTCTGTCTGGCTCTCTCCTGTGGCCCGGGAGTGCAGTGGAGGATGGCCCAGGTGCTTGGGCCCTGCACCCGCATGGGAGACCAGAGGAGGCGCCTGGCTCCTGGCTTCAGATCAGCGTGGTGCGCGCTGCGGCCATTGAGAGGTGAGCCAATGGAAAAAGGAAGACCTTTCTCCCTGTCTCTCTCTCACTCATTGTCCACTCTGCCTGTCAAAAACAAATAAAAAAAATTTTTTAAATAAAACTAAACATGCACGGACCTTTTTCTTGTCATTATCTGTATAACATTTTCATTATACTAAGTATCATAAATAATCTGGGGATCATTCACACTATACAGGAGTGGCTCACATACACATGCTACACCGTTTTCTCTACGGGATTTGTGCACCAGGGATCTTCCTGTCCATGGGTTTCCTGGAACTGCTCCCGTGAGGATACCAAGGGGTAATTGTCATCTTATGCTGAATGTGAGAAAAAACCCAAACCCAAAGCTAAGCCAAGACAGCACAGCTCCTGGCTGTCCCAGGCCAGGCCTTGCAGAGCTGAAGGTGCTCAGGGGTCACGATTTCTCCCACTCAAGGTCATGAACTTGGGGACGGGGACGGAGCGTGTACAACCACACTGCAGCCCAGGCAGACCCAGACTAGCGAGGAAGGGTCGGGGAGAGCCGAGGCCCACCGTCCACTCAGTGCCCAGGGCCCGCCTTACCCCGTGATCCACCAGAAGGTGATTCTGGAGAGGAAGGAGGCGCCAGACTCCGGGCAAGGATTCTACGGGAGAGAAAACACAGCGGGAGGGCAGCAAGGGAAGTGAGTCAACCTCTCAGCACCTCCTCGCTCAGGACCACCAGCCAGCCCCGTGCTGATCCGTGCCCCGCGGGACTCCGCCCCCGAGCCCAGAGGAAAGCCGCCTGGGGAGGGGGGCTCCTCCGAACTCTGCCACGGCGAGCTGGGGAACACACTCAGACCCGTGTCCCCAGGACAAGCCGCCGAGCCGGTGTGACTGTCACCCCCTCACTCGCACTCGTCCATTCACGGAACAAGGACTTCCTGAGCACCTACCGAGGGCCAAGCCCTCTGCCACAAGCTACACGCCCGCACTGCTTTGTGTCCCCACGGAACTCATGGAATCACTGTTACCCCTACTTCATTCGTTAACTCGTTCACCCACCAAGGATTCCCTGAGCACCTGCTGCACACGAACCAGAACAGATGGGCCCCCGGCCTCTGGAAAGTGTGGGGTCCGTTGTGAGATGGCGACAACACCACCTGCCAGCGCTCCCAACCAGGCAACTCTGCCGCCGGCACTCCACCCCAGGTGTCTTTGTAACCACCTTAGGCAGCAGTTCCCGGTGAGGAACAGAGAGGTCAGGGAACTTCCCCAAGGCCCCACAGCCCGAGAGCGGCACAGACAGGATGGAAGCCTCACACAGGCTCCAGTGAGATCCAGGAACCCCAGGGTCACACAGACACACAGACAATGGCGAAACTGCTTTTGTGGTGTGCGCTGCAAGGCAGGTGAGTATTAGCAAGGAGCCCACACCAGGGACGGGGCGGAACTAGATTCCAGGGTCAAAGACGGCTTCCCTAAGAAAGGCGAGCAGGGGGCGGGGTAGGGGGGCAGTGCAGAGAAGCGAGGTCTTCCCAGGAGCACGCAGTGTGTGCGAGGGTCCCGGGCTGGAAGGACGCGCTGCAGACTCCGGAACCAAGTGGGGCCAGCACGTGAGGAACCCTGGTCTTATCTGACGGCCGTGGGAGGTCACTGACCGGCTCTACGCAAATCATCAAAGAACCTCCTTCCCGGAGGCCTAAGATGACTCCCAGCTCAACAGCCCGGCCTCTAGGAACACAGAGCAGACACACGCCGAGCTGTCCTGAGAGACCAGCGTCAGCAGAGGGGAGGGAGGGTTGCCGTAGGGCGACAAGATCTGTGGCCCAGGACGCCGCTCCGCGTCCCAGCCCCTGCGCAGAGAGTGCACTCACAGAGCCGGCCAGCCAACTCCAAACAGGCGGTTCTACCCGGGCAGCGAGTACAGTGAATTCTACACCCAGGTTCTGCCTACCCACAGAGCCCCACGAGGCAGGTCCAGTGTGGAACCAGGGCGTGCAGACTGGTTTTGTTTCAGATTCGCAGAGGCTGCAGGGCGGGAACAGTACTCGCTAGGTCTCCAACACCTAGTCCCACCCCCCCAGCAAGGAAACCAGCAAGGAGCAGGACTGACAAGAGGCCCCAGGGGCCACCCACAGCAGCTCCCCTGGCCGGACAGCAGCCAACATGCACTTCAGTAGAACACATCCAGCAGACTGTGCACCGGCCACAGGCCAACATCACACCACAAACACCTGAGCGCACCTGTTCCTGTTCGTATTGAAAGCAACAAAAACCAGCTCACAATCACCTGTACAAAGACACTAGTCTACTTTCTATTTGTTGAACTCTATACTCGGAGGAGCCATTAAGCCTTTCATTAATACCAGTAAAAATTTAAGTTGAACATATGGTACCTCCAGGCCGGCACTGTGCCGTGGCGGGTAAAGCTGCCGCCTGCAACACCAGCATCTTATATTGGTGGTTTAACTGCTGCCTTTGATGCTAGCATCCCGTATGTGCACCGGGTCAAGTTCCAGCTGCTCCATTTCTGATCCAGCTCCCTGTTAATGCACCTGGGAAAGCAGTGGAGGACAGCCCAAGTGGTTGGGCCCCTGCACCCTCATGAGAGTCCTGGAAGAAGCTTCTAGCTTGGATCAGGCCTAGCTCTGGCCATTGCAGCCCTTTGGGGAGTGAGCCAGTAAATGGAAGTTCTCTCTCCACTCCACCCCCATAACTCTGCCTTTCAAATAAATCTTTAAAAATATTACCTCAAAAAAATTTTAAAATAACTCAAAAGATGCAAATGAACCAAGTTACTGCTTTGAAAACGCAAGAAAGGAGGAAGCACTTGTCCACACCACCCCCCCACTTCCTTAAGTGAGCTGTACCCCAGGGTGACCAGAGAGATGAGCGGAAATGTCTTTTCATAGAGAAAGCCCAGATAAGGAACAAAGGAATAATACAACACTGCATAACGACTTAAGGGGCCACTCTGTGGCCACAGAGGATTATTAAAATATTTGGCAATTTTAAAAGAATTAGCAGAGTTTTTAGGCCAGCTCATTTTTTTTTTCAAAGACTTATTTTGTATTTATTTGAAAGGCAGAGTTACAGAGAAAAAGAAAGAATGAGAATATCTTTCAATGACTGGTTCATTCCCCAGACAGCCACAACAGCTGAGGCTGGGCCAAGCCGGAACCAGCAGCCTGGTACTCCTTGCTGGTCTCCCACGAGCTGCAGCAGCCCAAGCACGTGGGCCATCCGCTGCATCAAAGACAGCAGTTAAAGCCACTGTACCACAACACCAGCCCCTACAATTGTCGTTTTTAAATCCTGGGGCCAGCACTGTCAGGCCACTGCTCAGGACACCAGCATCCCGTAGCGGGAGTGCCCGCTGGAGTCCTGACTGCTCCCCTTCTGATCCAGCTCCCTGCTGATGTGCCTGGGAAGGCAGCAGAAGACGGCCCCAGTACTTGGGTCCCTGCCATGGACACGTGGATGGAGCTCCTGGCTCCTGTGACCACTGGAGCAGAGGGGGCGGGGGATGACAGCGGATGGAAGCTCTGTGACTCTGTCCTTCAGACAAATAAATTTTTAAAACAAATGAAACAACACCTCCTTATCTTTCAGATGCTATCACTGGAGAAAGTTGGGTAAAGGACACATAGGGACTCTACTCGTTTTGCAACTCTTCTGAGTCAAACCATTTCAAGAAAGTTATTACAAATAAAAAAAAAAAATCTGTGTCCTTGAAAGACACACACAGAAAGGTCTCCACACGTGATGCCAGGTGAGACGTCCGTGGGGGCTCGTGCCTAGGACGGATGCCCAAGGTCCCCATCAGACCACGTCAGTCGGAACCTGCGGGTGGGCAGAGCCCTGGCACAAGTGCATCTGTAGTAAGAGAAGGCAGACACTAGCGGTCCAGACCAAGCGAAGGCCAGGTGGGCTTGGGTTCAAATCCTGGCCCTGCTATTTTCTAACTCAAGGGCCTTGGCAAGTCCCTGCACCTCACAGCCCTGATTTTCACATCTGGGAAATGGGTGTGGCTGCTCCTACTGCTCAGCTGCCCTCACAGGACGGCCAGGTGGGGTGCGGGACCGGGGTTCCACGGATCTGTGCTGCAAGCTGGCACGTTTCCAGCCCAAGTCAACGGCATCACTCATGGAGGAGGCGGCTGGACGAGGTCTCACGGCAGCGGCGGTCAATGCTGTCCCTGTCCTGCCCGCAGCCATGCCCACAGCCACGGTGGGCGGGTGGGTTATCAGTCAAGCCCACTTCAACTGCAGCCCCCAAGTCTTGCCCATGGTGAAACGTGAGGCAGCTGGCGGGGCTGGGGGGGGCGGCGCAGGTGCACAGCTGCAGGGACTCACTGATTACTCGGGCAAACATTTAGGGGGGACCTGCTTGTAATGTGGGGCTGAGGGTGAAGTGTGGGGACAGCACTGTGACGAGACAGCCAGGTCCCCAAGCTCTGTAGCTCTCCACCGCAGGGGAGAGGGACAGTAAGTAAACTGAGATGCAAACACAGAACTAGAAACAGTGAGTGTGCCAACAAGGGACAAGAACAGCACCAGAGCGAGACGGGGAGGAGGGTGGAGGGCAGTCTCAAGGTGAGGCAGAACTGTCGTCAGGGGTCTCCACGGGGGCTGGGGTCGAGGACCTCCTGTGGGCATCAAACACTGTGGACATGCACATCCCTCGTATCAAACCCTGTGGCACCTGCACAGGACCTAGGCACTTTCCCAAGGGGTTTAGATTGTCTCGAGATGACCTGTGATACCTAACACAATGTGAGCACAGTAAGTAATTGTCACACCGTGCAGTGCAGGGCACAGAGACAAGGTAAAAGTCTACACGGGGCCAGTGCTGTGGCATAGCGCGTAAGACCACTGCCTACAGTGCCAGTATCCCATGTGGGCTCTGGTTTGAGTCCTGGCTGCTCCATTTCCAATTCAGCTTCCTGTGGCCTGGGAAAGCAGTAAGAGATGGCCCAAATCCTTGGGCCCCTGCACCCATGTGGGAGACGCAGAAGAAGTTCCTGACTCCTGGCTTCAGATCAGCCCAGCTCTGGCCCTTGTGGCCATCTAGGTAGTTAACAAGTGGGTGGAAGACAGCCCCCTCCTCCACCTCTGCCTCTGCCTCTCTGTAACTCTGCCTTTCAAATAAATAAATATTTTTTTAAAAAATTTTAAAGTCTGGTACGTGTTCGGTACAAATGTAATTTTTAAATAAGATTTATTTATTTGAAAGGAAGAGTTAGAGCGAGCGAGCAAGCACATGCTTCCATCCACTGGTTCACTCCCCAGATGGCCAGTGCTGAGCCAGGTAGAAGCTGGGAGCCTGGAACACCATCCAGGTCTCCCGCACGGGTGCACGCACCCAAGCACTTGCGCCATCTTCCACTGCCTTCCCAGTCACGTTAGCAGGGAGCTGGATGGGAAGCGGAGCAGCCGGGACTCGGTCCAGCAGTCCAAACGGGATGCAGGCAGCGACTTAACCCACCAGGTGAGCACTGTGTGCATCTGAGGTCTCCGCCTCGGTGTCTCCAGAGACCCGGAAGCCACTGCTGCTGCTGGAGGTGGATTGCAATTCTGACTGTCACCACTGCTGCTGCTGGAGGTGGATTGCAATTCTGACTGTCACCACTGCTGCTGCTGCCACCGCCTCCAGCAGTCAG